GGGGCGGTCGCCCCTCCTCTGGATCCGCCACTGATACTGACTATTCAAAGTTAGGCCTAATTGTTTTTTAAATTTGTTTTCAAAAGACAAATGTGGAAGAGTGAAAGAATTTCTTATTTAGTAAAATGTCTGCAAAGTACGCCATTTGAAACGGCAAGACAGTTTAATTTGACGTCGAGTCTGGTGAAGTTGCATCTTACACAACCAATATTGAAGCTTATTTTTGTATTTAAAGTAGTATGGCATTCATAACAGTTTTCTTAACATTTTATGTTCAACTTTTTCTAATATCTATATGCGTTATTGTTACAAAATGGGGATATTAGCTACAGGAAGTTTTCAGAATAATTGACATACATTTTGCATTAAAAAAAAAACTCTTGAGTGAAAAACTTATGAATTTGAATCCAAAACGTCAGTTTTTTCGTTTTTTTCTAAGAGGTTGGGTCTTTTAACTTTTTTGATGTTGGTCCACTACCATAAATAATGCACTTCATGTGTACCTACCCCACATTGTCACTCAAGAATTACCTTACTCCAGATTCCATGAAGAATTCAAGAACAGCAAGGAGACGAGTCTCGTCGATTTCATGCAGACCTACCAACCGCCCATCACACCAGAACATCACACTTGCGTTGGTCTCGGATTGGCCCTTCTCAACCGGCTGACAGTCCTCGACCACAGGTTCCCTGGCTTGGCGTCTCGTCTGTTCATCGTCTCGTGTGAGGAGGTTGTGGACGATTACGCCTCGTACATTCTAGAGGAGCCGAACCCAAACATCGCGGAGAAGGAACACGTCCTGGTAGCACTGAGGTTGAATGTCGCTGGTCGTAAGGGGATGTTGCTTTTGGACCCCGGTTACCATGTGGCTAGGGTCATCACTGTCATGGAGGATGAGAAATATCCACACACAGGTATGTACATTTTTATGTTACAATTGGTTAGGATAATATAGTTGGCAAAGACACAATATATAGTTGTATCTATAATCTTTAAACTGAAACAAAAATTAGACTCTGCTCTACTTTTTTATTCTGGGTGCTACTTAATATTCATGCCACCTCCTATTTATAACAACAGCCTAAGCTACTGAGGAATTTCTCATTGGTGTTGGAAACAAGTGGGGTCTGTTTAGAAAATTAATTCATAATAAATCCATGTAGAGATCAATGCCTAAAATTGTAATACAACATTGTCCTTGTAATTAACTAATAATAGAAATTATATTTAAAGTAAAGTAGGCTATAAAGAGAGAGATATTTAATATAACACTTATCTCAGGCAAAACCGTAGTAAACAACAAATGAAATTTGAGAATTATACAAGAGAAGTTTCAATGTCCGTTCGATGAAAAACCTAAATAAGTAGGTCACATTAAACATATAATTGTTAAAACGGAGCTTCAAAATGAACAAACCGAAATTGCCAAAATCTATACCGCAGTGATAAATGTGGCAGGGCAAAGAATTTAAACAGGCTAATTTTAATGTTTGTTTGATTTTTAGGATGGTTCATGCAGTCTAAAGAAGGAGACCGTCAGAAGTTTTTCAACTACACTTTCTCTGCGAGCCGACAGTATGTTGTCTGGCGACAGAAGGAGAGGAAAGGTGATGCACCGGAGACAATAACTCACAGTGTCATCTACGTGGCTCGTCCCTTCCTGTCGCCAGTGGACGTGACGGAGAGACGCAACCTGGTGTACAACTTCAGAAGTCTTCTGAGTAGAAACACCAAGGGTCATCTGACTGCGGGAATCTTCTTTCCTGTGAGAGCCAACGGGCCAGGCCAGTTCACTATCTTTTACGAGGACAACACCTCTAAAAAGAAAGTCAAAATGGACTTCAGCGACTTCTTGGGAAGTGCCAATGTAAGTAATTTTGTTTCTTACTAGAAAAGTGTATCTTTTATTTCTTAAGTATTTTGTTTTAAATTTAATTTGATCTGAATAAAAATTTAACCACAATTATTTACCAAAATGTTATTTTACCAGATTGAGTTTTTTTTATTAACTTGTATTTTTTAATTTTGCCAGTAAGAGTAAAATAAACTGTTAACAGTTAGATTATCGCTTATATTGTGTTGTATTACAAATTAGAATCTATGTCATTGATATTCATTTGATACAAAAACCTCATCTCCAATGTCATATTATTACAATAATTACCATTGTAACAATTTATTTAGGTCTAGGTATATCTTTACTGATAAAACCACTGCAACAATATATTTAAATATTTTACTGATAAAGTAAAATAGCTTCAATTAATTGTTCATCTTTAAAGCTTGACAAAATTGTATATTTGGGAAAGCGGTTCAGTGGATAACAAAAAATAAAATAATAGTATGGATTTTAATTGCATCAAACTTTTTCAGAAGGTGGATGAGAGTCAGCAGCAGATAGTAGAGGAATGCAACAGACTGCTCGGTTTCCGACGTGGAGAACTGAATTCAATCCTGCACAGTCTTGCACACATTCTCTCCGACAGTGACTTTGTCTCCGAGGTTCTAACCATCAACAAGAACATCAATGAAATGGCTGAAGAAAACTGAGACGAGGCCAAGCCAAGCACAGTCTTGTTAGAAAATTTCTTCTGGCTTTGTTTGGTTTTATTTTTTGCCTTTTTTTGTTTAGCATGGACTGTATTGTTTCGTAAATCATTGTAAATTTTATCACTTACAACAATCGCTATGTATTTTAATGTTTTGACATACACTGAATTAGTGTGAGAGTTTTATATAATCACTATCAATTATTTCAACTGTATTCTGTTATATGACAATATCTTATGATTTATAGAATTGGAAGCTGTGGGTATATTTACGGTGGTTGGAAATATAAGGAATTTAAGTGAAACGTGTGTTGTTATTTCCTTTATTGGAATGGGATGATAAGGAGGTGGTTGTTTGTTATTGTAAGGGTTACTTATACAAAGCTATAACAATAATTTATGAAGTGAAAGATAGTATTGTTCACTGGTTGAAATGTAACTAAATGTGAATGATATTCTGCATTGTTACGACCACTCTATGTGAGTAATGCTGCCAACCGAATCAAACTAAACACAGATCTGGAGAAATGATTCACCGTAACACAATGTTAACTTTTTGTTTAATCTGTTAATGTTTAATAAATACTGATAAAATACATTAATTAAGACACAATGTGGAAAACATTTAGTTTTTCCCTGTTAAGGAAAGTAATAAAAATCACTGATAGATCAAGTGTGGCAGTAAACATTAAACAATAATGACATTCATATTCATAGGCGTGGTGTGATTAGTTTTGGTTCAATTTAGCCGAGGGATTGTAATAGAGACTGACTAGTCATGAATCTCATTCTGTGATTTTTGAAAAGTTCAGGGAACAACTATAGATGATAATAATAGCTTTTGTATAAAGTTGTAGGTTTTAACATGACAGCAATTAAAATAACATACTGTTGTAGTTATCTTTGAATAAACATAGGCTTTAAAATCCTATCATTGATTAACTAACTGAAAAAAAATACTATGCAAAACGGCTTTGTTTGGGTAAATTAATGTATTACTGTACAAAAATACAATATTTTAAGACATTTACTGTTTTGCAATTATGAAAGTAAAAACATTGATGCAGAGCCTATAATGAATAGCGTGAGTAGTGAGTGAAACGGTACTACTTAAATAATCTGCAAAAAACTAGTGTACTAGATTATTACATTTTAAAATCAGTAAAATCCACTGCTCATTACATCCCTAAGGGTTAAAAGGGGTTTGAAGGTCTTGGAATTAAATTGAATGAGTACACGAACACAACCAAGTGACCTTAATTGAGCCTCGCTTTGCTCTATTTCCAAACTCTCAATGTTGCCAAGAAGTAAAAATAAGTAAGACAAACTAGCCATCACCGTAAAAGAGTTGGCTAATGCTGTTAGTGCCAGTGAAATATTCTATTGTTTTTTGTAACCTAGTGTAAAGTTTTGTATCTCAAACTTAAAAAATTAGTTGATTGAAAAATATTCATATTACCTACGTTGGCAATATCAGCCATGCAACGCACAATACAACAATATTACCACACCACTAAATGACCCAACCCAAAATGTTAATCCTAGTGGCAGTTTACATTTTCAAGGGATATCAACTTTGTCCAACAGGTTGGGTTTGTTGCATTATGTTCTCAAGCTCAAACTAATTAATCTAGCCAAATACAATTAGTGTTAGCCACGTGAAAATAAACTAAAATTCCAATCTTCTTGTACATATGCAACTCAGGTTGTGACTCCAGTAGGAGCCAAAAAATCTCGGATGCTGTAGTACCGGTAAACCTCATTTAACACGTTGACTGCTAGCACTTCAATGTGGCGCGCGCCGACAAGTCGGCACCAGACCAACAGAAATATATTGAGTCAGTGTGAGCTTAGCCTCAGACGGAGACGTTATAATCGTTGCCAGACTGCCAGCTTAGAATGCGAGCTTTACTTTGGTGTAGGTTGGTACTAAAATTTCCCGTAAAATCCTGTCTGGCAATGCTTTTGTCCCGGTTTCGGGGATTTTTTTCTCTTCAACCCACATTACAAAGAATATTTATTTGGATTCAATAGTATGGATCCGTGCAGTGCTGCTACCTTTGGGTGTTTCAGTGAACTACATCCACTCTCAGGGTAACGCAGCACAGTCACCACTGCTCTTTTGTGATTCGTCAGGCTGATATATTTGAATGCCAATTGCGTTCGCTGATTCGGTTGCGTGTTCGCCCCGCCACTGGGGAGCGCCTGTACGTTGTTAAGAGCAGTCTCTTAATTGTCCTCTTAAGCCTCATTCTCACAATGCGGTAGAGCAAAACTGCGAATGTCCTTGAGCAGGAGCTAATATTAGGGATATAGGTCAACCATCTATGTACCATTTCTACTATTTAAAAGTTTAATACAATATCATGTTTGTAATCTCATTTAAATAGCTATTGAAATAGCATTAGATTTACAACAACGTTTGGCCAAGTAGAGTAAAAACACGAATAATATATTTACATGTTTATTGAATAAAAGATAATTGAATTACAATACTTTCTCACCAAATAACACCAGCTCCATTAATAAACACTGGGTGGATGAAATCAACATCAAGCTTACGATATCTAAAATGACAAAAACACATAGATACTATATTTACAAAGGAATCAGATCTTCTTAGTAACTTAAATAGTAAAATAGTAAGAGTTTGAAAGTTTCAAAATTAGCAGACTTCAGCTCAAAATGTGGTATTTCCTTAAAAAATTACAAGCAAGGTAAGAGACAAAATGCAACAATTTTGATGGACGTTTAATTGATCAGCCTCATTAAACAAATTTGGCCCTAGAAGTAATGCAATGATAAGTTGTTGTAGTTGATCAAGTATAAAACTAAAATAAATACAATGTTAAAATGCTTATTCAATTCAATTTGTAAAGACTAGTTAGTTGTGATAATAGTTTAAAACAATAAGCAGCACTTGCTAAAACAATAAAATAAACCTTTTCTTCCTGTATGAGTATTATATATTCACAACCAAATCCAAATTATTTATGTATATATTTAACTTTCAAAAGAGCTCAAGTAGCTAAAAAATGTATCCGATAGTAGAAAAAAATCATAAAATAATACATACCGGTAGCACTCAAAATTCAATCACCACTCACAAATACTGGGTAGACCCTAAACCCGTTTATACTGAATATGAACATCCTAGTTTTTCACACAGTCACACTCATTTCTACAAAGATACACAATAAAGCTTTACGAATGGTCAAAATGAAATTACCCTACAAGAGCTTGTCGTACTCCATAAAACAGAGCAAAATATAAAAGAGTAAGGATTGATGACAATGTATGAAAAAAATACAACTAAAGTATTAAAAATCAATTACACTTTTAAATTCATTTTTCTTCATTTTCATCACTCGAGCCTTCTTCTTCTTCTACTTCTTCTTTAGAGGTCTTTGACATTTTTGGCTTCACTTCTGAATCAGAGGCGTCATCGTCGGAAGCGTCTAAATGGCGCTTAAGGGATTTCTGCGGGGAGTGGGAGCTGGTCACAGTTTCATGCCTGAAAATATGGATTTGTAATTAGTTGTATGTACTAGAATGAAATACAAACATCAGTGTTGGAAAATATTTTACCAATTGTGTAGAAAATGTCTCATAAATTAATTAAAGCATTATAACAAGGTAATAGTACTCTTTAAAGAGGTAACAGTAAATTTAAACATTCTTTGGATGAATCATTCTCTATGCAATTTTTGCATAACCATATTCATACACAAAATACATTTTCCAAAGTTATAGCATTTACTAATTGGATACTGAAGTTGTATTAACAGTCAAAGGTTATAGTTAAAACTCTGACAACATGTTTTGCCCAACATAGGACTGTTGAGGAACGTCAAATTACATTAAGCATGCAAATGATGGTGCAGGATAGCTATTGTTTAAACATCAATGTTTCTTTAATCTTCTGTGCTATCATAAACACAGCTTTATTAAGCTAGCAGACTGATGTAGAGCTTAGAAAATCAAATAACTTGATTGCTTGGAAAGTCCATGGAAATTCCAATATTTCAAATAACTCAGACACAACCACTTTAGTGGGTATTTTTATTGTTTTTAAAACAATGATGGTCTATTTAGAGGAGATTCATGATGGTGAATAACACAGATAGTAAGTAGAAAAGGTTTAAGTTATCTATTAGTCTGTTAGTTTAGTTAAAGGTAAGAATCATTTCATAGATTTGAAACTATCATCCTTATTTCCAAATGCACTTAATACTCCCAGAATAACATTGGGCCAAAGTGTTCTTGCAAATATTTCTACCTTGTCAATCAATCAACGATTTGGATACACATGACTGAAAAAGAAGAATCAGCTTTAAAATAGTTTGGTTTTATTTAGTTGGTAAAGAATAAATATATCTAAATGAAGCAGATTATTAATAACAATAATAACAAGGAAGATATGGTTCCAAGTCTATAGATATTTAAGTAATACTTATAAACCACTGTAATAATGTAAATAACATAGATAAGTACACATTGCACTTCGAATATGAATTATAAATGCTTGTTATAAAATTTATCGAGTAATATTCGGTTGTGTAAGAATATTCCATTAAAATGTGTTGATATTTTACTTGAAGAGATAGTTTTCTAAAAGAACCGCTAACAAAAATGGTTGGTAGTGTAGTAGATTTGAACACTAATGACCTAATATGGCTTTTATGTTTAAAACATTATTTGTAAAAAATATAAACTGGAACGTTGTAAAATATTATTCTTATAATAATACAATCTAAAGTTCTTGAAGTGGATTTAATCAGTGGAATGAGTCAAACGTGTTTAATGTCCAAAGTAGCATAATTTAATCAAATAACAGCTAACACATATGAATAAAAAACACCCAAGCATTTGGTCAAAAATCTGAATTTATTAAAAAGATAAATTCAAGAAAATTGAAACATTAAATTTGAAGCACAAAGCCCGAGTCTCATTCCAAACATGGGCACATCCAAGCAGTTGTCGCGAGTTACTTACTTTTTAGGGAGTTTTTATATTATAGACTATGCAGATCTGATCAATATTTCCGCATATACCTGGAAAAAAAGTCTCAGCTCAACTCTAGCTGTTAGTCCCAGAGAGCAACTGACATGCAGCTAGATTATTGAGAAAGTGGAGAGGTTTGCGACTCATTCATTGGTTTAAAAAATAATTATCAGTTTAAAATCAATAAAGAGCAGATTTAGATTAGCCACGATTACAAACTTTTTCAAAAGTACATACAATGGTTTGAAAAAAATATATAATTTACTGATTGTAAGTAAGAAGATCTCCTCTAAATATATATTTACACCCTTACTGTATTCTTAAATAAGGCAGTAAACATGGAAGGAATGGCATTTATCAACATCTGTATTCAATTAGAAAATTACAAAAAATAACATTTGCTCATCGTGTCTGAAGACAGAACACATAACAATCAACCACCATGTACCATCTTTTACATATTTTAAAATAAATCCTATTTAACATTCCGAATAGTAAGAAATGTATTTTCAAGTATTAATAAACTTTAAAAATTACAATCCCTAATCAAGTCTCTGAATAGCATGTATAATGTATATTGTATAACTCTAGTAGAGAAATTTATTCAATATTATAAAATGTTAATAGGTTACATTAAAATTATAAAATAAACAGGCCTATAAGACACCTACAATATAATACCGTTGTAGTTTTAAAATTAACAAAGCTATGTTACATAATTATTTATCATTAGGTATCTATTATTGTATTTATTTAAGTAAACCAATAGAAAATATTGTACTTAAAATTACAATAGAACTCCAATATCCGAATTAATTGGTTGCAGCCCCCATTCGGATAATCAGAAATTTGGATAGTTGGATTTTTACCGAAATTCAGGATAATTTAAATAGAAAATAGGTAGAGTAATGCCGGGCTTTTACTCTTGCGATCGCAGAAGGCGGCTGCGATGATTTAGGGATCTGAAAATTTACGCTTTCGCCTCGATCGGGAAGAACGAGTACGACTTTCTTTGACCGCAGGAGACAATGATGATGTCTACAACACTGTCATTTTGCTGCGATCACAAAAAACGATGACAATGTTTCCGTAACTGCGGGAGACAATCATGATGTCCACACGCTTGTGGGATAAATAATTCATTTTGCCGCGATTGCGGAAAACAACTACAATGTTTTAGTGACTGCGGGAGACGATGATGACATCAACACGATCGTGAGAGAGGTTTCGGATTTTGCTGCGATCACGGCTTCTGCCTTCTTTTTAACAATTCTTATTACTGTGGTTTTAAGTTTTTCTAAAATTATTTCTGTAAGCCATTTGGATAATCAGCGTTTTGGATAGTTTGAGTTTGGATTATCGGAGTTCTACTGTAATAAAAGATTTGGTAAGTATAATTGTTTTAGAAACCCCCTTACAAAAGCCAGATAGAAGGTATGCCTAGGCCAAATAATCATTCCTCGAGGAATGATATATAATGACAATTTTAGTTAGTTATGATCGAAATGATATTCAAAAGAATAAGTTAAAATGTTATTGAGAAGATATTGTGTTAAAGAGACAGCCAAGGCCTCGATGGAAGCAGCACTAGAGTCATATGAAAGCAAAGGCTAAATAATTTTACAATAACACAAGATTATCACAAACTCATTTGAATAAGAACTAACAGACTCGTCTTTTTTAACATTTGAATTCAAGCAACTTCAAATAGAACCCTGTTTGATTATTTAACAACAAATTGGGCTACAAGATTCCAGAAAAAAATAAAAACAACTAGGGATCATGTGAAGCCAAGGTTTTGAAACTGAAAAATATTCCCAATATTATAAACATTTTAAAGTATGATTGTTTTATACACAATCTTGAATCCAATCAGTAAGTAAACCCATTGTAATCAATTTGTAGGCAAATTTATTGCATTTACAAAATAAAACATAATGATTCTGAAATTATAAAACTATTTTTATCTCCAAAATTGTAAATAAACATTTTTGTTTGATCTACTGATATAAAGCTTCTTCTAATACTCAATGTTATACATATTTAAGGTCCTTCCATGATAAAATAAACCCAAGCCAGGATGACTCCAAAGCTTACTTGAGCTACCTCTAGATTTGCCAAAGCAATTAAACATTTTGCACTGAATAAAAGCATTGGTTATGTGTAGGCACACAAGGAAAACAGTCAAGCTTTGTTAGTATTTTTGACCAGAATCAACTGGTCAAAAGACATCAACAGAATCAGAACATTTAGCCTTCTACCTCTAGTATCAAATGTTAGGAAGAGAGTTTGTTTTTTAAAGTGACATTTAGTCAAGCCTGCTGAAAAGCTAACAAGGAAGAAAGAAGAATTAAATTTATTTTGACATTTTGTTTGATTGAAATAGTACATTAATTTGCTTCTAGGCAAAACCTAAAATATTATCTTACACATTAAAAACTTACCTTCAACCATATTTCATATTGTGTACCTTATAAAGCCACATAAACTAAATTAGTTTATAAAATGAAATAGTAGCACTTTCACTAGAGGTTTGTGACAAATAAACACTCTGGCACTTATTATTATACATCTCAAGAACCCACTGAAAACACTAAACTATTTTACTTTATTTTCAGTGCCCTATGGAATGCTTAATGGTTTGATGATAAACTTCAGTGAGTGATAATCTGGACTTACGAGGTTGAGGAGGGCAGAGCGGGCAGATCCCTGTGACGCCGACTGCCAGAGTACCTGTCTGGCGCTGAGTGATAGCCTATAGCGGCTTGAGGCCGACGTGAGTTGAAGTGCCTGTTGGCCTTCACCCTCCACTCATTGTTGAACTCATCAGCCTCATCTGTACAACAGTTGATTGTCAAGTACAGAGTCATTTACTTTTGCATCATTGTTTTATCACACAATCAATATGGTTAAGACTATCCATCGAAAACCCACTGAAAAAAGTTATTTTTGTATTAGGAGCGCAAAGTACGTCATTGCCGCTAGAGAACTGTAGATGGTCACACAAAGCTCAGTGCAGCCACACATTTTGAGAGCGGCAAGGACTTTCTGCTCGTAATACACACAAGACTTTTCCTACAACCATAATCAACTTATCATAAAAATACAGATTAACTTTTTAGTTGTAGCCTATATAAAATGTCATTAAGGTTATGTTTGTTTTGTATAGGTTATGTTATTTGCTTAGGTACCGGTTGTTAATAGGGACGTAGGTAACTGTGAAATCAGTTGATTTAGCGAGCGGGAACAAAAATTTTTTCCACTCTAGAACGGAAATGAGCTATTTTGCATAATGTTTACAGGTGTGGCAATGTGATCATTTCCATGCAATGACATTTTTTATACCATAACAGTAGGTCTACAGTATTTCACTAATGAAAGTAGAAATTATTACACTATCAACTTAAATTGTGGGTAATTCTAGGTGGCTCAGTTGGTAGCGTGACAGACTGTGAAACCAAGGCAGCAACACTGTGGGTTAGGGTCCCAGTGCTGCCACTTAAGATTTATAAATACAGTTTAACACTCGTACAGAACCAGCTCACTTCAGTTGCTGGTTAAACCCCCTTCTCTTGTTGTTAATACTTTGCACCTACAGAACTGAGGCCTATGTTTAAAATAGGATAGGTAAAAGGTTAAAAGAGGCTGATAACTTCTAAAACATTAAGATTAACCTACTGTTGTAAAATTGATTGCGAAGAATTCTACAAAATTTAAAGTAATTATTAAAATGGGCTGTTAGCTATCCAAATATTAAGGAGTTGTATTTTTTTGTATACGTCTTTAGAGAATGCTTAAATTTGCTAATATGACTAGATATCAAAATGTAAATAAGCTGAAAAACAGGAGAAAATATTAATTTTAAAATTTAATTATTGTCAATGGACCAACAAAATGCATTTCAAACTTTTACAATCAAATGGTTATCAATAAAACCCAGTATTTACCCACATCATATTCTGAATGCGAGTTGATTACCTTCATCAAGATTGATGTAGTCTTGTCGTTCCTCTTGGTCTCCAGTCCGCAGGTTCTGTTCTCGCTCAATGATGTGAGCTCTCTCTCCAATGTGGTGGCCAATCGCCATCTTCTTCACACCTGTCCGAGAGTCTGCTACGGACTTCTTTGTCTCCTTCACACCTCCGGGCCCTTGGCGTACAGACTGCGAAGCTTGGTAAACCTACACATTAGATAAGATTTCAACATTACAACTTTTCTGCATGACATCACCAGGCAATGTTAAATAATTGTTAATTCACAATTTTCTTACAAAACAACTTAAGAACCTCTGATCTAAAAGGAAATGCAAATAAATGTTTGGACAGTAGTCTCCTTAGTCATCTTTACACATTTATTTTCAAAAATTCCTCAAAAACCAGGTGTTAAACTATACTAAACATCAGGTCATTTAGTCGAGTTTACTGAATGAACTATTACATTACCTGCCAGTTTTAGCCTAATACAGAATGTGGGGATTAAACCATGCATCCCAAGTTGATATGGAAAAGTACTCAAATTAAAGATGAACTCTTTAACTGTATTTATCCTCAGGGCTCCAAATGTGTTAGACGATCTAACATAAAATAAACTTACACTTTCAACTGGGTGAAAGTTACTCTAAAGTCTGTACTGTGATACGTAACAATGTAACATGTGCCAAAACCTTTGAGACAAGCTCAGTAGTTCAACTAGGCTAAGCTCGTTGTGTTACCAGTACAAAGCTATTGCTTGCAGTCTTCATACACTGCACAACTCATAACACAATTACACTAATTATTAACACATTTTAAATCATGCAAGGTCTACCTGTGGACGGCCATCAGGTCCGTTAGTCATCGTCATGACAGTGCTAGAGGAGTAGGAGTGGCAGGCGGGGTTGTTTCCCATGGGGTCCATACTCTGGAACATGTTCATGCTGGGGAAGCCAAACGGCATCATGGCTCCACCCCCGCCAAATGGCATCAACTCTGAACCCATCCCCGGACCCATCAGACCTCCCAGCGGCTGGCCGAACATGGAGTTCATACTTCTCATCATCCTGTTCATCTGACGCATGTGGCCTCTGAAAAACAAATTAAAAATATTGTAGGCCTAGTCTGAATAAATTGCTTATCAATCGATGAGATGGGGATGCCACCAGGTGCTTATTTTAACCCAAATAGCCTATAAGTGAAGGATGAGTGTAGAATGGTGTGAGATGATCTGTGTAGATGATCAGTTGTGATCAGTTGTTGTTCATTAGTCAGGAAAGCCCAATTATCAGGAACAGCTGGGTCCAGTTCCAAAGCTCAGCCTAACTAAAAAAAGCCTAAAAGATTACAGTAGGTACCAATCCATATAGTTTGGTTAAAAACCACCGATTTGTCAACCTGATGCAGCATAAAGAACAAGGACCTATTTATTTAAATTTATTTCCTACCAAAACATGCAAATATAGCCTAAATACAAATAGTGTCGGTTCATTATAACCCACACTTAACCTTCCCAATCTAACCTAACTTCAAAACACTTAATACAGTCACAAATCTGCATAAAACCCGACCTACCTTCCCCACATGCCTAAATAAGAGCTGATTATTTAGTTTCAAAACAAATTGATTTCATTCCGCATTGATTCGGGTATACTTAAAAAGCTGTTTGCTCTCCTAACTCAGCCCTCAGCCAACGTAGGCTACGGACCCATCCAGACAACGCCATATTACCATCAGTAGGCCTACCGCTTGATGAACCTTAGATTTGTATCTTAACCTTCATTTTACAGCCACTTAGGAATCTCTCTGACAAAAACTGATTGCATTTTGGGATTCAACGTGAAAAAAAACTGGGTACCAGTAGGTACTTATTCAGGACCCAGACCCCAGCTTAAACGTTCTAAAATCACTCAAACTATTCTACGACATCAATACTACAACTTTATTAATGAATTTTTTTGCGCCAAGGCCTCCTTTTATTAGGCTACTAATTAAATATATAAACAATAATCCCAACTCACTAGGGGGGCGGTGGGAATTCAGGGTTTTGGGTGGGGGAGATAAAACGTGGTTAATCATGGGGAGAAAAAGGCAATTCGACGGGTAAAAGGGTAATTTATAGGTAATTACCCAGCAAGCATGGGAAATTAGTCGATATAAATAGGTAGGCCTACATTCCTTTGCCGCCGACGACGATGAGCAGAGCCGGCAGAGACAGGAAGACCATCAGAATTGTATTGTACGATATGATGTAAAAAAAAAAACAATAACAAAGTAAAAATAGTTTGTTTATTTGATCCTTTATATTTAGTAAAAAAATGGCTTTAAAAATATTTAAATAGGTCAATAAAAAGTGGTAACATCTATCACCTGTGTGAATAGCCAATACATACCTCTAAAAACTTGAAGTTAAGTTTTCAGTCTTCTTTTGTTTGAATATTGACAGTTTTATTTAATGTATTTTCAAGTTCATTAAAAACGTATACCGATCTTAACAATATATTTTTACATTCAAAACTTCAATAAAATATACAGATCATAACCTATTTCCATGTTTGTTTACATTGAAAATAAAAATATTTTAGAAACGATACACCAAACCAAATCTAGCCTATATCAATATTTCTGCAGACATAATGTTACGAATAATTAACATAAGATAACAAACTCCTCAAGGAGTATGGAGTTAATAAATAAATAAACATAGATCTATGGAATTAACCAACACAAGTTTGTTATTCGTTTATTGTGTTTACAGTAAGTAGTTCATGTTGGTGACACTGGTTGCGCTGGTGACTACAAAATCTGATTTATAGGGGTTATTTAGTTTCATGGTTTGTACCTTTACTGTTTGGTTGTATATCTGGGTAACGAGTTCTCTAGTTCTCTTGTAAAACCGATTTATGAAATCATACAGCAAGTTTGGTTGGTTTGGTTGGTTTAGAATAGTTTCATTTCTTAATGAACAATTATTTTTTCTCATGAAATCATACAGCAAGATTGGTTGGTTTGGTTAGTTTAGAACAGTTGCATTTCATAATGAACAATTATTTTTTTCCTCGTGAAATAATACAGCAAGTTTGGTTGGTTTGGTTAGTTAAGAACAGTTTCATTTCATAAACAACGATTATTTTTTCCTCATAAAATCATACATCAAGTTTGGTTGGTTTGGTTAGTTTAGAACAGTTTCATTTCATAATCAACAAATATTTTTTCTTCAACAAGTGAGTGTTCATAAGATCTGTTGAAATCTTAACTGCAGTACTTTGCTATTGAAACTGGAATTTTACGGGAAATACGAGGGGGTACCCAAAAATAACCGGAATTTTGTTTAAAATATACATATATTTATTTTTTTTACAAAACAACCTTATCACCTTCAAAGTACAGTATTCTCCATTGCACTTTATACACTTATCCCATCGTTGTTTCCACTGTCCGAAACATGCTTGGAACTCCTCTTCAGTGATGGCTGCCAGTTCCTCCGTTGTTTTTCTTGACATCAACCACGCTGTCAAATCGGAGACCTTTCATGCCCCTTTTCATCCGTGGGAATAAAAAGAAGTCGGACGGAGCCAGATCTGGTGAGTAGGTAACGTAACCATGCCATTTTTGGCCAAAAACTGGATTGCCGTGTGCGCAGGCGCATTGTCGTGGTGAAAAAAAACCAGTCCCATGTTTGCCACAAATCAGGTCTTTTGCGACGGATGCTGTTCTGTAGTCTTATTAAGACCTCAAGATAAAACACTTGATTTACTGTCTGGCCTGGTGGAACAAATTCTGAATGGACAATCCCCTCCACATCAAAAAAACAAATGAGCATTGTTTTGTCACTCGATCTGACTTGATGGCATTTTTTTGGTCTGGGTGATGATGCCGTCTTCCATTGGCTGGATTGTTGTTTGGTTTCAGGTTCGTACCCATAGCACCAAGATTCGTCACCTGTAATTATTTTGGACAAAAAATCTGGATCGGCTTCAAGTTGCTGTTTCAAATCACGACAGTTCAATTCAACGTTCCTTTTGAAAGTCAGTGAGAGCATGAGGCACAAACTTATCGGCAACCCTTTTCATGTTCAAATCTTCGGTTAAAATCCGTTGAACTGAGCTCCATGATAGCCCACAAGCCTCTGATATTTGCTCGATAGTCTGTTGTCGGTCTGCAAGCACAATGTCTTTCACTTTCACAAGATTTTCGTCTGTTCATGAAGTCGATGGTCGTCCAGAACGAGGTTTGTCCTGAATTGACATGTCACTATTTTTAAACCGAGAAAACCACTCGTACACTTGGGTTTTCCCCATAGCGTCGTCTTTGTAGGCTGTCTTCAACATTTCAACTGTTTCAGCGGCGTTTTTGCCAAGTAGAAAACAAAATTTCACAGCTGCACGCTGTTCACTCAATCTTGCCATTGTAAAAAACGACAAAATCACAAAACAGCACTAGCAAAAACTATTACTGCACGGGGACAGAACACGTCAGGTCAACGCAACAGGCGGCACTGAACTGGCTATTAGCAGCGCTACATGAGCCAAGCGGCGAGAATTTGTACTACATACGCAAGCTCTGCCCACGGCAGAGCTATTCCGGGAACTTTTGGGTACCCCCTCGTACAGAGGGAATTCAGGTTAAATTGAGGGTTTACTCAAGTTTGTCAACAAGTCAAAAGTCACAGTGTGTTGTCACTGCAACTGCATTGCTATTGTTTGTGGTTTGTGGTGAAACAGATCAACAGATGATGTATAATTGTGCAGATTTCTGATTGGCTGATGGTTTCTATCGTGCAGTAATCTGATTGGTTGGTGGTTTCTTTGTTAGTTTGTTTATAACTGTCTCCATGACTCCATGTTGCTAGTTCAAAGTGAAGTAGTGACAAAGGAGGACGTAGCTCAAATTTGTGATTAATTTTCATTCTGATTGTGTCGGAAAATTGAGTTCCGACATTATGTAGGAAACGGGGTGATTACTGATGAAATATGTGGATACCTATCAATATGTATTTGTTGAACGAAGTGATTTTAATTTAATTTTTGTTGTAGGCTAGTTGCTGGTTGGCTATCGGCAACCCATAGACATGGTGCTCTCCGTGCATGCCGGTTTTGGTTATCTTTGAGTGAGACAGCAGTAAATTACGTCGAGTGCATAACTTATCCCTTGTGAATTTTTCACATCGATGTAGTGAATCCAACATTCTTGAGTGTGGAATCGTGTAAAATTGGTGTCTATTGAGGTTTTGGAGGAACTGTTGTTAGGGCCAGTTTCATTAAATTCCAGTCAATATTTGGGACTGGAATTGCTATATTCCCCTAATTACTATCCTCCAAAACTTCATTTTTTCCACAATTTCACACTTCAGGAAGTGTTTTTAAACTGGGGTCTGGGTCCTAAATCTTTAACCCTAGCGCTGGCAAACGCCGGATATACGGCGCGAACGGCCGCGGCCGAAATGGCAACGCCGGATATACGGCGCCAATGCAGGTGTTACGGTAGGCCTAAAGATTTTTTTTTTTTTTTTTTTTTTTTAGTTTTGTTTGCTTTTTAAGGCTACTTTTGTAATAAATATGTTAAATAATTCAAACCAGAGTACCCTGGAATTATATATTATGTAAGGTGTACGGTTTTGTACATGACCTGGGTTGGATGATTATTTGGTACTAGCGCGGGGGTACGATCAACATAATAATAGGGCTATCAAACAAAATATACAAAGTAAGCTATATAAATTATATATTTTTGGAATCAGCACAAAATTTACTACAATTTTACAATTTACCTTATGATGATAAGTCTAACCTGCACTTAGCTACACGACGGAATATATAACATTTTATAAAAAAACTAGCAGAGTACCCGTTCTTCGTACGGGGTTGGCATATAAGTATCAAATGCTTATAGCAGTTATGAGTGAGGACATGGTTTTAAGAAATTTCGGTTCTTTTTGAAGTTCGTTCGCTACGCTCACTCACCTTTAGGTTGGAGCTCGTTCGCTGCGCTCACTTTCCTTCAGGTTAGCTCGTTCGCTACGCTCACTTGCCTTCAGGTTAGCTCGTTCGCTACGCTCACTCGCCTCCAGGTTGAAGTTCGTTCGCTACGCTCACTCACCTTTTGCTGTTGTCATAAATGTAAAAGAAATAATAGTGCTAGTGCTGCACCCTGTTGGTAATCCTTGTAACTTTTAATGCTATTGAACATCATAGAACAGAACCAACTTGTTTAATTGAAACAGCTGTTAAGATTCATTAATTCCATTTCTCATAAGGTTAACATGGGAAACTCCAGAGCCACTGGGGCGGAGCCCCGAAGGATTTTTGGGATAAAAATATGCCTATATGTTAATCGGGAATGTGAGCTATCATCATGCCAAATTTCAGCCCGATCCGACCAGTAGTTTTTGAGATTAGCTCATACAAACACACACACAGACACCACCTCTTCTTTATAATAGTATAGATTAATACAGTAGAGTCCCGCAAACTCGGCACTCGATAACCCAGCAGTCTGGATAACTTGGCCATCACCTGGCTCAGATAATTAGTGATTTTTAGAGTCTTAGTTAACCCTAGCAGTGGCCAACCATCGTCTGGTGATGGTATGACGTTGATGCTTAAAATGGCCAATGTCGTCTGGTGATGGTATGGGCCGAAATTTGTTTAACGGTAAAAAAAACACTTACAATAAACTCAGATGAGAATAATATATATACCATTCGAAAGATCACATTCTGAACTTTCATTTAATTACATAAAACAAACCCTGTAGCAGGTATATAACAATGTCACGACGATTAGAAATCAAATTAAATTTTGGCGCGGTACGACTTTTGCAGCCGACACTTGGGAACTGGCAAAACACGTCTTGTTTGGCATTACCCTGCTCGGGTAATTTTCGTCTTGGGATGTTGCGGGTGGTACCACTGGATAGCCATTGATTTTATCTTCATTGTGGTAGTGATATTTATAACTAAATATTGTTTGCACAATCGGTACGATTTTATGAAAACAGCTGTTTTCGAAATTTCTAACAAATGGCCAACAGTCTTCTGGTGACAGTATGGAAAATACGAATTATATACAGTGAAAGTTATTATTACTAGTCATATAGTATATCATTTTGAAGAGGAAGAAATTTAGATTCAGAGAGTGGCAGCCCTGCACTCAGGGTTATTTCTGTATGCTCGCATGTAGACGATGGAAGTGAGTCATTACTGCTACAGTCTGTCAGCTGTCTTGTATTGCCATTGTTTGTTTGTGTTGTTGCCGGTAATAGTTTTATCCGCGATTTATTACTAAATATGTTATTAGTTCGTAGTGTTAGTGTTAGTGAAGTGTTGTGTGTGTGTATAACAGTAATCTTCATGCATAAATATTACTGAATTGTGTGAAATAGTGTTCATAAAAGGTTGTATTTTGTTAGCATCAAATCCTAAAAGGACGATTCTGACATTCAGAGATTGTTGTACCTATATAATGATATACCCAAGGTGTTATACATTTTTATAAAGGTAAATGAATAGCCTACACTACAACATGTTTATAATGGTTTGGGGGTAAAAAATTTTGTAAAAAAGTTATAGCCTATACTAAATAGGCCTACTACTGTATTTTGTTAGCATCATGTCCTAAAATGACGTTTCTGACATTCAGAGATCGTTGTACCTATATAATGATATACCCAAGGTGTTAGGCCTAGCCTATACATTTTTATAAAGGTAAATAAATACACTACAACATGTTTATATTGGTTTGGGTGTAAAAAATTTGGTAAAAAAATTATATAGGCTAGGCTACTAAATACTGTACACTCCATTTTCTCGAAATACGGTACGCAAAAAATTCAAAACGTTCTCAAATTGATACATAGCCTAATCATAGGTGAAAATAACTTTTTACCATCATACTTATGACTTTTTTGGATTCCTTATTTCATTAGCTTTACAAATATGTAGGCTACATATCATCAGCCTACATAATGTTTCACAACACAAGCAAACACTGTAGGCTATAGTTTACACTTATTTGCGGTTTTGCGGTTATTGTATTATTATGTCCCTATTACGTACCTACAAAAAAAATATTTCTAACATGTTATACATTTTTATGTAGGTAATTGAATACACTACAAGATTATTATGTTGGTTTGAAGTAAAAAAATTTGGTAGGTACAAAAGTTGTATACTAAGTACTGTGAATTTTTTTTCTCGAGAAATCGCTAAAATATAAAAACATTATTTTAAATACGTATGTTTATAGGTAAAAAGTTATTTTTACCATAACTTTATGACTTTTTTTGATTCCTTACTTCATTAGCTTTACAAACATGTATATCATTATTAGTATACCTACACATATATTATAGAACTTTTTACAACATAAACTAACACTGTACGGTTTTCAATTTTTTCGGTTCTCCGTTTGTCATTATATTTCGCCCCAAAAACTTATAAAAAAAAATATTTTCCTAACATTATATATTTCTATGTAGGGAATTAGATTGTCTACAAAATGTATATAATGAATTTCCCATAAAAAAATCCGTAGAAAAAAAATACCGAGGCCGCTTTTGAAATTTCAAAAAGAATTCAATTTTATTTATTTTTTTCACTTTACCAATAAAATACACTATCTAAATCATTATGATATTAATATTTCTAGATTCTCCTGTTCTTTCAGAACAAAATGAATATGAGGTTGGCTAAGTTTACTTGTACGGTTGAATTTTTACGAATTTTCAAAAAAAGGTCTGCAAAATCGCCAAAATGGGTTGGCCATTCCCCACTTCTAACATTGGCCACTCCTAGGGTTAAACATGGACTCAAGCCAGCTCAAGTCAAATCATTCACAACTCGTACCAAGGGTATGTTGTACTATATCTGGTGACTTAACAATGACTTGTAAGTTAATATAAATATAAATTTTAAAAAGGCGTTAAAAAGCTTTAAAAATGTATTGTTCTTATTTTAACCCTAGTTCCCAATAACCCGGCATTTCACAAACTCGGCACCCTTCCAGTCCACATTACACCGAGTTTGCGGGACTCTACTGTAATGCCTAAAATTCGGAAAAACTAAAAAAAAAGTTTTTGGTGGTAACCATGTAAACCACCTATATTATTGTTCTTTGTTTTATTCTGAACAAAATGATATATAATAACCCATAGTTATGTAGCTATTTCTAATTTTTATGATGGTTTAAAAATGATATTACATAGTTAATAAAATCCCTATGCCAGTACAGCGTTACACTACTGCCAGCTCTAGGGTTAACAAAAACTGTAAGTAGACATCTAAAACATATATATCAAATCCTAATGTAGACATAGGCCTAGGCTACTAAATAATTGCCATAAGCCTAAGTTATAGGTAATAAGTTATTATTAGGCCTAAGTTGAGATTTAAGTTATTTAAGTTAGCCTACTTCAGTGTGGGGCTGTTCATGATGGTTAGCTGTAGATTCAACCAAGAGTTAAATTTAGGACTTATAAATTATAAGCCTAAAGAAGATCTAAATTAAACAACTAAAGGCCTGTGCCTAATTTTCTAGGTCTTAGATGTAGGCCTATCTTCTAAAACATGCAGTTAAAACCCTATGCTTAACTTAATAAATGTTTCCTAAAGAGTCTCACATTTAGAAATTAAGTAAGTAATTAAATTAAAAGCAAAATTAATAGATTAGAAAGGAATTACCCAAAAAACGGATCATCGTCGATGTCTCCTAGGAGTGACCCAAACAATGACATCTTGGATGTAGTATGAGCACTTGATTTATTTATTTTACTTTTAAAGAGAACTGTTCACAAGAAGCTCTGAAAAATGCTACGAAACAATTAAAATACTACCGTAGGTGGAATAAGTCGATTACTTCACGATGGTTTTCTAAAATCTTAGAACTTCAAAAGAGCCTTCTAGAAAAAGAAAATATTCCAAAATCTTTCAGACTTCAGGTTCAGACAAATAATCAGATCACAAATCAGAAGAAGAAGAACAAAACCAGAACCAGAGTGTATGTGAAAGCTTGCTTGATTGGTGCAGAGCAGCAGCAGCAGCAGAACTAAACTAACTTAGCGAATAGCGATTCTACAGAAGAGTAGGGAACAGTAAAGAGGAACGGTCGAAAAATGAGTGTGTTTTTATCATAGATTAATAATTATTTACTTCAACTTATTTTCCCTACAGTTACCTAACAATGTACATGTTCTCTCACTGATTTGAGAAAGCAAAGTGGCCAATTCGCTCATCAGTGAGACAATGTTAACATTGTCTCACTCTAATTACTTTGTCTCACTCCAGATTTGCAACGTGAAGGCACGAAATAGTGAGCGCGTAACATGCAGGCAACGTCGTATGCGCGCGAAATACGTTGGCAGCACTGGCTGTAAATCAGCTGGTCAGCTGTTGTACTGTTGTATTTGTCACTTCACGTTAAATGTTATATTAAAAGTTCACTTCTGTGTAAACATAGGTTATGTTTCTTCACCACTTTATTTGTTTTATGGTAACTGTAGGAAAAGTATAATGTGCAACTCGAGTTCAAAGTACAATTGCCTCACTCAAGAAACCATTCCTCACTCGCCTACGGCTCGTGAGTAAGAATTTCTCTCGAGTGAGTCAATTGCTCACTTTTCTCACTAGTTGCACAAATAACTAATCCAAGCTAGGCCTCGACATAGGTGGCAGTGCACTAGACAGTTCCATAGCAACTTGCAGGACCAATCGCAGCTGACTGAACTGATGGATACCACTGGGGGGTGTCTCACAATGTGTAAGATCAAAGCTCCACAAGGTTAAAAGGGGTGTGCCTCAGGGCTCAGTCCTAGGCCTAGGACCAGTGCTATTCACCTTATTTACCTCTTATCTCCCCCACCTCGTTAGTGAATTCTGCCATGCTGTCATGTTCGCCGACGATACTGTTCTTCTGACCAGCAGCAGGTCTGTGGATGAACTTTTTTTTTCAAACTTCATTTCCATCAGCCTGGCTCAGGACTACTGTCTGACGAACGATTTGGTTTTTAGTGAAAATAAAACCACACAGCTTATTCTGGGCAGAGGAAAACTGAGCGTGGCCGGACCACCTTGCATTGACGCCGTAGTTGCTACCAAACACCTGGGAATGATCATTGACGATACTTTATATCGTGGAACAGCCACGTTGGCGCTCCGTCTCAAACTTTGCTATGCTCTTTTTGGAATACAGCGAGTGTTGACAACCAGAGCACTCCAGATGTAGCCAAAATGGCACACCCTCTTTAAAAGCCACCTTCGATTTTGATATGGAATCATATTTTGGGTGGTTCGTCACAGGAGAATATCGAGCGCATCCTTAAACTCGAGAAGTGGGCAGTACCACGATACCTAGCCGGATTAAAACGAAGAGACAGCAGCAGAGCTGTTTTCAAACACCTTCGCATCCTCACTGTCCCTTCAATATACATTCACGCCGGCAAACTGGAGTCGAACAGGCAGGGCAGCATGCAAAATCACAACATTCGAAATTCAGCTGACTTCAATCTACCCTACCTCTACCACGAGACTGCCGTTTTTTCGAAAAGGCCTAGCTACGCGGGAGCAAAGCTCTTCGTAGTATGTGGTACCACATGGCTCTATACCCTTTTTCACCCCTTTCTCGGCCCTTTTCTTTTTCTTGTGTCAATGAATGATTTGTATCTCAAAGTTGCTGGCAATGTACTGATGAATGCTGACGATACAACTTTCTTATCTGGTGACAGTGATTTTGGTGTTTCCAGGGCTGCAGTCCATCATTTACTGAAAACTGCTTCTGTATGGTTCAGAGAGAATGTTTACTCTAAATTTCTTTTTTTATTTATTTACTTTGCAATATGTTCTATTATACATTGAACAATAAGTAAATGCTCTGTAATACGAAAAATTGACTTTGGAACATTAAAAATAGCTGCTGTTAAGCACTCTCAACAAAAAGATTTTTCAATAAAAACACTTTACAAAAATCTGAAGGGTAGGTCCAGAATTGATGGCCTCTTAAGTCTGTAAATTGTATCCATGTTGTTTAATAAGTTAAGAGCTAAATGATTTTGATGAGATTCCAATTTCGTAATATATCGTTCACTTATGGTCATGATTTCGTCCTTAACTGTAGGCATCTTAAGGTCTTGATGTAGTGTTCTATTGCTGACATACCATGGTGCATTTGTTATCTTCCTCAGCATTGTCGATTTGTATCTTTGGAGAATTTCTATATAAGAAGTACTCGCCGAGCCCCATACTTGCACTCCATATGTCCAGATCGGTTTCAATATAGTTTTATATAGGCTAGCAATAATTTATTTTCTAGACTAAGTTTTGATTTTCTTCCAATGAGCCAATTTAACTGATTAGATTTTAAATTTAGTTGTTGCCGTTTTCTCCATATTTGTGTTTTCCAAGTTAGTTTCCTATCTATATGGATACCTAAGTATTTAACCTCAGTTACTTCGGGAATTTGGGTGTTGTTTATTGTGACAGGAGGACAAGAATTTTGATTTAGAGTAAAAGAAATGTGGACAGATTTAGTTTCATTAATTTTGAACCTCCATGTCTTAAACCAATCAGTAATTATGTTCAGATTTTGCTGTAAATTTAGGTTTACTCAAAATGAGAGAATTTGTCAAAGAATAATGTTTTTGATCAGTCTGCCAAACTGCTGGGCTTTGTATTTGATCCGCAGCTGAATTGGACAAACCACATTGAACTCACTTGTAACAAACTGAGCAGAGTAATATACCTGAGTAGTTAGGCACGGCCACCTTTTACTACAAGCCGCGGCCTGGTCCCGGTAGAATTGGCAACGTCGCAAGTGGTGTTGTTTAGTGACAGACGTCCCATAAGGATAACATGGCAGACAGGTGACATCAGCTCATTAATTATCATTTTTTTTTATTCAAATTAAAATTTATGAACATAAGTTTATTAAAATATTGAAAATAAACCATACAGAATTGAAAACCGAAACAATATGAATTAAAAATCTATATCTGTACATTTTTAAGCGTAGTCAATATTGTCATAGTCCAACCAAGCTTTGGTAGATACACAAATAAATGCCATTTTAGCTGCTTCCAAACAACGTAGTTAAAGGCGGCCGTGAAACAACACACAACGTTGCCACTTCGAAGGCCGCGGCCTGGAGTTAAAGACGGCCGTAAGTTAGAGGTGGGCGTGGATTGGTTGAGTCCAACCATAAGAGTATGTTTAATCTATGGTCCAAACCGCTGTTTGCTGTGTTGTAGTAGTCCAGTCCAGAGTCTCAGTTCAGTTCAGTTATGGTTCAGTCTAGCTCAATTTTAATTACAATTTACAAACCGAATGAGATTTTGTATTATTCTGTCATTTTGATTATATTATTGTTATTAATTAAGTCTACCTTTCTTCTCAATTAATCACAACTAAAGTGTTTTTCGTAATAAGGTTTCGTCAAATCATTGAATTTAATTTAACTTAAAGTGTTGTTAAATTGAATCTCTGACAATGGAGAACTCAGGTAGCGTAAGCTAGTTTAAATTTTATCTACACACTTGTAGCCCTAATTTACACCTGAATTAACCAATTAACTTAAGATTATTAGTAAAAGACAATTATTGGGCCTACGGATTTGCACTCCTTAAAAAACTGTGTCGCTCTTGGTTTAGCTTCCTCTTACTGTAGCACTTTGCAGTATCTTTGTAGCTAGGCCTAGGCCTATTCGTAACTTATGCATGCGATTGAGTAGGTAATAACTGTAAGTTAATACGCTTGGGTACTTTTATAGCATACGTTTGGTACAACTTCTATTAAAAATGCATAGCCTACTTAAATACTGTGCAGGCTGTGTTACAAAACACCGGCAAGGTCTTTTTCTTGAGCTTTTGAACTAGAACTCTTGAAAAAAACGCTAGCAAACATAGGCTAGTTGGCTTGTTCACAAGCTCCATATTTGGATACTTTACTGTTCAAGGAAACATTCATTATAATCGATGATTTTTTTTAGTTACCTACGGTAGGTACTAGGCCTATATAAGTTAAAAATCGAATGGAGTTTGAATGAGTTTACTAATCGAAAAAATAGTTCTGTTCATAAAAAATAAAACTGGTTATAAGTTCCTCAAATTCTAATAAAAGATGTACAGTTAAGAAGTAATCACATTTTAAGCAAGGTACCTCATGACATCAGCAGAGTAGGCCTAACTTACTCTTATCCCCTACACCACGAACATTAATGGCTGCACATCGTATCGTTGCGGTAATGGTGTTCCCTCAAGAGAAGAGAGTGACGTATCACCCCTCACTCTTTCACAAAATAGGTTCTCATCGGTTTTTGACCTGGACCCCGAGACACTAGTGATGGAATTGGATCCAATTTATCTATAAAATGGGGTCATCAGTACTCTAGTTTCTAATGGGTTGAATGCATGGTGTTGGTCTGGAATAATCAATTCATCATACTAACATTATTGGTAATTAACATATAAGTAACTCGTAATAAGCTTTAACAGTACATACCTTTTGAGTACCTACCGATACCAAGAAACTGTACGAAGATAAGATGGTAAAATTTGTGCCGGAAAGAATTTGGAGTAGTGGGCCTACTAAAGCTAGCCTATGTTTACAACTTTGTGTAAACATTCCGGTTTGGTTTGGGGTATTTAATGAATGAAACTACGATAGGCCACCCTAGAAAAAAGCCTATTCTAAATTATTTTTCAACTCTGCTGCAAAAGTCAAATTGAAACCATCCTTAATTACTGTGAGTTAATTAACAAATTAGGCCTATTAGGTACTTCTATTATATGGAGCCCACATATTTTACAGTATGCTGCGACGGTTATGTTAGGTTGGGTTATCGTAACCATGTTTGTAGGACTTTCCTTGTTTTGTTATGAATTGAATTATACCAGATTCTGAGTCATAGCCTACTTTCTATTTTTATGATAACCTAACCTAATATAACTGCCACAGGGGATTTCTTGTTGGCAACTTTTAACACATTCTTTGCTGTATATATAGTTTTGCTTGTCTTCATCTTATCATTACAGATACCCCACTAACACCACCCGCACCAACTCATGTAAGGAAATCCGTAAGTGTGGACACTACCGTTAGTGTGGATGACCCAAATAACTCAGGTAGCTAATCAACAATTTTTGTAGATGTTAGAGGATAGACTATCCATAAGCTTGGAGGGATAGTAAATTATTAATTACTCATTATTGTAATTTTACCTAATGAATAAAATTATCACTTAACTTAAGGGATGGTACATTCACAATTCACCACCTTACACCTTTTGTCCGTAAAGAACTCCCTAGTTTTAAAAATACCTCACGATAGTATTAGTTTAAATGGACGAGTAATAATCCTTTGGTGCTGTAGAGTACGGTATTCTTTGTAAGTTTTAGTTTCGTACGTTGGCAATAAGTTTGGTAGGGTAGAGTGGGGGAATTGGGACCCGGGGGTAATTGGGAGCTATTTTATTTTTATTTTTAAATTTTGTATTATTTATTTTTTTAACAAAATTGTAAATACGTTAAAGTTTAGGCATTCTAAAGGGGTTTCATAAAAAATTATTGGATAATTGTAATCTTGTGTTTAATGTATAAAAAAAATAAAAAAATTAAGCCGTGTTTTTTTAGAATGTTAAACATATGGCAAAACTTCAGCGTGGTAGTATTTCGAGCTATTTTTTATATATTATATGAATTAATAATCATACCAAAATGTATTTTTTGACACATTTAAGGTTTAAGCAATAGTTTGTTAGGGCTTTAAAATTTTTAAAAAAATGATAAATTAATTTTATAAATTTTTTAAAAAATGGGTCCCAATTACCCCGGTGTGGGGAAATGGGACCCATATTTTTCTATCCCACATATAATTAATATTAATATTATAATTAATCACACATATAATTAATCAATAATTAAATGTGGCTGCAGTGGTGATTATCATGTATTATGTGTAAAAACAGAATTTTGAAGTAGGTCCCAATTACCCCAGCATGGAGTAATAGGGAACCAGTCTCATCGCGTGGTTACATCGGTTTGGAATCACAGATGTACAGAAAGGTGAAAAATTTATTTTACAACCACTTGATAAAAAAATAGGGCCTAAAAGAGTGAGCTAAGCCCATAATTGGCCTGTTTTAACTTATAATTGGACTGATAACAACCATTTATTAGTAATTCTTTCGGCTGAAAAAGCAAAATTCCGGAAAGTTTGCATATGACCAGAGAAGAAGTTCGACATAAAATATACTTGTAGTTTTTTTTTATTTAACTATACATGTCTTTAACAGTTTAAATCTATATTTTCTGGCTGTTATCTGCTCTGGTTAATATTTCCCATTTTATTTAGAAAAAAGTGTAATGTTTTGGAAAAAACAGTTTGAACCGTTCTAATGTCCTAAAAAAAAAAATTTTTTCAATAAAAGTATGTTGCATTTTGTTTATTATGTTTTCATTTTCAGAACCCTATTACCCCCACAAATTAATATTAGGTGCTTATGGGTTTATAAGCATAGGTCCCAATTACCCCATGTGGGGTAATTGGGTTCCAAATTAATATTTATTTTTTTTCATAGTAAAATGTATTTAAAAAAATGAAAAACAATGTGATAAGAAGACAAATTACAGTTCCAAATTAATATTTATTTTTTTTCATAGTAAAATGTATTTAAAAAAATGAAAAACAATGTGATAAGAAGACAAATTACAGTTGGAAACCTTGTGCAGGCTCATATTTTGATTTTTTCTGACAATAAAAATATAATTGAAAAAAATAAAAACATGGGTCCCAATTCCCCCACTCTACCCTACACTTTTTTGACCTTGAGCTTAGTTTTGGAAGTAAATAATAATAAAAAATAATGATGAGAATGAGTAAAAATCGCTTGGATATATGCAGGGCTACAAACGGTCCGCATATCGAGGTATACTAGTGTTAAAAAACTGTTATTTCATTACCTTTCATTAATTTTGGTCATTGTAATTTTTAGGCCTATATTGTACAATAAATAAATTTTAAAACTAGGGAGTTCTTTTTCGGACACCCTGTATACCGGTACATAATGGCTTTGCTTTTATAACAGACTAACGGCAAATGGGTAATTAACCCTAATAAGTTGATTGGGATGTTTGTGGTATGGTAATCTAATGCTTTGGTCGTTACTTATTACACTTCACCAAAATAACTTAACTAACATGCCTATTAAATAAAACTAGGCCTATTTCACCCACCACACATTGGTGAATGAACAAATTATATTTATTGGCACAAAAACGTACAGAGTATTACAGGATGTTTGTACAGTTGCTTTGTCTTGAATAAAATTGTCCTAATACAAGTCTTCTCTTCCCTTCTAGGTTAAATAGATTTAAAAAGTCAGACTATCCTATGTTTATAAATAGGATACTGATAAAATTCAACAGGTGAATGTAACAGACTCTGAGAGGGGAAATTCAATGGTGTAGGATTTACTGTATGAATATTAGTGGAAAAGAAAAGATCTAACCACACTACCAAAGTAATTACTAAATTACCAAAGTAATTAGTAATTACTGTGGTTGTCAAAATAGATGACAAGCTACATTGTCCATAAATGGTTTAAAAATATACGCACATAGATGGCGTCCCCCATCTCAATTGACGATGATAGTTAAAAGTAATACCTATCTACTATCACAAGCAATATAAAAAAAAATTAAATATTAGTAAAATTCAATTCAAAATTGTCTATGTGTAGACTAAAGACTATTTGCATGTTGGAATTTATATAATTATACATTCTCTGTGAATTATCACGGAGGATTAACTATTTGTTACTATTAACTACAGTTGACTTTCACAAAGATATTGTAAGCTTGGTTATTTACATTCCAGGTGGCGATGCTGGTAATCAAGAAGAAGAACAGAGCATTGAAGACCTCATAATCGACGTAGACTGTGAGGTAATTATTTAAAATACTCTTGCATACATGTTACTTTTTTAAACTAATTATCAATGTGTGTTTGTTTGGCTTGCATGAGAGGTAAACATTATAACTAACCACAAATAATTAATTTATTGTCAAAATAAGGACACAGCTATTGTTGTTTAAATCCTGCTGTTATTTTGTTCATGTTGCAGAGTCTATTATATTGTTATTTTTCTGCTAGTACTTATTGAAAAGCATTTTTTATGTCTCTTTCTTGTTAGTATTGTCTCCAGTTGTTTCATTACTTCACTACTGGTATTTAGTAACTAACAGAAATCTTGAACTTCCCTGTAAAAAGATTTTGAATCTTGATTCAACAGCATTTTTAACTCTTATCAATTTGTCCCTTAAGCCATGTTTAGGCCTACACGAAGCCAGTAGAGCAGGCAGGTTACTTGCTTGTTATGTATTTCAAGTTACCTTAGCCAAGTAACCTGCCCGCCAACTGGCCTCTTGTAAACGCGGCTTCAGTTGTACGGTACCTGTTTTTCATCAACTCTGCTTTGCCTATCATGTTGCGTGGTATTTATTGTGTGGCTATCATTCTTGTGGATGTTATTTTGTTCTTATTGCTTGGAATCTATTGTATTGTTATTTTGTTCTGCTAGATATTTATACACTATAATAGTGAATCATTTTTTGAGGCTATCTTTATTATGTCTTGTTCTTGAAATCTTGTTGTCTCCAGTTTTTTCATACTTATGTACTTTTTGTCACAAAGACATACTGTATTTTCCAGTAAAAATAGTGTATCCGTAAATAAAATAAATAAACAAAACAATGGATTATTACTTAAACACTAATGCATGATGCTAGGCGCTATAAATATTTTGTAGTAATAACAACATCAAAAACTATGTATAACACTTATCTTTATTCATTGTTATATTATTTATTGCTATTGGGTATTGAATTTATTGTTCGTTTTTTTTTCAAACCCAAATTCATCTATGTATTGGCTAAGCCGTTGACATGTATAAATAAATCTTAGAAGTGATATGAAACACATGTCCGACAAACCTTATTCATACAATTGAACACAGACATGCAAGTTCATAAATGGGGATACTTTTGTGCAAGAAGTAATTTGTTTTGATCTAATTTGACTACCAAGATATGGTTGCTGTTTTGATGCTAAAAAAGTCAAAATCTGTTTAATAGTTCGTAATAGGACTCAGCTATCCTTTATCATTGGGCTTTTATTGATCCTGGCTGAAGAATCAGCTGATCTTAGTCAGTAATTCAGTTGTCATCTCGTCCATTCAGCACTCATCGTTCTCAAAATACAAATCTTGATGTGTCGGCGTTGTATAAATATCTATTCAAAATAAAGAAGGAACAAATAAAAAAGTTTGTAGGCTAGTAAAATCATTTCTTCTCAATTGAAAAAAAGGTTTTGGTTCCCAACTGGACATGTTTAAACATTCAATACAGTCATAGTTTCTTTTTAATTATACTTTTTTCAGGAAGAAAAAAACATTGAAGATCTTAAAATTGAGGTAGATTGTGAGGTGAGTAGGACAATTGGTTTATAATACAAAGTGATTATATCGACTTGAAATAATACAGATTGCTTGGAGTTGCTAAATGGAACACACTAATTAATCTAACCATTTAACCTGGAAAACTTCCCCATCTTGTTCTTCCCAGCTAGGGTGCTTGTGGTATAAATGGTGTATTGTTCTTGAACTTGTGGAACTGTGGAGATGGAATTAAAGTTATTTAAGTGACTACTAAATAATAGTAGTTTTGCGAGTTGCGTACACTACTTTACCTACGACTGTGTTTTAATTACTAAAAATCACTACTAATAACTTCTAAGAGAGGTTATGTTTTCGTTTATAACCCCTCATTGCCACTGTCAGTGATGCAACAAAACATGGTACCAAACACTAATTGCACCACTCAACAATTGAATTGGCCTGAACAGCTGATTAGTTGAAGTTTGAATCATTACAATTTTACTTATTCTTCCAATCCTTGAACCTCATTGGTCCGTTACCCATGTTGCTATGAGTAAAGGTATGCTGTTATGAAAGTAAACAATGCTGTTATGTGAAACTTCAATTCTAAGAACTGAACTGAAACGGCTACTTTAAAAAACGGTGGTAGATAAAATATTTATTTGTAACAGATAGTTTACAGAACTGGTGTGCAAACTCATTATGGCATGCCATTACACAATATCTTGTCTTTTCCTGGAGCTCGAATGTGACGTTGGTGTATACTTTTATCAAACTAATTTCTCATCATACCTAAGATCAGTCATGTGACTGTATACTGATAAACAATGAGTCCTATTAAATAATTGTTTTTGGTTTTTACTTATTATCATGTTGCTTGATCCAGATGAAGCACTACTTTAACTTGGATTAGAGATTAGGCTGTATTGTAACTGGACCAATGTTTCTGCAAATCAAGTTTGATTTAAAAATAATTTTATATTATACTGTAAAGAATTGACATGTTGGTTATTGTGTTATTCAGTTTCGATCTCAACAGTGATTGAATTTGAGGACACGCTCCTTGCTGTTCAGTGTATTTTAAACTCCCAGGTCTGTCTGTGGTTCTTGATTGTCTTTTTAATACGTCCTCTATTAATTTGATGAATCTCTCGTTCAGTCACACCGCGATTAGGGGTCTCAATCCCGGGCCTTCAATCCAATCCCGGGATTATATAATATTATGATTTTTAACTTTTTAGCCATTTTAAATTAGCGAGAAGTCCCCTTGTTGAGTACTTAAATGTTTCAAACTTTGGCCAGTGTTACACTGCGCAATGTTTCCATTTTCTAAGTAAATAAATATTATCACACGGAACTTTCATTGCCCTTATTTCTTATTTACAGTGTATAAATGTTGATATGTCACTCTAGATTATAATAAATACATTTAAAAAAATCACGAGCAACCGCACTCGCACGTAAGCATTACGTCACGCTAATAGATAGATTAAAGATAGCTAAGAGAAAAAGATAAAATGGGAAGAATCACGAGTAGCTGCGTAAAATGTTATTTTGACTTACACCAATACTTAAATTTCCGATTGTAATGTTATGTTTGCTACACAAATTGCGTTGTTTACGTTTAATGTCAAAAGTAAAACTCAAAATAACTTATAGGCCTACTGTAATTAAGTTCTAAATAATGTAATAACAATTACAGAAAGTAAATCCAAATCGTCTAAAAACTTAAAACATATATTTAGGCCTACATTCGTTCGCCTATTTGAGTTTAATGATAGTTAAATTATCCAATCAAAAAAGATCATTACTTGTACCATTTCATATAATCGTCCTAAAAATAAAGAGTGTATTTGTTTCAAGTGTTATTGGACTATTTTTTATTGATTTTCCGTAAGTAAAAGTCCTAAAATTCACAAAAAAATCAATATAAACATAGGTTTTGCAATCCCGTTAATCCCGGGATTAAAAGACACTTGTCCCGGGATTTCTAGGTATCAAAAATCTGCTGAGATCCCGGGATCCCTTAACCGCGATGCACATTCAAAATACCGCTTATTTCAGTGACCGCTTTACTGCTTCAAACAAGACTGTTTAACAACAGCGGGTCGCCAAAATGTTATCCCCCTGGAATTTTACACCTGGATTTTTAACCCCCCCCCTGAATTTTACCCCCTGGCATGAAATGAAAATCATTGAGAATGATTAATTTTCTTCTTTCAGTTTTAACTTAGGCCTAATAGTAAACATTTTATCATGAAGTAGCCTATGTTTTATTAATTTTTATTTTCGGGTTTGGGGCCAACTGTTGGTTAATATGTATATAAAATGTTTACTATTAAATTAAAACTAAAAGAAGAAAATTAACCATTCTCACTAATTTCTATATCTGGCCAGGGGGTAAAATTCCAGCCCGTACACTCGTATTTGATGTGTTCTGATTAAATCTACAACCGTAAAATTTGTTTAATTCCACCTTTTATCTATTGAACTGATGTTGTGCAACTCAAAGGTTCGCGGCCGGAATTTTACCCACTGGTTTGTGACGTCAGTTTTGCCCAGAGGGTGAAATTCCAGGGCAATAGATTCCGCTTCCCCACGACAGCAGTCAGCCTACACCATGGAAAAATTGTGAAAATTTTAAAGATTATCTCTGAACTCCTTCAACCCTCTGCTCATTTTCAACGCCCAAACACTTTACACCATTTATGTCAGTCAAGTATCAATGTAGCTTCATTTTGGTGGACAACTGAGACCCCAGATATCTAATCGCAGATTCGATTTATACTTTATGGTTATGTCAATTTTTTTCACAAGGTTCATCTACTATGAAGAGACTAAACGTCCCATAGAGGTGTGAATTGACTAGAATTGTAGGGGATGAAGTAAGGAACTCTCATATTTTATGTATTAAAAAAATGTTCTTGGAGGCAATAATAAATAAAAATATTGTATTACTAAACCAAAACTGCTTAAACATTTAAATCAAATTAATATTAAAAACATAAATTTTCAAGTTAGAAACATAGGCCTACCTAAAATATGCTTGTAATTAAAATAATAAATTTTATGAATTTCCTGATGAGAGACATTTCAGTATTTCATTTAAGGGAATTTCAATAGTAGTTGTTTCATTTGAATAGTAACACTTTGATTTTTTTTATGCAGGAACTCGATCTCAACCACAGAAGAATCCAAAAGCTTGAGGATTTGGAACCTCTCAGGTGTATAGAACGTCTGTACCTTCGCTGGAATCTGATAAAAAAGATTGAGAATCTGTCCACATTGACTACTCTGAAAGAATTGGAACTTTACGACAATCAAATCACCTGCATAGAGAATCTTGACACCTTGGTAAATCTGGAGTAAGTTTGTTTATTAGACACTAATTGTAAGAAATTATCATTATAATTAGTAAACGTTCCATCCTTAAGATTTCGACAGTTGGTCGCCAGATTGTAAACTTTACACTTATATTTTTATTTGTTTTTGTACTATTTAATTTCATTAATAAATTGCAAATGTTTTATGATTTGAGTGTACTGCTACACACACAAGACAATAGAGTGCTCTCACTAATGGTCGTTGTGCCTATGTATTAGTGATTGTAGTAGATGGAGAGCAGTATGTTTAGGTAAATTTTTCATTTGCTGATTTTTTTTGTTACTACAATACAATTTTGAGTGAGAAAGAACCTAGACTTTCCCAAGATCAACACATTTACTCGGCCATAGCTGTTATGCTACTATCATGACATGTTGACGTTGTACAGCACAACATTGTAAAAACTAGTTTTTTGCAATGGTTAAACGTTTTATGAACAATGAACATAGCCATTTTTAACCCAAGAAAATCTTTGATAAAAAAACACTAGACAGCCAAACAACTCAGGTTAATAACTCAGTGATATGAGTTGTGCTACAAACTTAGCCTTGCTGGACACAAATTTCTGACTATGCATCCTGGGTAGCCTTTTGTCAAGGTTATCAAAAAATAAAATATTTGTTCACTGGGAATTGACATGCAAGGTTCAGCTAATTAGGTCACAATCACAGTATAAAAGTAGGGATGGACATGGAAAGTATTGTACTTTCAGTTTGGGATAGGACACGATTTATATTTCTTTCCTGATTTTTTGGATGGGATCAGAATTTCCTCTTCTAGGCTACAAGGAAAAATTTAATTTGTTAAAATTTGGAAAAATTTCTTGTGGCAATAATGATAATGAAAATCAATTCTCAGTCTTTATTTCTGTGTACTATTCTATGTCATCATGACTTTATAAATCCATGATCACAGGGACATCATCGCCACCCACCATGGCAGAAAAATCGTGAACAAATCACTGGTCACAGCGAATTTGTGAACATTACCTGTAATCGTGGGGGATAACATTATCTCCTAATATGGCTACAAAATCTTATACATCTCCCTTAATCACGGGGACACCATCTTCTCCTACAATAGTGGTGATACCCTTGACGTCCCCTATCATTGCAAAGACATAAATGTAATCCCCTCCAAAAATCTGAAATATATTTTTTACTAACTTTGTCCGTTTCTAAAATTTGTAGTCTTATGGAAGTCTTATACTCATAAGGTCTTAGTTTATGACGAATGTTTAAAAATTTGTGTAGTACATTGAAAACATTACACATTGATAAATGGATACATCATGATCAATAACAAATAATCTAAAAATACCAAAACACATCTTAGATCATTAATGGTCCTTGGTAATTGGTCATAATTGTTAGTTATCACATTATGTTCTGTTTCAGGATTCTAGACTTGTCTTTCAATAGGATCAAAGAAATAACTGGACTAGAACAATTACAGAAGTTAGAAAAGCTTTATCTCTGCTCAAATAAAATTTCCAAAATAGAAAATGTAAATCACTTGAAAAACTTGAACCTGCTGGAGCTTGGAGATAATAAGATAAGGGTGAGTAAACTTGTGGTTTTTAAGTTTCTTTTAAAAAGCACTTAAAATTGTAACTGATTATTTTAAATCCAAGCATTGGCTTTAAATCTAAAATTAAAATAAATAACATTATAAAATTAAGAAACATTAGGACATGATTAAAAATAGAAAAAAATAGTTTTAAAATAACTTAAAACTGTTACTGTTGCTTTCCAATTGTTACTGCTGTAAGTTTTATTTTGGATCTAAAATGTATTTTATTTTTTCAGGTTGTTGAAAATCTAGAAGGTCTTGATAACCTGGAAAAACTTTACCTAGGAAAGAACAAAATCACAAAAATTGAAAATATACATACTCTAACAAAATTAACGTGTGTTAGTTTTCAGGTAAGTTGTGTTATAGTTGTAACTAGCAGTGTGCCCGTTCTAAGGACGGGGATTTTTTACAGTAGTTAGTTGAAACATTATTATAATCAGAACAGCAGGTTGTTTGCATATCAAGTTGGGCTTTTTTCAGATATTCAGGCAAAACTAACATACACATAACTAAATACAAAAAAATGGAACATCGGTGGATGTCACCACGGTGTATTTAAACGTTATTAAAGACAAATTAGAGGAACTACGAGATAAGGCTAGAAACAGGAATGGCTTACCAACAATGGACACTTCACCTACCCCTGCCCGTCCTCCTCCAAGTTCAGCTGATCCGGCAGTCGTGGTTAGGCGTTTGACCCGTGTGTGGGAACGAAATTGTGTTTTCCAACCGTTAGGAAGCGGAATGTTTCTCGTGAATGTTGAATATTAAGGGAAATATGGAGCTTGAAAGTAGTAAATTTGTCATATTTTGGTACCAATTCACAGGGGGAATGGGTAATGCAATTCTCACCAAAATTAGCGTCCAGGTGTGAAAGAATAAGATAATAATCGTTAGCTATTTAAAATTAAAATTTTTTAACTTTTACAATTTATTTTTTTCTATAAAATTAAAAAATATTTAAAAGTTTTTTTAATAATTTAAAAATAGCTGATTGTCTTTGGGTAAAATTCATCTATATGATGGATTTTTTTATGCGATATGTTAACTTGTTTGGGCTGTGAATTCGTACCTTTGATGCCTTGGCGCTGGCAGCGCACTACCCGTTGAGAGTGTCTACACTCACACCAGGGCTATAAAATACATTAACATTATGTAATTATTAACATCATGTAACATTAACAGAATACATGTATCATTATATTCTATAGCCCCTAAAAAAGCCCCGTTATATTCTATAAAAATAATAAAAAATTTAAAAAGTTAAAAAATTTTAATTTTAAATAGCTAGTGATCATTATCTTATTTTTTCACACATGAACGCCAATTTTGGTGAGAGTCACATTACCCATTCCCCCTGTGAATTGGTACCAAAATATAACAAATTGACTACTTTCAAGCTCCATATCTCCCTTAATATTCAACATAAAAAATTTTTCTCATATATCTCTAACTTTTAGTATAATTGAACAATAACAAAAAATCTTAGATCAAATTTTTGACCAAACACCCTTAAAGATTATGTATGCAAATTTTTTGTTAATAGATTTAAACAGTACACCACCCTGTTGAGCATATTTTGCTCCCAGGATTATGCCATATTGCGCAAACTGGTTTAATTATAAAACATTGATCCCGAATTTAGGTTCTGTTGAGGAAAAGCTTGTATTGGTCACAGGGCTAAAGCTGTCGAGTTCAAAAACCAATTAGTGAACTTGCTGAGACAATTAACAGTGTCAATGAGTTGTTTCCAATAATGCCAATCAAGTTGACATGGGTTTAATTAAATTGTCCCCAATTCACTTTGTATTTACCTTCAATCTTAAATCCATACAAATTTATCTTCAATATACGTCGCTAATCTATTGCAAATAATACTTACAAGTTTATATTGTTTTCCTCACTCTTCTTGTCATAGTTTGCAATAAAGCTACAGAGAATTTGTATGCTAGGCTTGTCCTATATTTATATTCACATTAGAATAACACAAAAATGTCTTATCAAAAATGAGAAAAGAAGAAAAATAATACACATGTAGATAATTTGAATACCATAAACCTCAATCTTATAGGTACTTACTTACTTACTCTTACTCCCATGGCCATTTGTACTTGGCCTCACCTACACACTGCTCTCATGATGTGTCTGTTTACATCTGTGGTGTTTTTTACATTTTTGTAAGAAAATGGTCCAAAATCGTTGTCTTACTATTTGTCACTATTTAATGTCGAACTTTGTTAGCATTGTTATTGTTAATTGATGAAAAATGCTAACGGGGTCAAAAAGCAATCCCTCTCTGGTTTGAACCCTTGGATATGAAGGCGAACACTACGACCACCTGGCTACCGAGAAAATTGCAGTGTAAAAATAGTGTACATCAATCAAATAAGAATATGCATATTTTTGCAGGCCAATAGGCTGACAGAGATCAGCGGATTGGACAAGCTCACTGAACTGGAAGAACTTTACCTATCAGAGAATGGAATCACAAAGATCGAGAACTTGGAGAACAACACCAAACTGACCACACTGGACTTGGCGCAGAACAAAATCACGTCAGTTGAGAACATCAGCCATCTTGAGTTACTAGAGGAGTTCTGGGTGCGTATTACACGTTGATAAGAAATTGTTACAAAATTAATTTATTCACTTTTTCATTTTCAATTTCATAAATTGGAAGAAGCAACTGTGGAAAAGTGATTTAAAATAGTATATTTTGTACCTAGGGCCGAAAATGAGGTTTTGCCGGCTCGATTCGAGATGAAGTCGAGAACTTAAATCGATCGAGAGCTGCAAAACCATTTCGGTCCGTGGTGCAAACACGCTATTTTTCACCACACTATACCCTATTACTACTATTTACCACTTTAATAATGCACACTGATAGTCAACACAACTACAACTTTAAGATTATGTGAAGAAATAATTTGATGAATCAATAACACAATTCTATTGCAATGCTATGGATTTTGATTGTGTATTTAAAATGCATTCATGTTTTAAGTAAGTAAGCGGACAGCTGATTTTGCGGCCCCGGGCTGTAAAAACCTGCTCGGTCCCCAAATTACGATGACAGCTGGCATGGCCAGCAAAACGTAACTTTAAGCCACTAATTAACGTATGTAATACAGCCAAAAACATTGTAGTGTGGTGAAAAAAAGATTTATTTACCAAAATAATTGAAATTGAATAAAGCATTATTTTATACACTCTCATGATTTACTTAGCTACCAACTGGTTGTTTCTGAAATTCAAGGAATTCTACTTATTATAACCCATAAAGTATGCATATTACAAATCATTCTTTGCAAGAAAAGTTACTGAGAGTCAACTTGAGGTAAAAAGGACTATGCTAAGTGTTTTGACTAGGCTACGTGTTTGGAGGGTTTTTTGCATATGAGAGGAAAAAGAAAAGATAGTTATGGTAGATAGGGTTTTTAAGTTAAGATATAGATATTTAGGTTACTTGAAAACGGGATGAGTTTCCTTACCTTCCGAAATATAGGGTATTCAAAACACTTTGTTGAAAAAGTCCATTTTACCTAAAATTATAATAGTTGTCCATCCCAATTAGAAACTTAAAAAATTAGAAATAGAAAATTAAAAACACAACTTTAATGCACAGGACCTAGTATACACTGTAGTCAATACAAACTCGGTATTAACAAAGGTTCAAATACCTGCTATTAAACAATCCAACGTTGTTGTAAACACAACTAGTATCATCATCAGGCTGTACAAGGACGGTTCTCTTTCTTCATACGAAGAGCGTCATATTGTTCACACGAAAATAATTAAATAGACATTTAAACACGAGACAAATGTCTCGTATTTGTGTTATTTCATTCGTGTGACGAGACAAATGTCTCGTATTCGTGTGTTAATGCATCCGTGTGACGAGACAAATGTCTCGTATTCGTGTCCGTGTCGTGTTTAAATGTCTATTTTATATTTTTGTGTAAACAATATGATGCTCTTCATACGAAGAAAGAAAACCGTCCTTGTACAGCCCGATGATGGTGCCACACAGGCACCAAAACTAGTTGTGCTTACAACAACTTTGGATTGCTTGATAGCAGGTATTTGAACCTTTTTTAATATTATTTGGCAATCCGGAGGCTAACACCTACAATGAAACAAACTCAGTATTTGATTGCTATTTTTTTTCTATTTTGTTCTGACAGTATTTATAACTACAGATGTATGAGTTGAAAAAGCTCAAAACGGTATTTTTCTCTTCAACTTATTCCTCCACTAGTTTAAAATGCTGTCAGTGACAGTGGGATATTCTTATGTTTTGAGTGTGTTCAGTTTTTTGTTCATCGTGTCGGATTGGACTTCTGTTATTGTTTATAATGTTGTATGACAAGTTTGGTGGATGTTTCAGCTCAACGACAACAACGTGACTGATTGGAACTCTTTGGACGTCTTGGCTAACAACAAGAAGCTGGTGACCGTGTATCTGGACCACAACCCCATCAGTAAGGACACCAACTACAGGCGGAAGCTGAAACTGATAATCCCGTGGATTACGCAGATAGACGCAACCCTAGCTAGGTATGTTTCTTACTCTGCATAGTAGAGGTGTGCGAGCGTGAGGTTTTCAATCCAGCCAATACGAGCCTAGCTTTTTAAAAAAAAAAATCACTTGGTCAGTATAGGTCTTTTATGCTTAAAGCATTTAGAACCGGAGATCTTTTAGCAATGATATATTTTTTTTCAGATAAGTCCTCTTCAGATACATGCTGGTTCTTCTACAATGCAGTGAAACCCAAGGGCTGCAGACTGCACTTAAAGACCAAGTCACTTACAACTCCATTGTATGCTGCAAACCATCTGGTTCTACAATTAGTTGCTAAAGACATTGACATTTTTGTTAAAGGTTTTTAAAGTTATGTTATTCGCGCAAGTTAAAACAGTATTTAGACAATGAGACATTTTTCCAAATGTTAAGTTGAGGTACCATATTTATTTATAATAAACTTGAGAATGATAAGGTTAAGTGAATTTGTATATCTTGTGAATACTGTATTAGATTGTATTTATGGATCAGCAAATGTTAACTACTTAATATTATTGTATGTAAAACTTAACCTGTTGCAGTTGTAACTTGCACAAGTGTATGAATGTTAATCAGTTAAAGAGTTAAAACTGTCGTTAGACTGGTCAAACTGGACGGATATTTCTTAATTTTTTAACAGGTTAAAATAAGTTTAGCCTACGGCTTTTTTATTCTTACATTTGCTTGTCCACATAGGCCTGTGCCTGGAATTATAACAAGCGAAGCAAGGAACGAGCTCGTCTCGGTAGAACCAGTGCAAGCTTTGGTCAGGGCTAGATCCCAAAAATCAATGCATTTTATCTACGTGACAATGCCATGACCCTCTAGGTATAGCTTGAAGTAATGTGCAGGGTGTCTAGTAGTCGGGAAAATCGGGAAAGTCGGGAATTAGTCTTGAATTTCAAAATGGTCTTGAAAGTCGGGATTTAGCCTTAAATTTGATTTCAAAGTCGGGAATTTTCGTGATTTTGCCGCGATCGTCGTCTTGCGTTTACGTGACTGAAAAAGCCAATGATGATGTCTACACGGCCTCGGGAAATGTTCACGATTTTGCCGCAATAGTTGACGACGACGATGACGTTTCCGTGACCGCGGGAGATGACGTTTCCGTGACCGCGGGAGACGACGATGACGTTTCCGTGACCGCTGGAGACGACGATGATTTCTGCTCGGCCGCGGGAAATGTTCATGATTTTGTCACGATCGCGGACGACGACGATGACGTTTCCGTGACCGCGGGAGACGACGATAATGTCTACACGGCCGCGGGAAATGTTCATGATTTTTCCGCGATCGCGGACGACAACGATGACGTTTCCGTGACCGCGGGAGACAACGATGATATCTGCTCGGCCGCGGGAAATGTTCATGATTTTGCCGTGATCGCGGACGATGACGATAACATTTCCGTGACCGCTGGAGATGACGGTGATGTCTAAACAGCCGCGGAAAATGTTCATGATTTTGTCACGATCGCGGACGATGACGATGACGTTTCCGTGACCGCGGGAGACGACGATGATGTCTACACGGCCGCGGGAAATGTTCATGATTTTGCCGCGATCGTGGACGACGACGATGACGTTTCCGTGACCGCGGGAGATGACGATGATGTTTCCGTGACCGCGGGAGACGACGATGATTTCTGCTCGGCCGCGGGAAATGTTCATGATTTTGTCACGATCGCGGACGACGACGATGACGTTTCCGTGACCGCGGGAGACGACGATAATGTCTACACGGCCGCGGGAAATGTTCATGATTTTGCCGCGATCGCGGACGACAACGATGACGTTTCCGTGACCGCGGGAGACAACGATGATATCTGCTCGGCCGCGGGAAATGTTCATGATTTTGCCGTGATCGCGGACGATGACGATAACATTTCCGTGACCGCTGGAGATGACGGTGATGTCTAAACAGCCGCGGAAAATGTTCATGATTTTGTCACGATCGCGGACGATGACGATGACGTTTCCGTGACCGCGGGAGATAACGATGACGTTTCCGTGACCGCGGGAGACGACGATGATGTCTACACGGCCGCGGGAAATGTTCATGATTTTGCCGCGATCGTGGACGACGACGATGACGTTTCCGTGACCGCGGGAGATGACGATGATGTTTCCGTGACCGCGGGAGACGACGATGATATCTGCTCGGCTGCGGGAAATGTTCATGAGTTTGTCGCGATCGCGGACGACGACGATGACGTTTCCGTGACCGCGGGAGATGACGTTTCCGTGACCGCGGGAGACGACGATGACGTTTCCGTGACCGTGGGAGACGACGATGATGTCTACACGGCCGCGGGAAATGTTCATGATTTTGCCGCGACCGCGGACGATGACGATGACGTTTCTGAGACAGCGGGAGACGACGATGATGTCATTGATGTCTACAAGGCCGTGGGAAATGTTCATGATTTTGCCCTAATCGCGGACGACGACGATCACGTTGCTGTAACCGCTGCAGTCAATGATGATGTCTAAACGTACGGTACATGGAAGATTTCATGAAAAAAAAACAAATTTGCTAGTTAGAATTTTTTATTGCTGCATTATTTCTTTACTTGAAAACACCACATTATCATAATACTACTTTATGGCAAAGACAGGGGTTGGTGTAGTATTATTCAGAAAATTTGGTTAAGCTATAAAAATTGGTATCAGTATCAAGAATCGAGAATCGATACATTTTGGTATCAACACGCACTAATTGTTGAAAAAACTAGTCTTGAAAAATCTGGAATTAGTCTTGAAAAGTCTGGAATTAGTCTTGAATTTTATAATGGAAATAAACTAGACACCCTGAATGTGTAAAACAGTTCTGGGCTAGAGCTAGCATCCTAAAAAGTAAAGTTGGAGGGGGGGGGATGAGCTGGTACAGTATAAGATTGGAATGACGCCTCTGGGACGCGGACCCACAAGATTGCTGTCTCCACCACTGAGCCGCTAACCGCCATATTTATTCAATTGAATTACATATAGTGGCATGTCTGATTTTTAAAACTAAATATGTACCACTAAAACCTGATTATTTTATTATACTGCAAGTTTAATTTCATTTTACAAAATTGTAGATACAATCTGACAATCAAATCTCTAATTTTAGTATAATGCACCAAAATATGTTAAAACCATGTTTTTTTTATTGATTCTTGAAATTAAGGAAAATTTTGACAAGTCAAGATATTATATGATTTGTTTTCAAATTGTATGAAGTTTAATCACATGATTATAGACTGTGCATTTGTGATTCTCTATTTATTTCAATACCTTAAAATCTTTTCTGCCATATTGCAGCAAAAACAGCCATATTTAATAGATGCCTTCCAGGTCTATAGTAGTACTTTTACCCCCTAGGGATCAAAAAACCTTATTAGTCCCTAGGGCTTGATAATAGCAATCATAATTATTTATCGATTTATTTAATCAGTTGCAGTTTATTGTTGCATTCTTGACAATATATTGATACAGTAGAGAGTCGAAAATCTGAACGTCAAAAATCTGAACCGCTCCTGAGCATTTAAAAAAATTGAATTACACATTAGCATAGAACTAGTACATTGCTAGAATTAGTAGCATAGAGACAACAGATGTTTTACAATTTCGCGAGCCAAACAGTCGGCACCTGGCAGGGAAATGAGTGAACATGCCGAGCCAGTCTGTTTTGTTCGTTTCCAATGTATAAGCTCTACAGTTATATAACAAAAATACCTAAGTACAAAAATCATTATTTTTATTTCATTGACTGTATCCTAGAACTGTATTTTTAATACTGTAGGCCTAAGTATGTGTCTATTAGGCATTTCTAGGCTATGTTTGAAAATCCGAACAAATCGGTAATCTGAACTACCTACGGTCCCAATTGGTTCGGATTTTTGACTCTCTACTGTAGTATAATTTACACTATCAATCAATCGATCAATTTTCTTTATTGAGATTTCTTTAAGAAATACAATACTGTCATATTCATGGATTGTTATTTGAATTTTCATCTTGCTTGATAATTTTGATCAAAGAATTCAATCATAATAGACTAAATGATTGAATCATTTACCAATTAGCTGCTTGTTTGCATTAGCAAAATTTAAAACACAGAAGTCGTTTTGAGATGTTATCTTTACATGAAAAGTATTTTAGTTTTCTAACTTAGTTTGTTAAATAATATTGCAATATGACAAAAAATATAGTTAATCATACAGGCACCGGTTCTTTTCAACGCTCACTCATTTTCTGACCAAGACTTTGTGAAACTTGAGCTGGAGTCAAAAAGAGTCACTTTATGCCCTAGTGATGAAATACACTATTTCTTAATTGTTAATTAATGTGTATGATATTTCATGTTTAAACATGATTTTGTTAACCTTAGTAGAGGAATCCTACTCTACAAAATAAATTGCATTAACATAGCACAGAACTGAATATCTTTTAGTTAGACTGTAGAAATAATAATATTATGGTGCACACAAACAATAATTGTTAGTAAATATTTTGAATAAATCCCCTTTCTTACCACCAAAACGGTTTTATCTAGAGATTTATCCTATTATATTTTTGTACATTTATCAATGTATACATGGATAATTATTAAATTACCATTGCATTCACAGGCTGGCAGGAATGTAAAAAACAATATATTTGTGTTCACTGGATGCTAATTCAAAATTCATTTGGTTCGGTTTACAAAATTAATATAGAAAATGCTATTTTATTAATTTCAATTCCTGGTTTTGAGATGTATCTAAGATAAAGTGTTAAGGAATTACACCGTTTTATGAACCATTCAAGTACCTGATAGCTACAATTACAATTCACAAATAAATAGCAATCCTCTTAAAAATATGAGACTAGAACCAGTAATTTCCACTTTACAGGGTAAATACTTATTCTATAAGTTATGGAAAATATGTAGTGTTCTAAAATAGTTCAGTTTCTTTTCCGATACAAAAATGCTGTGATTCTTATTCAAGAAAAAATTTAATGAAAACATTGAAAACCAAGTGGTTTAAAATAACTACAAAAGTCTCTTGACATTGACAATCGTCTTTGTAGAACTCTCTGGAACAATTTCCCCAGAAAAAAGACACCATAAAGTATTAGGAATTGACAATCCCTCAAAATTACTGGTATAAAAAGGTTTTAAGGAATTTAGGATTGGCCCACTCCTAGTTATACCAGTCAACCCGTGGACTTTCAATTTAACTGTAAATGGTTAAATAATATCTTTGCCAAACATTGCCCTTGATCCCAAACAAGTGGTTACAAATTATTAATTTTATTTGGGTTTTATTTACCCTTGTTTTTTTATTTTTTTTAGTCAAGCTATGCATTTGAATAAACAGTTCTTATTTAATTTTAGTTAGTGTAGTCTTAGTTAAAGGTAGTATTGGTGCCAATCTGGTTCCATGTTTGTGATCAATAACTTAGTTCAATATTGTTCCTCCATTGAAAATGATGTCAGTTTTTAACCTCAATTAAATTATTTCCTCAGCAATGTTGTTTTTTCTTATAGTTCAAACCTGTTCAAAACATTAGCTAAGTGTTCATTAAAAAATACTAGTGATCGTCCAGTGGTCGAAAACTCGACCAAAAACAAACATGTAATGTACACGTATTGACTATTGGATACTCAAAGTTGACAAAGTAGATGGATCATAACAGTTGCTATTGCTCAAAATAAGCCATTCCATAAGTTTGACTTGGTAAAAAACATCATGTATTCAACAGAAATTAGTCATTTAGATCAGCGACGAATTAAAACAAAAAAAAAAACTGGTGACAACTTTAACTTGGGGATGGAATGTAAAGGTACAGACTTCTCTATTTGCACCACACACTGTAAATAAAACATGTAATTGTAATTTCTTCCATTTGTTTTGATTTTCTGTTTATATTTCGTTGTTATTTCGTCACCAGCATGGCAACCCATAAAGCCCATGTTAATTTTTTTTTAAATTTCAAATAAATTTTTTGTGCTTATATTTGAGCCTATTTTAATTTTTAAAGGGATTCTGCACTTCTACAGGAAAATATCTTTCTAACAGTATGCGTAGATTTTCCCTGCGATGCACAGGAGCTGAGAAAAAAGTTTTTAAAGAAACATGCTTGCCTATTAATAAATAGATATTATCCTCACTTAGTCAAGTCTCGCTTGTAAAAAATATGTGTACAATGTTAAATAAAACACCAGAATAATTAGGAAAATTGTTTATTATTTATCACAATTAATTGAAACAATGAGTACAGTCTTTATTATTACCTAATAGCCACAACTCTAACTTTTGAGCGCTAAACTGCTGTTAGGAGGTAGAATACTAGAACAGTTCACAATAAAACCCTAGAACATGAAACCTTCCAGTACAGCAATTAACTTGTTTACCATGCAAGTATAATAATGGAAACTTACACAAATTAAACTAACATCATAAACATTTATAACCATTAACCAATATTCCTGTGTTAACGCTACATTTCCTAATAAAATATATTTAAAACTATGGACAGATACATTGGCTTAAAGAGGGCATTTTTAGGAACAAAAAAAACTTAGCACACCATAAATATCATATAAAGCATTAAAAAAAAATACAATCCTTCCAACACCAGCTTAAGATTAGATAAATGTTTGTGTTGTTAACAATCATCCAAAATATTATGTAAATAATTTCAGCAGTCGTAGGTAATTCTTATAGCTGCTTGAATATTATGTTGTAACTTTGTATGAAAATCTAAGTGGAATATTTCCCATTCTAAAATGTCAAAAAATCATGGAAATAAATATGTACTCGATGGCCCTAACAGTGGTTTAAGAAATTGTTAATATCGTAATTATATTTTGTTATGCTCTTATCAGTAACATTGTAAGATTAACCTTACGCATTAAATCACATTTTAAGGGTACATGAACAACAGTTTTGACTCATAAAGAGGTCAAATTGTTCTTTCACATAAGCATTGCTTTAAACAAATGGAATATGCTATTAAATGAACATTATAAGGAAATATATTGTTTCATACGAGTCATCAGTTTTATCTATTCAGCCTATTTCAAAATCAAGAAGGTACCTCTAACTTCTTATATTAATACAGGATAGGTTTTTTAATTAAGCGGCAAATTTAACAAGGATTAACAAAAAAAATGTTTTAAATACAGGCTATTTTCGCAAGATTTCATTATAATTAACGATTAGCTTATATAAATGTTAGCTTACCTATAAAAACGATGACCCATAAGGATTAACAACAACAAAAAATAACTTACAAACCCAGTAAAATAAATAAAGATTAACAAGCCATTTTCTCTACAACAACAAACATTGGCAAAATAATTCAGTTATAAACCCTGCTATGCACACTTAATAAACCTTGCCTACAGAAAAAGGTTGGAAGCATTGTAATGAAAAATTTTAAGGACACTAAACTAGAGTTTAATAACCCTTTTAAAATAAACCTACATTTTCTTAAGTTTATAGCTGGTAATAAAACGTTGAAACATTCAAATATTCTAAGTGAGAACTAATTTTAAAATTTGTATAAATAACAAGCGACATTTTGGAAGAAAACCAAACACCTTGAATAAATCGCCATCACAGTAAAATTCGGTAAAAAATCTATTAAAATTACTTACCAAACTAATCTACACTTATCAGTAAATGTATAAATTCTAACTATGAAAATTATAAAGCTCTCGTATTATGTAAAGGTGGAATCACAACTCTAAGCCATTCATGCAAAGCCTCCAGTAAGACGTCCTTTCTAACTTTTCTCTCCGATGTAAGTAGTGGTTTTGCCAGTCTTTTTGATGATCGTCAGCAATTCTTCAGAATCCATTGTAGCTGTTACGGATACTTGTTGGCCTTTCAAATCTATGTTTATGTCTTCTACTCCTTTGCCTAAGAGAGAAAAAAGAGATCACCATTGGCACTATAAATTTAAGGGGCAGTAAAAGTACCCAGGAGGAATAGTATAGATTGTGTCACTTAGAATGGAGAGCGGGATGGGGACAAGGACATTTTCCACGACAGTCGCTTTTGTCATTTTGTACAGTCATCTCGATAACCGATAGTCACTGGATGAATTAAATCCAACTAGGTACTGGTGTTACTCTCAGTGTTGTTGGGAGCATTGCTGTTATCCATTCTAATCTACACAATCTTTACTACGAGAAACAGATTTTAACAAAACTGTTTTAAATTGCAGTCCTGAATGAAAAATGTAACAGGAACCCAGCTGGCCCCTAAAATAAGGGAAGACTTGTTTTAAGTCATGGATTTGGCTTGGGTTCCAAAAAATGAATAAACAGAAGACAACTAATTTATTTATTTATCTACCAAAATTAGCAGCAACAATAGAAGAGTAATTTTTTTCAAACATTAAGCGACAAGTCAAAATAAAAATAAATAGTACATAATATAGTCAATGATACACACTCTTATAATTTATTGAGCAACAAGTTCATGGACATGGTTAGGAATCTTCCATATTTTGAATAAAACATACAAGCCTATAGATAATTCTTTACAACAAAAGGTCACTGTGATAAGACAATTTTTTCTGAAAGGAATGGGTGTTTTATCTGCTCAAGCTTGGTAAACATAATTTATGAGTACTAATTAAATTTAACAACTCAACAGCATATAACAAAGTACTTGTTTTTAGTGTTTCAAACTTTTGAATAAATTATAACTTAAATCTAGGATTATTGTTAAACAAACATCAGAACATAAAAGTAAGCTGTTGTGTCAATCTATACTATTATAAAAAAGAGGTGGTTGCTGTATGTGTGTATGGGAAAAGTAAACTCGAAAAATACTGGTCGGATTGGGCTGAAATTTGGCATGATGATAGCTCACATTCCCGATTAACATATAGGCATATTCTTATTTCAAAAATCCTTTCGGGCTCCGCCCCAGTGGCTCTGGAGTTTCCCATGTTAACCTTATGAGAAATGGAATTATTGAATCTTAACAGCTGTTTCAATTAAACAAGTTGGTTCTGTTCTATGATGTTCAATAGCATTAAAGTTACAAGGATTACCAACAGGGTGCAGCACTATTATTTCTTTTACATTTATGACAACAGCTAATTTGCAACCAAAAGGTGAGTGAGCGTAGCGAACGAACTTCAACCTGGAGGCGAGTTAGCGTAGCGAACGAGCTCCAACCTAAAGGTGAGTGAGCGTAGCGAACAAACTTCAACCAGGACGTGATTGAGCCATGCGAACGAGATAATCTTGAAAATTAAGAAGTTAAACGGGGCAAAGCCCGCGGGTTACAGCTAGTAAAATATATTTATCCTCCTCTGAGGTCAATAGCCTTTACTGAAATGACAAGCACTTAGATAAGTGGTGCACTCTGTTACATTGCTGATAGGAGAAGTACTTTATACCAAAAACTTAACAAAACATTTTCATTTTATTTCTTAACCTTTATTTATGCAAAAAAATATCTGGTAAATAATATATAAATAGACGTAGGAAAATAAAATGTTATACAATAGAGTTTAAGGAATTAAATAAAATTTGAGGCAATATTTCATTTAAATGAGATTAATAATTTACATTCAAATAAAGGATCGATCTGCTTCCCCTACTAATTAGTGAGCCCATGTTGAACTTGTAAAGGTATGCAAACACAAACAATTGAGTTTTGAATGAATGTACATATATTCTATCATCTCATTTATCAATACATTTTTTTGCCAATGAATTAGATTCATTTGACAGTGTACATTTCATATTAAGCTTACTAGAATACAAATTTTATTCTAATACAACTTTTACTTAATAAAAATCCAAATTTAAAACTAGAGGTTCACCCATTTTAACTTTTTTTTAAATTTAAACAACTAAAAAATTTTCTGTTAACTTATATGATACCAAAAGTATGTGGCCTGAGTCATTTTTTTTTTTTTTAAGAAAGAGCAGAGATCACCTCAAGAACAACTTGTCTATTACATCAAAGGTTGACTTTTATTGTCCTACCTTATTTTATACACTGAATTAAATGTGTCAATACATAATTTACTAGTTTGAAAGTTTGAAATTAAAGAGGTTTGCAAGCTTACCTTTCAATTTGTTTAGAACTCTTTCCACGGCTCCGGAGCATCCTTCACAGGTCATCTCTACTTTGTACAGGTGGGTCTGAAAAAGTAAAATTATCAAGGTAAAGTAAAACCATGTGAATTATTGCTAACTTTCATATTGTTTCATTCTAGTAAATGTAATAGTTCAAAATTGGCCATCTTTTGTTTTGTAACTTTGTCTAACAAAGTAGGCCTATAATTTATATAGGCTAGGTAATTATTTTTAGAAACAAGACCTTTTAGACTGAGAGGAAACATGCAAAAGTTTCTTAAATAACTTCACTTTAATAGATTTTGCTCTTTTGAAGTGTTTGGAAAAATCACCTGTTAACTTATGTACCTTTCCATTTTGTTCTTGCTGAGGAAGTGGGTTCTTGTAATGGTATTGCTATACACTTGGGCTTGGGCAATATGGTGAATGCATGCCATTTCTGTCGTTTTCCCATTTTGAATTAGGTTTTGAAAGGTTCATCCAAATGTAGCTCCATCGTTTTCCTACTCTACCCTGATAATAGGATTACTACAAAGTTTCTGAATTATTTCATTGAACTAGTTAACCGCCCGTGCTCCGCCACGGGAATATTGTCAGCAATAAAAGACATAATAATTAACAAATGCTGTATATTTTTGTATTTTATTTAGGGGCTGCTTAATTTTTTACATGAAACAGAACTGGTAGTTGGCCTGTATAAACTATTTTATGTTAAACAAACCGACGTATTAGTTTAACCAAATAAATGTTTTAGTACCTGGGGACCGAGCTTTGCTCGGGAAACCTTATTACACTGCACTATACTTTGAGAGTATTCTTTGGTCAATGTAAATTTATCCCAAAAATATTAATTTGCGGTCAATTGTTTCATGATATCAATTTAACTTCTATTAAAATAATGATATCATAGTTTACTGAAATGATGAGATAGTAGAGTTTTTAACAATTTGTTTGGTTCCTCATAAACGGCCAAAACTATAGAAAATACAGTATTTTTCACGATAAATTCGAAAAAGGCTATCAGCAGTAAGAAAATCTTCTCACCTTCCTTCCTTTGAAGTATTAGTCACTGCAAGAACTTGGACCGGAACCTCAATAAGCAGCAACTTATAATATGGAGATAATTTATTCATGTAGATTCGATTCCTATATTCGTTGTTTTTTTGTTCATTACATTTGTTGTATGGAATAAAGATAGTCACTTACATGTAAATCACGCATCAGCAGTTGGTCGCATTTCACGAATCTTTGATTCATTCTGTGAGTAAAAGATCTGTGTTTACGTCGTATATTTAAAGTTGGACATACTTTGGTTCAATATAGAGGGTATTGACGTTCCAATCCGATGGTAAAAGGAGTCCCAGATCTTAAGATTATAAAGACTACCTCTACCAGAAAGATGTTGATGCAAGTGAGACTTAGAACTCGCCATTTCAAATACAGAGTTGAATGATATTATATTATTCAAAAAGTTTTTTTGTTGTTTCTTTTGACCCTTAATACTTTATTTAAAGTCGCTGTAGCCCCATTGAAAGATTTTTCATAAACTCAAAATGTTGATAAGGAGCTCATTTTACCTTCCTCTTGTGACAACATAAGGAGAATATATTTGTGTCCCTGTTAGTCTGTTCTGACTCAAAATTCACAGATTTGCAGTAGTGACAAATCCAATTTAACGACCCCAATTCAAAAGAGTTGGTGTTTTTTTAGGGACTTATTAACAAACAACATCACTGCTCTTTACTTTTTTAGTTTGATGGTTCTCTACGTGTTTTTTCGTTCTATATGTCACTTTACGCCCGGTTAAGGATTACCTTTTCTTTTTCTTTCTGTACATTTCACACCCTGGGGTTAATGATCAAGTTTTATATAACGCTGTAATGACCCGAGTCAACATTGCCATTAACATCAAGTCACATACTTCTTCGCCAGAACCGAAATCGTAAGTGTCACAGTTTCTCAAGCAACTTCCCTGTGTACTCGAAAAAAAAATATTTAGGCTATAGTTCACTGATAAATTGTAGTTCCATGTATCCCAGCGTACTCCCCATCTCAAAAAGGTAAAGCTGAACGTCAAACATTGATCTTGAGTAAGATCAATCACTTAAGATCAAATGTTTGTATGTTTCCCACTCATTAGCAATTATATCTGTACAAATTGCAAGCGGATTTCCCTATGATTATTCTGGTGGCTATAGAGAATAAATTATATTGATCAAAACAATAAGTTTCCGTCCCCTACTATGGGTATTATTTCACATTCCATACTCAAACTTAAACTCAATTACCACTTTCCTTCAGATCACTTCGCAGGAAAACTAAAACATTGCAAAAATACAAAATTTACACCAAAACATACAAATAATGTTCAAATACATTTATAAATAATACATTGTGGTATTAAAAGTTAACACATACACTTTTCCTTGATCAAAATCGTGTGTTTATAAACAGGAACTCCTAGATTAATAATGACATACTGAAAGTGAGGTTATGAAAATAATAACAAATGTCTGACAAACATTAAACAGCTGACGAATAATTTATTAACTGTGTATTATATTCTTCAATAAGAATTGTATTGACTCAACCTTTGAAGGGCTGTAGGTCTTAACCCTTAAAAAAACTTGAATTCTAATGAAGTTCGGCAAATCTATGCATTATCCCCTTTAATTTGACACATAGATCTTGTGGATCGGTCCAGTAATTACTGAGAAAACAGTGTTACAACTGTGTATTAAATATATAGATGTGCGCATGTTTTTCAATTTAATAAGTTAATTCAGACTTGTTAGTAGTAGAGTGGAATTGAGTTATTTGTACTCATAGTTCATATTTTAGGTGTTAAAAGGGGACCCTTGGTTGAACCCTCAGAAGTTAAAACATGAATTATATCTAAACCCGGCTCCAGACATGCACCATTCGCCAAGCACCGAGCAGCGACTCGCCAAATCGCGAGTAGTGTGGATATGTGTTGGTCTATTTGGCAAGTAGCAAATGCTCGAGCTTGTGTTTTCCTGTTCATTATCGGTGTTTTTGCACACATCAAAGTGAACAAATATATTTGCTATTCCCAAAACGAACAGTTGCTCGTAAAACAACGCATGTGTGTAGACACCTACTCGTTAATCGGCGAATTGCAAGACAACTAGATCGTCGAACGTAAAATATTTCGTGCTTTGCAAATGGAGCATGTCTGGAACCGGCTTTAAAAGAACACATGGTAGGTAAGCATTTAGTTTTAATTATATTACTAAATGAGATTATCGTTCAAGAATAATATATGTATTTAGGCCTTAAGCACAGAAATGAGGAACAAATTTATACTAAAAGATAAATCAGAGTCTTTAACATGGATTGATTGCTGAATAGACAACCACCATTATTTTAACTTGGCTCTTTTGTACCAGTTTGTCAAAGTCACCTAACAAATGACCATTTTAAATTTAACATATTGAGTATATGCTATTGGTGGGTATATTGAGTTCCCACCTATAATAGTCCTAAATTGAGGCAGCCCAAGGCCGCACAAGATATACGGCAAGCGGCCTTGGGCTGCCTCAACTTAGGGTGGCGAGGACTATAGACCTTCTGTGTAGACTCAGTTGGGAGTCCAAAAATAACGGAGCCAAGATGGGGGTCAAGAGGGAGTTTCCTGCAACTAGGATACTATTTTATAGACCTACCTAAGACAAATTATTCTTGAGTATGATAACAGCATGGTGACAAAAAATTAATCGACATTGTAGGCTACTCAAAAGCCACGTTTTCACTATACAACTAGTTTTATTAACTTTTTTTGTACAACCAGTTACAATATAGGTACCTAAGTTAATTAATTGGTAACTAGGCTAGATATGAAAATGATTAAGAATAGGCTACAATAAAAAATATTAATCAAGCAAGAAGAGGTGCAACAAGCGTGTTTTATGACCAAAAATTGTCTTTTACAACAGGTTGCTGCTTTCTCGTCCTGCGTTGGAAATATCAAGGAAAATTTATACTTGAAAAATTTGTGTTTGGATTAAAACAAGTTTAAAAATAAAAGTTATATTTATTTGTTTGAAAAAATTGTAAAACGAGTTGTACAGTGTAAACATATCTAAACGTTAAACATGCCAAATATGTTGTAGCATTGACACTAACCTTAGCAGCCATAGTGCTTGATGTTTCGGTTTAGTCTGTTGTTCGGATTGTTCCAAAATATTTTCTGAGTATACCCTGTTTAAATATGGGTTTCCTGAAAAGACAGAAAAAATGTAAACTAAATATTAATTGTCTTGGATAGGTTAAACAAATATGCACAATTGGGGGGGTACAGTTTCTTAACTGGGCTATGCTAATATCGATTGAAACTATCGAATTGAAAATACTGATTAATAATCGATATTTTGAAATATATTTATTATCAAATTAAACTATCTTAACCTAACCTAACCAACCAAACTTGCTGATGGTGAAAAAATCGCATGAAGGTTTACTAATTGAATCGATTGGAGTATGTTTTATCTATGATATTAGCATAGCCCAGTTAAGAAACTGTACCTTAATTGGGGTGTGTGTGTGGGGGGGGGTGGTATGTTTAATACAAATTATATTCATTGTTATTTTATACAATATGTTAGGCTAATTGAGTTCAATGATTCCTAGGGTCTATTGGCTACATATGAATTTGATAACTAGAAAGGGTTATTAAGCTGTCGCTTTTATTTTGAATTGCATCACAAAATTTTACAAAAACATGTTTTTTTATTACCCTTACCAATAATGAATTTAATATAGGATATTTGTGACAGTGAATTTCTATACTTGCCTAACAATGTCGTGGTCGTGGAGGTGGAATGACAGATCAACACAAAAACACAAAACTGTCTGCTAATTCGTGGAACCGAACAACTCTTCGCCATAGAGATGAGTTCACAAACCAATCTCCCAAAAGTAGATTAGACGTATTGATTATAGGAGCTATCACTAATCTCTTGATATGTACTTTAGAAATCTATGGATTTTGCGTTTAATTACCTACATCAATAATATAATTGAGAAAAACAATTAAACCATCAGGACGTTTGCTATGCGATGAGAAATTTAGTTAAGGTCATATAACTATCAAGCAATGTACTAAAAATAATTAAAATCTATTTGTAATGGTTTAATGCCTGCATTACATATGTAAATACAAAAACATGGGGTTTTCAACTTGTGTGCTTAGTGGTTACTCAACATTACCAGGGTATAGAGAATACTATAAACTGTATTCGATTCTATAGCCCCAGCACCACTCAAGCACGGCCGCCTTTAACTCCAGGCCGCGGCTTTCGAAGTGGCAACATCGCAAGTGGTGTTGTAACAGCTGTTTTGTTTGGAAGCAGGTAATGATATTTGTGTATTTACGAAAGATTGGTTACTGGACTATGACAATTGACCCCGCTTAAAATCTACAAATATAGATTTTTAATTCATATCGTTTCCGTTTTCAATTATGCATGTTTTATTTTCAATATTTTAATAAATTTATGTTTATAGATTTAAATTTAAATTGAATTAATTAAATTAAATTTAAATTTAAGTGCAAATTAATGAGCTGATGTCACCTGTCTGCCATGTTATCTTATGGGACGTCTGTCACTAAACAACACCACTTGCGACGTTGCCAATTCTACCAGGCCGCGGCCTGTAGTTAGACGTGGCCGTGACTCAAGGCATACCAATGTCTGGCCTGCCACGGGTGCCCATAACAAAAGAAAAGATTAAACACGTACCTCGTCTTTTGCAGTTCAAATATATTTGGACTGCAAGACGAGGTACGTAATAGTTTAGTACGGTAGTCTGTAATACGCAGTTCAGGGGCTACAAAATGGAATTTTACAAAAGTAAGAAATGAATGGTACAGTACTTATTTATTTGTTTATTTATTTAATAGCTTAAATTAGTACTGCACCACGGCCGCCTTTAACTACAGGCTGCGACCTGGTAGAATTGGCATCGTCGCAAGTGGTGTTGTTCAGCGACAGATGTCCCATAAGATAACATGGCAGACAGGTGACATCAGCTCATTAATTTGCACTTTATTGATTTCAATTTTAATTTATGAACGTAAATTTATTAAAATATTGAAAATAAAACCCACATAATTGAAAACCGAAACAATATGAATTAAAATCTATATCTGTAGTAGGCCTACATTTTTAAGCGGTGTCAATATTATCATAGTCCAATAACCAATCTTTCGTAAATACACAAATACCATTAGCTTAGCTGTTTCCAAACAAAAACAGCGGTTACAACACCACTTGCAACGTTGCCAGTTCGAAGGCCGCAGGCCCGCAGCCTGCAGTTAAAGGCGGCCGTGACTGTACCATTCATTTCATTAACTAACCAACGGTGGTACTTACTAGTCTTGGCGCATTTCATGTTCGCCCCTAGACTATCTAGAATATTTATTTTCCTTCGCTTCCCGCGAAATCGTCAAAACCGAAAACACTGAATACTGAATAGAAGAATAGTAATAGTAAATAAAGGAAGGTGAACTAAGTAATTCAGGGTTTGGTTTTGTTTTTAGCTTAGCTTTAATGTTAATCCGTCTTATTTAGGGGTTTACTGAGAATGTTTGTCACAATCTTAATAAAGTTTATGTTGAAGTGAATTTTTTTTGTTAACTTTAGGCCTATTTATACTTTTGTGTTTATTACCTACTGCGCCACAGCCTATGCAAACCATAAGGTGTTTTCGAATTTTAAGCGTAACATCAGTATAATATTCCCAAGTTGTATTTTATCTTACTAAAATGGATTTGAAGAGAAAAAATGGCCCACAAACCAAGAAGAACAACCCCAACCAAAAGAAATTCAGGTAAGTTAAGTTAGTAGGCTTAAATGAAACTGCCTGTAGGCCTAGACTTAGGTAGGGCCTATGTGTAGCCTAGCTGTTAGAAGTTTAACTGTTATCTCACTCTTGTTTGCATCACCTTTAGATTATGTGAACTACCTTACACATTCAGAAACTATGCGAAACACTTTTGGAGTGAATGAAGGGTAAAAGAAACTCATATGTTGGAAGGAGGAGAGAGGGAGGGGTAGCCTATATAAATGTACTTTATTTACAGGCCCAAGTCATAATGAACGCTCCAAGTTCAGGGCCGCTTAAATGGTCCCGGTGGGCTCGGGCTGGCTGCACTTTACTTGACGTCCTACACTCATTCGATTGTTTCATTCGATATATCGTTTGGTTAGTTAGGTTAGGTCAACCTTACCTAACTAACCAAACGATATATCGAATGAAGCAATCAATTAATCGATATATCGATCGATATTTTCATTCGAATGAGTGTAGGACGTCAAGTAAAGTGCAGCCCTCGGGCTCTAGGGTGTAAGAGGTTAAATAGGTTTGTTAGTGCATAGACAAAAGGAATTAAATATAGACTGTCAGCCATACTGCGGTTACCATAGGTTATGGCGCACACCACTGGGAGCGCCATGTAGTTACAGTGTGCTACACCTAACAGGGGTCCCAGAAGTGTGCACTATAACCTATGGTAATCGCAGCACCACTGACAATCTATATTTTTTTTCTTTTTGTCTATTGTTGGGGGCACCAGGAAAAGAAAAATTTCCTACAAGGTAGGTGTTACGAGGCGCAAGTACTTATATTTCAGGCCCATGGCACATCAGACCCAAACTGTGAGCCTGTCCTAATCAGGTATCACACAACAAAACCGAACAATACACTATACTATCAACAGTACACCTAGTTTAATGTCCACTCAAACTTTGTCTGCCCTTTTTGACTCTTGCAGGTCCTCAAACTTGAAGCACAGACTGATTCTGTTTTTTTTTTACCACGCCATTGGTATTTTTGTTTTGAGTCACGTTTGTTTTAGTTTAGGCCTAAATGCATTAAGGGAAAGCGTCCAAACCAATTAAAGTTTAGTGGATGTGCTGGGATGTGGATGTCCCTCCCGTACCGACTGAGACGCTAACCATTACGATAGCAACACACCTAAACAATAAATGGCTACATCATCAGCTAAATAAGCTTACATCTTGTAAGCCTATTTATGGTGCTTTTGTAATATTGTGATCTAATAAAACATAACTACAAAGATATTAATAAGTTAGGTCATGTACTCCATTCTACAATCATCTTGCTTTGTTTTCCATCTTAAATTCTATGTCCAATAATAGGCTATGTATGTGTTGATGGCTGGAAGAAGTACGGTGATTAATCGGTTTCAAATTGTTGATTTTAACCTATTTCCATTGGTAATTTTAGAGCTAATGTCGATGATGATGAAGATTTTCCATCTGGTTTTGAGGAAGAACTTGCTATCATGGATCAGATGGAATTGGAGGGAGCTGAAAGTGAACCTCAGGAATCATCTGAACAGGTACTCATAATGTATTAGGCCTAACATCAATTTGATGTTGTTTATTAGACAAATAAAAATTAATTTTTTGATTAAGTAACTCACCTTTTCTTGTGATTTAATAATCACATTTTCATACAGGAGGCTATCGAGTGTTTGTGGTTACACTGTGCAAAGGAAGGGAAAGTGATCCCTATGTTTCCAACCCTAATCAAGCTGTGAATATTTACAAGGTCTTAAGATTCATGGTATCACAACATAGAAGTGATTCTTAACTTAAGTGAGTCAAGAAACTTGAATAACGAACAGTTGGTTGTAGGCCTATAATAAATGTACCAGAACCCCCCATATTTGTACAGCACATTTTTCCACTTTGGCGTGCCGAGAACTGATTAAACTTCTAAGTCTGTAATCTTACAAGTACAAATTCACTCAAATGACATTGTGTAGGTAGAGGTGTCACTTGAACCATAAATTTAAGGGGGTACAATCAGGACACCATCCTACTTGGGGATTTGAGAAATGGGGTATGGAATATCCTAATAACACTTGGAATAGGCCTGGGCCTAGAAATAACTATTAACTTGTGAGTAGAGTAGGCCTACCTACTTTTAAAAGTAGTAGAAATGTATTTTTTTGTGAATTAGGTAAAAAAATTACTTTCGAATGTGAAAGGGACATGTGACGCCTGATCAAAGATCAATTGTCAGAAAACATTTGAACGAAAAAAAAGGCTATGACTTATTTGTTAATTACCACTTCTTGTACTGTACATTGACTGACCCCCTTCTATAAGAAGGCCTACCGGTAGGCTTATTTGTTCTGTAAAATTTGCAATAAAGTATGCTAATTGAATATATGCGCTCTTTACTCTAGTTTTGTTTAGCATTTTCCAAACTCAGTAGGAAAGTCTTGCTCTAAAACAAAAAGCTAACAATTCCTAAGTCACAGCTTTATGAAGAAACTTTATGAAATCAACTACTTTTGTTCTTTTGTAATATTTTATACTTACTGATTTATTACCCAGGGACCTGACACCCAGCTGACTAGTGTAAAGTGGAGTCGTCCTCCTCCTCCAAAACTGAACCCTGCGTCGGACAAACTGGTGTTCCAGCAGATTGATATTGATTACTACATTGGTGAGTCTTATGTCTTTTCTCGTCTTGTAGAAATGTTAAGTGAGTAAATCAAACGTATATTGCTAAGCAATCCTTTTAACAAATCAAAATCTTTATGTACCGTAGTTGCAAAGAAGGATTAAATAAACACAGAAGCAATATCATACCACATGTTTGGTAGGGGTTCGGGAAATTTAATTTAATAATGCGGTCGGACAGTAAAATGAAAATAGTGTGGTTTGTGAAGCTACCAATAGCAATACTGAAGTCTTAAAGCCTTATGAGTTTCCAGAGTAGTCCAAGGATATACAAGGACGCCATCAAGAGAAAGAAGATGTTAGCTGTAATCTTGGTGCGGTGTGTGAAGACATTAGCGGAGGAACAAATGACTCATTTAGAAGTCAATCATAAAATTGGATGTATTGTTACGATACTGGTAAATTAAACTTAGGTTAAGAAAGAATATTTAAACATTTGATGATGAGAGGAGCTTAGCTTGTGTTTGAGACTCGATACTGGTCAATGCTCAGAAACTCACACATGCGTTGTCTTCTTGTGATTGTAGGAATGCCAGTAGCCTCACAGATTAAATTTAATAACCAATTTTGGTACTAAACATCACATGATGATTTATTTGTGACATATTAAACATTGGGGAAACTGTACATTTTATTCAGAGGCTTGTTGTAATTTCAATTCAAAACATCTTTCTTAAACTCATAGGTATTTTCTATTCCCAGTTTAAGCTTTTAGCAACAAAATAAAATTAATTGTGTCATGTTTACAACTTATGCTTTATAAAATGTTTTGATTCTCACAGTGGATCAAAAGACTTGGTCCAGGATACAAAGTAAGCTACATTATTCCTTTTGTATGTAACATCACGCTGCTTTTATAACCCTAGCTAGATTTCTTTTGCAATTAATATAATTTCTGTATGAGTTGTTTTTAAGTTGTCATCATTACACTAGTTCTAGAGTGTTCCATTATGTTGATTTAATTTTGTTCTATAAGTTGACCGTTTGCATCAAATCATCAGGATTATTCCATTTCATTAAAATATCATGAATCACCTAATATCAGTGTTCACTGTAGCCTACTCGTTTATAATAAAAGTAGAGTACTCTTCATCCATAGGCTAACATTACACAAGATAACCTGTAAGCTACAAAATCTCAAATTGCACTTTAAGCTTTGATTTTAAAAGCACTAAAACTTCATGTGATTTATTAGTAAAACCTTTTACTAAACCTAAGTTTGAAAAATGCTGCTGGGCTGGTTCATTTTGTTTTGCAAAAAAATTATAAAGCTGCTTTTGGAGCATGTTTCTATAGTGGCGTAGATAGACGCCTGTCATGGGGGAACCTTTTAATAACAATGTTTATTCTGTTGATATTGTGTGTTATTAAAAAGTGTGTTGTAGAATTCACTGACATTATTTTCTACAACTTATTGAGTTAAATAACTACTACCTTGAAATTGTTTACTACAGTAGAGTCCCGCAAACTCGGCGTAATGTGGACTGGAAGGGTGCCGAGTTTGTGAAATGCCGGGTTATCAGGAACTAGAGTTAAAAATAAGAACGATACAAATTTTAAGCTTTTTAACTGCCTTTTTTAATTAGATTTATAATACAAGTCAGTATTAAGTCATCGGATATAGTACAACAAATCCTTAGTACGAGTTACAAATGATTATACCAGAGCTGACTTGTGTCCATGTTTAACTCGGACTCAAAAAATGACTAATTTTTTGAGCCAGGTGATGGCTGAGTTATCCAGACTGCCGGGTTATCGAGTGCCGAGTTTGCGGGACTCTACTGTACTATACTGTGCTGTTTTACTATTATGCGTTTTTTGATTTTAGGGGATCCAATCCCTGGACCGATAAAGGTTTAGAGTCCCTCACACCAGAAAAAAACTCCATTCCCTGACGTGTAGTGTGGGAAAAAACAACAAAAAACTTAGAGTTGTTCTATTTACTATCTGGAGTTTATTTACTATAATACTCTGAATTGTTTTACTCCTATCCTGAGTGTACAAAGAGTCCTTCGTCTATAAAGAGTTTTCTAATATTCAGAGCTATACTAATGCTGTTTTTGTATTCCTTAGGCAGTCCCCTCAAAGGGATGCCAGGCTCCCAGGTAGCTCCGGTTCCCATCATGAGAATCTACGGAGTCACAGAAGGAGGTAACTCTGTATGTTGTCACGTCCACGGCTTTTCACCCTACTTGTTTGTTGCCGCTCCGCCAGAATTTACGGAGAGCCATTGTAAACCATTTAAGGTTGGTTATACCCGATTTTATATGATTTTGAAAATATTATATATATAAACATGATTATTATTTGTTGAACATTGTTTTATATTACTGGTACATTGTAGATTTGTCCTATGTGTTTCTCCTGAATTGATAACCACCACAACTAAAAAATTATATCTAAACCTAACTTTTTTTTGCATTTCTAGGTTTTTTATTTTTTGCATCTCTACTTTATGTTACAGACTGCGTTGAATAAGGCTGTGATGACAGATATGAGAGGCAACAGAGACAATGTCCAAGAGGCAGTGTTGGGAGTGGAACTGGTTCACAAGATCAATCTATTTGGTTACCATGGAGACGAGCCATCGCCGTTCCTCAAGATCACAGTGGCACTGCCTCGGCTGATTGCTGCCTGTAAGCGACTTTTGGACAAGGAAACTGTTTATCCCACCTTTCAGAACCATCGCTACCAAGCCTTCGAGTCTAATATTGATTTTGACATTAGGTCAGTACAAGTGTTAATATGTTGATATTTAAAATTGTAAAATATTATAAATAATATAATGTTACCTTCCTGTAAAAGATTATGCTGTTAAATATCACTGTTATAAAAAAAAACAAAAAAAAAACAGTTTTATTTTGTGGATGCCATTCCATAATGATGGGTCTCAGTCACTTTTTTCTGGAGTCTAGTGTAGCCTTTGCCTGGGATATCCATGCTTTTTTCCCCAAACTAAGTTTTAGTAGGTGGTTTTCCACTTTACACCTGTAAAAATCAATCTTATCTTAAGTTTTGTTTATGTCACTGACTAGCTGAGTCGTCTAGCACTTGTGTGAAAATGAAAAGGTCACTGGTTTCGAGACAATGTAGAAGCTACACAAGACATCTCACACTATTCTATCCCCATTCTAGATTCATTTTTGAATTGAAATATGTTCAACTGCATTTCCTGGTTGATTGGTACAATTTTTTTCCCATTCGCTGATCGAAGTCTTAAGACTTGATGAGTAATCGAAACAAAATCCACGTGATAACATTTTTGAAACACAGATTTTTGAACAGTTTGTAGATTCAAATGATAGTAACGCACACCAGTGAGTTGACGGCTTAGTCGGTAAACCAATTATGATTCTAAGGTAGCGATGTTCTATCTTGTTCTGGTGCTGCCACTAGTTCTTAGCACAGTTCATTCTTGTATTGTATAATCTTACCCGATTCTTTGCTTGATAAGTCCCACGCACAGGTCAGAGACCTATGTGGACAGGCAAATTCAAGGTTAAGAGCTGCCAACCTCTTGAAAAAATAAAAATCACCAGTTTTTTTTAATGAAAACAGTAATCAAACGAATTGCAATGTTGCCAGGTTTATGGTAGACAACCACATCACAGGTTGTTGCTGGGTGGAGCTGCCTGCGGCCCAGTGGAGACTGCGGGGTTGTCACCCCCACTCCAACCTGTCCCTGCCCCCCGTGTCTCGCTGTCAGCTGGAGGTGGACATCTCGTACGAGCAGCTGGTCGCACACGCCCCGGAGGGAGAGTGGGGCAAGGTGGCGCCCTTCCGCATACTCAGCTTTGACATTGAGTGTGCCGGTCGCAAAGGTATGTAGTAGACTTTGCGTAATGAGAGTAACTGTAACACTGAAGTCTGTTCACAAAATTTAGTCGGTTTGTAGGAAAGTTCGACTACTATGTTTTACTTAATGTATATGTTGAAGCTGATTGACAAACCTTAGCTGTTACTTTATTGTTTTAAAGGTAGAATTAAGTGTAGGGAATAGATTTCTTAAAACTGCATAAGTTTTATGAATGGATTATAGTATTTACAGTGTAGTAAAAATGGGAAAATTCTTGAGTTTTGGTAAAAAAAATGTAAATAACCTAATTTCTTTACTTTTACGATTCATTATTAGAAAGAATTAGAAAGATTGTTGACAGAGCAAAAGTAAACATTGTAGCCTAATGATTCTTTTTGTTGCTCCCAATGCACCAACCATAGAATATTGATAGCCTGGGGACACAGCCTTCAGTTGATATTGTAACTTTAATAGTCCTTTGGTAATACTGGGTACATTGACTGTTTTGTGCAAAGTTTTAGCCAGTCTGATGATAGATTGGAGAGATTATGGAAAAATTGACTGATAAGTTACTTATTTTATTTTTGTTGTTGTGTGGATTGAAAAACTATCTTTTAATATTAATAATAAAGACCATTGATTGCTATAGCCAATTTTTTAAAGTGACATGTCTGTTATAGTGAAGTTATGTTTCCTAAAAAAATTTGGGGCAAGAATACTGAATCAGATTCAAAATTCCAACAAAATGTATAAACTTGTTTTGCGTATTGCGAATGTTTGTGTTGATTATCATGTATTCTTTCTTCTCCAGGTATATTTCCGGAGCCCAATCATGATCCGGTGATCCAGATCGCTAACATGGTGATTCGCCAGGGGGAGCCCGAGCCTTTTATCCGAAACGTCTTCACTCTGGATACTTGTGCAGCCATTGTTGGTTGTCAAGTGCTCAGTTACGACCGTGAAGTGGAAATGCTGGAGGTGTGTTTTATAGTAACATGTTTGTGTTTTATTATTTGAAATCAAAACACTAATGATATAGTAAAACTCGAATTTTGTTGGCTGATCCTATTTTAAAATTTTATGTAACAACAAATAATACCAAAAATAAAAATAAATGAATCTTGTGTTAACTCTTAAGGTCTTAAATAAAACTTAAAGAACCGGCTTCTCACAAAAATGGAAACAAATTTATTTTTTTTTGTTTGATTACATACAAGATTTGAACAACATTTTAATTTGGCACCATAGTGCATCCTTCTCAAGAGTGGTGTAATTTCAGCATTGAAAATAATATAGGCCTAGAAACTTCTCGTAAGGAAATTTAGTTTGTAATACTTTAGTTTGAAAACTTAAGAAATGGGTAGGCTTAAATTACTTAAAGAGTATGATTTAAAAAATTGATTTGCTTCTGACCCAAAAAAATACTCTCCAATGTTGAACGTAAGTCGTAGCTGGAATAAATTTGGTCTAGGTTTTTTTGTCTTAACTTTATAATAAATACATAATTTCTTATATTGGAAATATTTTGTTTAATACAAGACATTTCATTTCCTGTCATATATTATGTCTTCTTTTTATGTTTTTAACGTTTGCAGAAATGGGCTGAGTTTGTTCGAGAAGTGGATCCTGATTTGTTCACCGGATATAACATCAACAACTTTGACTTCACCTACCTCATCAACCGAGCAAAACATCTCAATGCTAAGAACTTTACCTTTCTGGGAAGAATCAAAGACATTAGGTAATGTAAAAAAATAATATATCTTGTACTAAAGTAAAAAGGGAAGTAAATTGTGTAGAATAAATATATGAAAACTTTATTATCCTTGACACACAATATCACCATTACCCTAACAGAGGCTTTTATTTTGCCATAATCTTGAGAAGTAGGTTTAATATTACTTACAAAAAAAAAAACAAAAAAAAAACACATACAATTGATGGTTACTGAAGTAGTGTAATCTTGATCATTTAAACCAAATGTCTTAAAAATGTAGGTAGTTTTGTCATCTCTTCTTTTGTAGTTTCTATTCATAATCACTATGAGGAGCGTATAGTGGTAGAGCGTGGTACTTCGGTCCCTGAGGTCCTTGGTTCAAATCCTGCCAAATCGCCAATGGATTTTTGATTTTATCCAAGTGATAGTCCCGCTGTCCTAGGAAAAAAGGAAATAATCATAAGCACTGTACTTATCATAGCCAGAAAACTTATACAAAGTTTATTAAAGCAAGCAACATATTCTAGCAACATATTTTATTCTGTATTCTCATTGTTCAGATCCGCTATCAAAGAGCAGATTCTTCAGAGCAAGCAGATGGGGCGCCGAGAGAACAAGCATATCAATTGTGAAGGAAGAGTCATATTTGATCTACTTTTGGTAAGGATTGCAACAACAAAAATGGTTAATGGCCAAGTAAAAAACATTAAAATTCCATACTCAGAGTCATTCAGGGTACTTCACCTATGATGTATTTAACATGATCATGTTATCTCCAAATTAGTTTGTTATCCTCGAAACGTTTTGCTTCATGGTTTAATGAAAAATATTTAATAGAGGGAATTTCATTTTTATATTATAAAATATGGCGTAAGACTACTTCTGTGACACCTTAAAATGCTTTCACGAGTATGTTTTGTTCATATTGTATTAATCTACTGTTAAAGAAGTAGATGTGACAAATCGCCTAACACTACAGTAAAACATTAAAAGGTTAAATTAATTTGGGTACTTTGGTACTTTCGAAGGCCACTTATTTTAGAGGGATTTTTTTTACCGTAGACCAAAAATAACTACATATTTGGAAAATACATAGCCTACTTTAATTGACCACAATTTTGGACTAATGATGGAGGTAAGCCTATAAAGTCATTATTCGTAGTCTAGGGACTATCAGAATGAATGAATAATACTCACATAACCACCGCAGCGCGCTGTATAAGGGTGTGTAATATTTCATGTCATTTCATTCATTATTTAGTATTAAGTTTTTTTTTTAATGTTAACTTTTATTCATACACCTAATAATCACTCCTCAGAAAGGCTGCCCTAATATTCATTTTCCTAATTTACCCTATATAATTTCATTAATATGTTCAATTAATCATTAATAATATTCATCCATAGCCTATATATATATTTTTACAAAGCCACAACCTAATTATTTATTAAATATGTAAGAGAATTGCAATACATCAAAATTTCATATAATATCATTTCAAAATTAGTCCTTAAGGAATCAAAATTTAAGAAGCAGTGAAAGTGATCCCATGTGTTCAACAATGAGTGAAGTGAACATTGAGATTGAGAGAGAAGGAAGCCTTTGAGAAGTTGAAATTGTTAGAAGAAGGAGTCAAAATTTTACCTAAATCAAATTCATTCATCAAGAAGACCAGTTTCAAGTTATATCACAGTAGCCTAAACCTCAAGAGTCAAGAGGACTCAACTCAATCATTATCTTCAAAATTAAGTATAAATTTTTTTTAAACTCTTTAAAATTTTGCGCTAATTGGACTTACCTTTTGGACAACACCAAAATTAGATTTTCCATTGTTGAGATTGTGTAAGTTTAACACTTTAATTAGGCCTATTTGGACACTATCAAATTTATTCATTCTTAGCATTCAAGCCAGCACGACACCCTACCCTGAGATAAATCACATCTAAATTATTTGAACCTTCAAGTTATTATTCAAATTTATCTTTTATTTCAATTTAATTTCAACCCCATACACCATTGTCAATCCTTTCATTGTAACGTCAAGCCTTTTCTCATTGCATGTTAATTGTTCATCTGTTTAAATAAAACACCTTTTGTAATCCATATCTTTGTTAACTTATTAACTTTAAACATTTATAGAATAGGCCTAGCCTAAATGAATATTGTAAGGTGAGTTTACAGGTGGCCTCCGGATAATACCAAAGTACCTTAATTTGTAACAATCCAAAGGCCAATAATAGGGTTTCTATTGTTACTCTTATGTGAAAATGCGACTTTCTCACACTAACTCTCTCAACACGTTTTCCCAATTACGAACTTAGAAGGACTAAAGATTAATGCTAGACTATTTTTTACGTTTTGAAACATGAATACGTTAATGCATTCTTGAGTCGCGCAAACGGAGAATCCTGTGCCGGATTTTTATTAGTAAGTCATGTATGTATGTTCTATTCCAAATAATGTTTGTATTAAACAGTTTATGATTTGATTTGATTCCAGTGTTTGCTGAGAGACTACAAACTCCGGTCATATACTCTCAACGCTGTCAGTTACCACTTCCTACAGGAGCAGAAGGAAGATGTTCACCACAACATCATTTCCGACTTGCAGAACGGAACCCCTCAGACCCGTAGAAGGTAAATTTGTAAAATATGAAAATTCATTGTATTAGGAAGTTTTCTTAAATTGTAATTGTTCCAGGATTAATATTACTTGGCATGACGTTTGTGGTATTCAAGGTTATCTGCGGCAACATTGTGAACTAAGCTCTTTGAAGTTTGGGATTTCATTCTGTATACAGATTTTTGGAGTAATTTTCATCCCCAATTTATCAGTTGCAAGATCTACCACTAGAATCATGAAAGTTGGTGCAGCCATTTATTTAATATCAATCACACTCAGCATTCTTTCATTATTCCTTTGCCATAGGCTACATGTCACAAATCTAATAATATATTTCAATTAATTAAAAATTTAAAAAGAAAACCCTGATTGCATCACTAACTGGCGGGATTTTCATTCACATTCCTCATTTTGAAACTACACTGTCAAAAGTATAAGAGCTATTAGTGCACTAGTAGCAAATACTAGTTGCATACCGTACTGAATGTAAAATCCTTCTGATGCCAATACGGTGGTGCTAGCCTAACGCACAGCGGTCCAGGCCAACATGATTCTTACTCTTTATATAGCCATCAATTTTTCTTTTTCTTTCACCAAGTAGGACTAAAAATAAATCACCCTATAAACCACTGCTTGTTCTCTGCTATTATAATGACAGATAAATCACTTGCTGTAAGATTTATTCTGAAATATGAAAACAGACATATATTTTGTTCTATTTCTTATACAAGAATATTATTCACACATCTTGCTTGAACAAACTCTATTTTCAAACTAAACTAATGTTTACAAAAACATCTGACAACAAACATATTTAAACACACGATAAAAGAACAGACTTAATACAACATCCCGCTTCAAGATGTCCACATCTTTATTAACCTCAGTACCGCCTCGGTTTCTTAATGGACCTTCCGTAACGGGTTACTGTGCCAGCTCCTGGACGATCACGTGAGTTGCATGGACGATTAAGGACCATGGATGAACAGTTTGAAAGAATTCCATCTCCTCCGTAGTACGGTGCAGGAACTAAGAACTTCCTGTTTCGGCGAATAGTTCTCTTGTCAGTTTCCACAAGGTAGGAACGTGGTTCGTTCAATTTCCTGACTACCTTACTGTGTCGACGTAGATCTGTGATCCATACCATGCTTCCAACTTCTAATTCACTTAAACCACTCGCTCCATGTCGTTTATCAAATTGTATCTTGTACTTATTCTGGTACTTATTCTCCCTCTCAAGAAAATTCTTATTTTCCACAGGATTTCCAACCAAAGTAGATGGAAGATTGTCTCTTAATTTCCTTCCAAACATAAGTTCAGATGGGGAAAAGCCGGTTTCAAGAGGTGAGGTCCGGTAAGAAAGTAGGGCAAGTTCAAATTTATCCTTGTTTTTCTTCATTAGCCCTTTTGCTACTTTCACAGCTGCTTCAGCTGCCCCATTTCCCTGATGGTGGTGGGGACTACTTCTGAATGTGGAGAACCCCCACTCCTTTGCAAACAATTTAAATTCACTTGAGTCAATATGGTGAAATTGTGTCCCACTATCTGAATAAACACGTTGAGGAATTCCAAAACATGAAAATGTGGTTTTGCAAACCCGAATCACATCTGAAGCCCTCATTCGATGCATTTCCTCGACTTCAAAGTATCTTGAGTAGTGATCCACGATAACCATATACCACTTGTCTTCGTGTTTGAACAAGTCAACAGACACATTTTGCCACGGGTAATCCGGGACAGTTCTCGGAATCAATGGTTCACTGTGATTAGTTGAGTTCTGAATACACACTGGACACGATTTGATTTTCCTTTCTATTTCTTGAGAAATTCCAGGCCACCACATGGTTCCCAAAGCACGTTTCCTTGTTTTTGTGATTCCCAAGTGTCCACTGTGAAGCCTCTCGAGCATTTCCACTCGTAGTTCTTGAGGTATTATCATCCGAGTTCCTCGAAGCAATAGCCCATCAATACAACTTAACTCGTCTTTCACATTAAAGTACTCTTGAATCTCATTAGGTAAACTTGATTTTACAGGCCATTCGTCTAAAATTTGTAACTTAAGTTGTGCACAGATTGGATCTCTCATTTGTGAGTGAAGTACCTTTGTCACATTTTCATCTGTAGTGTTTATACTAATCAGACTGATTTCGTGGACGAAGGCTTCCACTTCTTCGGTCAATTCGCCATCTTCGTCAGCCGGAATAGGACTTCTTGATAGTAGATCTGCTATGGCAAGGTCTTTTCCTGGGGTCCAGGTCATGCGATAATCGTATCTCATCATACGCATTCGGAACCGCTGTAGCCTCGGTGAGAGCTCGTCCAAATTTTGTGTTTTGAAAATTGAGACAAGCGGTTTGTGGTCGGTCTCAATTGTGTACATTTTACCCATCAGGAAACATTTCAAACGGTCACTTGCCCATGTGCACGCAAGCGCTTCTCTCTCAATGTTACTGTAGTTTTCTTCAGCAGGCGTTAGAGTCCGAGATATATATGCCACAGGTTTCTTGTTTTCTCCTTCAACTTGAAGTAAAACCGCTCCAAGACCTTTTTTTGAAGCATCGCAAGAAAGAATCGAGGGTTTTTGCGGATCGTAAACAGTCAAACATGGCTCTGATGATAAAATCTGTTTTACTGTGACAAAAGCGTTTTCTTGAGCTGGTCCCCAAAAGAAATCGTTTTTAGTCTTTAACAAGCTCGTAATTGGCTCCAAAATCTCACTGCGGTTCGGAATAAATTTTGCCAGAAAAGTGATCATGCCCATGAATCTTTGTACTTCATTAGCGTTTCTTGGAGCTGGTAAGTCCACAATCGCTTGTACCTTGCTTGGATCAGGCTTGATTCCGTCCTTAGACAGCACAAACCCCAGAAATGTCACAGTCTTCTTGCAGAACTCCGACTTCTGCTTATTCAAGGTGATTCCATTAGCTTGCACTCTCTCTAGAACGGCCCTAAGACACTCGTCGTGTTCTTCTTTCGTTCTTCCCCATATCAGACAGTCGTCAATGTGCACTAAACAGTTCTTTGCCCCTTCTAAAGCTTTTGACATGCGGCGCTGAAACTCTTCAGGAGCGGACGTAATTCCAAAAGGTAACTTACGGAATTTATACCTCCCAAAAGGGATGATAAATGTTGTGTAATCTTGTGACTCCTCTGCAAGGTTCAGTTGCCAGAACCCGGAATTCGCATCGATCTTGCTGAAGTACTTGGCTCCCGCGATCTCGGCCAATGAAAGTTCGATCTTTGGGATAGGATAAAACCGACGTTTCACACTGTTGTTGAGTTTGGATAGGTCTACGCAGATCCTAACCCCACCTCCCTTTTTTGCGCAAACTACCATTGGTGCGCACCAATCAGTCGCGTGTTCAACTGGAACAATCACTCCTTTCTCAAGCATATCGTCTAACTGCTCTTTCACCTTGGTTTTTAAAGGTATTGGTACAACCCTGGGGGTGGATATAGCGTAAGGAACTGCATTCTCCTTCATTTCAATCTTGTACTCTCCTTTCATATTTCCCAGCCCTTGAAATAAATTAGGATACTTAGTAGCCCAGTCAATATCATGTGAATCTACAGAAAAAATTCTCCTCACCAGGTTTAGCTCTTCACAGGAACGTCTGCTAAGAAGTGGAACAGTGATCTCCTCAGAAATATACGCAAGATCATAAACTGATACACCCTTATGTTCAAGCTTTAGCCTTAAAGTTCCCAAAATATTGATTCGTTCTTTCTTCTTTGCGCTAAACACAGGGGATTTGCACTTTCCTAGAGGCAGAGTCTTAATAAAATCACCAAGAACTCCTACTGGAATCATGGTTACATCAGCTGCTGTGTCAAGTTTAAATTTTATAAGACCTAAATCTTGGTTTCCACAGCTTGCTTTTACCTCCTGGACCCAGGCTTTGTCACTGCTGTCTATATTCCCTATGAAAATCTCAGGAACCTGTTGATAACCACTGTCTGAATCTTGCTGTTCGATTTCTTTAACAACGTTTTTGTTTTTTCTCATCCACTTTTCGCGGGAGGGACAACATCGAAAAAAATGTCCAATCTCGGAACATTTGTCACATTTGGCTTTCCTAGTGGGGCATTCGGCCAGTGATCCGTGCCAGTTATAACCACATTTCCTGCACTTTTTTCTCATAGCATCCTCGGTGAATTTCTGTTCACCAGCTCTTTCAGACAGATTTGTTTTACCGACTTGTATTGACGTTTGATTCACCATAAAAACATTAGTATTGGCGAGCTCACGTTTTTGGCGTTCTAGCTCCTCGTGTTGGCGCAAGGTATTAATCGCCTTCTCCAGAGTCAATTGAGAGTCCAGCTGGAGTCTATCACTTAGAGCCTCATCTTTCATACCAATAATGAGGACCAGAAGCACCATCTCATCGTTCAGTTCACCCCATGCACACGTTTTTGCAAGACCATGCAAATCTGTTATGAATTTTTCAGATGGATCACTCCCTTGCTTGTGTCTCAGAAATTTTGTTCTCTCATAAATGATATTTCGTCTTGGCACAAAGTATGCATCAAAGGCCCGAAGAGCCTCGTCATAAGTATTCGGTTTTGGTGAAAACGAATCGAAAATATCTTCACTTCTACTACCCATTGTAAACAAAAGTACATCGATTTGCCGAGCGTCGGAAGTGCTATCTAGACCGCACCCCCGTCTGTACCTTTGAAAGCGATTCCTCCAGGAATGCCACTCATTCGGAGTAAAAGAAAAGGTATCTGGAGTTGGTAACGTCAGATTTATCATAGGAGTAGGAGTACACATTACTGCATTATTTTCTCGGTTTGTCTGTCCCAATGCAAAACCTAGTGACTCACCTTCAGTCTTTCTAGAATCCCTTTCTGACATGTAGTTGAATTCACTTTGGGCATCCTCCTCATTGTCCTCATACCTTTGCCTACGAGTATTTCGTTTTTTTCTGCCCTTACTTGACATCATGCGTGGTTTTAGACTTTGTTCGATAAAAAATCCACTAAGCTGCCACCATGTTCTATTTCTTATACAAGAATATTATTCACACATCTTGCTTGAACAAACTCTATTTTCAAACTAAACTAATGTTTACAAAAACATCTGACAACAAACATATTTAAACACACGATAAAAGAACAGACTTAATACAACATATTTGATATTAGCGCACTCAATTGCTACTGGACATAAAACACATGAGTCTACTTGCAACATACAAGTAAAAATCAAATGCTACATTGCACCTATCAATATAACACCACCTTTATGTATGTTTGAGGTTAAGGGTGTTGCTTAGTTTATTATTTTATGATGATATCAGGCTTATCTCAATGGGAATGAATCCAAACTAATACAATAAATTCACAATTTTACACTGTACACAAAACATTAGAAGAATATTTCACTGTCACTGACAGCATTTTCAACTAAGGAAAGTATGAGTTGAGAGAGTTTTCTTCAGGCCTAATGGTGGTCAGGAAGTAGTTGTACAGTAACAGTTGTATGTTTGTTTGGTCCACAGACTGGCCGTGTACTGTCTCAAGGACGCCTACCTTCCTCTGCGACTGCTGGACAAGCTCATGTGTATCATCAACTACATGGAGATGTCTCGTGTGACCGGAGTCTCTCTCACTAGTCTGCTCACCAGAGGGCAGCAGATCAAAGTGGTCTCTCAGCTGCTGCGGAAGGTAGGACCTATTCTGTGTTATGGGTATTAGATATTATTCTCTAATTGTCTAACCTGCGTTTTAAATAAATCTCAAATCCATCAAACGTTGAGAAAATAAGAGTTTTAGATTCATTTGGCTATTTCAAGAATCAAATCTCATATCTCACATACAGTTAGACACCAGTTTAACAGAGCTATTACAACTGGTGCATTTGTAACAGGAAGCACAATGGAATCTCTAAACATTACAGCTCTGAAGAACAGTACTGGTAGTAGTACTAATGCAGTAAAGTAGAAGTTCCCTGTTGCTCTGTTACTGTCTGAAGATGGGAACACGAGATAGACTGCTTTTGTTTGCTACGAGACAGAAATGTCAGCACACCATGCCAATGACTCAGTTCTACTAGACATTCCATCTTAGTGTGAAATTTGTAGACAGATTTGTTATTAAAATCGTTGTAGTTGATGGGAGCCATTGACAGATTGTGCTGATCTAAATCACTAAATTCTGTCGAATACACAAACTTTTTTACCAAGTCAAGGTGTTACCTAAGCAAAACTACAGTTTTTATGTACCCTCTTTACACTCATATTTGGGTTAAAATACGCGTAGTGGCATCCCCATCTTAAATAATTTATATAATCCTAGGCTGTGTCTCAGAACTGACTTCTTATTTCTTTGGATATACTTAGGGTATATCTGTCTGCTACCTAACAAGTGCTATTGACTGTGTTCTCAAGTTCATAGAAGTTTATTTATTAAAAGTGGCTTTATTGAAAGCATAAGATCAACCAGTAACAATTTAATGTAACAGTGAGTGTTTTTGTACATATTGAAACAAGTCAAATAATTTATTTTTCATTTACCATTAATATAAAAACGATAATTACTTACTACCTACCAGAATGAGGTTATGCATGTTGATTTTTATTTGAACAAATAGCATGATTTATCACCTTTTCCAGCACTATTGAACAATTGCTAACTAAACTTTGACATCTATTTTACTTAAATATTACATTAAAAGTCTTGATTATTGATATTAAACTTGTAAATTTAACAAGATCTGGGTTGGAGATTAGCTCTTGCTTATTCCTGTGTGTTTATGCTCTTGAGCTATAATTTGGCGGCAAGAAGAAGTTTGAGTTGTCTGCACTTGCAGACGATGCTCAGCAGCTTTAGTTTCCATGAAGCTTTAACATCCGTTGGTGACTCATCTTTGGACACTGGTTGCCTGACCTGCTATTTCCCTTCTTTATTGATCTGTGAAGGTTTTATTTGATTTTATTCCAGTTATAAATAAAATAAAATATCATATGCGAAGAAATGTTATTATTTTTAATACATTTTATTTGTTGATTTCCACAAAGTTTAGCTCTATTGGGTAACCTTGAAGAGTATTATTACTACAACCCCAAGAAATATATGTCAATTTTGATGGAGTTCCAGATCGAAAACACAAAGAATGGAAAGCCTAATATTATTTTTAACAATCATAAATATAGACAGAATTATGTGGCCAAAAGTGGAGAAGTCACCTGGCGTTGTCTTGGTAGGAGCTGTAATGCCACAGTAAAGACTGACTCAAATATATTACTCATAACTGCAACCAACCCAAAACACTCTGGACCTCACCCAGTGACAATGAGGACACTATTATCTCCTAAAAGCACAACACCTGTTCAGTCCACCAATAAAGAGGTCTCATTGGAATCATCTTTCGAATCGTCATTACCACAAATTCAAGTTGATTTGACTGACTCTTCCTTACACCTTACTACTGACACAGATGAAGCAGTATCCTCTGCCGTGTTGGATCTACAAGAAGAAAATAGGCAACTAAAGGAGAAAAATGAAACACTTGAAAAACAGTTAACATGTGTTTTGGACCATTCGATAGAATCAGACGCCCGGCTACTAGAATTTACAGAAGAGATTTTCCCCATACCAGATTATCTTCCTAAAAATGACAAATCTAAAATGATAGATTGTTCTGTACAGTGTCAACCAATGACAATAACCTCAACTACTTCTACTGAAGACCTTACTCTACAAAATAATGCCCACAAAACTTTAATATCTTCTGGAACTCAAACTGACAGTTCATTGATGAATAAAATTGTGATTACCACGGAACTACTAGGAACAAGCTGGATTTCTGACCTAACACTGCAGCCATATATGGAAATTTTAAATAGTCGTCTCTTAGCCCCGACTTCAGGAATAATAATAAACCCTTTGGTGGTCAGTGCTATAAAAAACACTCTGGATATCAACAGCTTTCTTGACCCTTTGTTAGTAAAACAGAAGAATATTATTATCATGCCAATTAACGACTCCGAAGATCTAAACGAATCCTCTAATGGGACTCATTGGAGCGTACTGATTTTGGACAAAGCTAAAAATCAGTTTTATCACTTTGACTCACTGAACAATTACAACTTGACCTCAGCAAAAAAGGTTTCAGAGAACTTAACACGATATATGGGAGGGGGCTTATCTTCACCAAGTTTTGTGTCACTGAAGAGTCCACAGCAACCAAATAATTATGACTGTGGAATCTATACATGTTGGGTCATTGAGTCAATAGTACAAGATGTTGCTACCACTGGGGTTTTAAACCTTAATTACATTAACAATAAAAATCTATCTGAACAGGAAGTGATACAAAAGCGTTCTATGCTAGCGTTTGTTTTACTGAATCCCTCAACGCTGAATGATGAGCTCTTCCGTTCAATAATGGTTGATAAGGAGGGAAAATCTCATGGAGTAGTTAAAGTAAGAAATAATACTGACAATAGAAACCCTGTGCAATTAAATGACTGGATTCAAGTGAAGACTAAAAATAAAACAAAGAGTCCCAAACTAAATACTGATATCCCAAAATTACTTACAAAAAACAAATTTGATGATTTGCAGAAACTAAACCAAAATAATGAAGACCTCAGAAAACAATCTACGGGCACAACACTCTTAGCAGATGTAACAATTGACACAAATAACCATAGGAAAAATAACAATGTTAGATACAATAAAATAAGTAAGCACATTGATGTAAAGACTTGTCCTAAAACAAATGTAACACTCTGCTCTGACAGCCAGGGTAAAAACATAGCTCACAAAATAGAATCTTACAGCGGTACTAGAATATCTACTTTTGGATACGTTAGAGCAAATACGACACTCCTACAAGTATTAGACTCAGCATCAATAGTTGAGAAGACCCCTCTTATCATCTTGGGAGGAACTAACGATAGCCTAAAATGTGACTTCTCAGGTATATACCGAGATTTGGAGAGTAAATTAACAGATACCTGCAAATCAAGGTCAGTTTTTCTATGCACTATACCTACTAGGTTCGACTTACCGCTCAATCACCCAGTGAACTTGGATTTATTACAAGTCAACAACCATCTTAGAAGATTGAAAACTAAGATTAATAATCTGTTTCTGATAGACCTGGAGGAGCTTCATAGGTTCCACTTTACGAGACATGGACTTCACTTCAACAACCGAGGCAAGTCAAAGTTAGCATTTTTACTGATTGAAGCTATTACAAAATGGTATAACAATACTAGTACTGCAACGGACACCCTCTCTCAAACACGCAAGGAGTCAACTGAGTATTCTCAGTTAAACACCAGTACTACTCAAAGTGAAGTTCGTATTGTCCAAGCAGATATAACAGAATACTTTGAAACATATAGAGATGACCCTGAAACAGCTTTTGCCCACACCATATCAAGGGATTTACATCACCATAGAAATATGACAGCTGGTGTGGCAGTGGCCTTCCGTAAGGCTTTTGGCAGACCCAAACCATCTGATTGCCTGAGTGATTATTTGGCATGCCAAGTACAGGATAATGGTGTGACAGTTTGGAGTCTAATTACCAAATCCACCTTCAACAGTAAGCCCTCAGAGCATGAGTACAATGCTGCTTTCGATGAATTGAAGAAACACTTAAAGGAAAGAAATTTCTCCAGATTAGTATGCTCTCCAATGGGCTGCGTAAGGGACAACGTAGATCCCAAGCTTTTTGCTGCCAGGATTATGGACCTTGGAAGAAGTACGGGAGTGTCTATTGTCATTGTAACAAAGGATCAGCCGACAAGAAGAAGACCTTTATGGAAAGGGTTGTCTCACATCGAGTTCGTTAAAACTCTTCAAAACTCCATCAACGAATGCCAGCCTTCTAATACCCTTCCACAGTGTGTTAGCTCAACACCTAAAATAGGTTCTTTGACTGAATATCCTCCAATACCGAATTATGCAATGCGTAGAAGTTCACCAGTGACAGAAGACTTAATCACTACCGCTGCTAACACTGTACCTACCTCCATGCAACCTAAGATGACTGCTGCTCCACCACAACCTGATGTCCCCAAGTTTTCTGACTCTCAAAAATCGCCTGCAACAGCCCATTCCAAGGTAAACGAAATCTGCTTCTCTGATCCTGCATCTGGAACTTCTCTAGAACGACCCCTCGAATTCGATGTCAACACAAGTCTTGTGTCCAGTGATAATTTGAGTGAAAAAGGCAATCAGTGTTCTAGAAGTGTGAGTGATGAGTCTCTTATTCCTCTTCCATGTAGCTTAAACTTAACTAATGTGCCAGATAACCCAAACCATTCTATATCATATCTATCTGAAGCCTCTCTGTTAAAAAACTTGATCCATGTGCCAATGGAAATTACTTAGAGTTAAATAGGCGTAACATTAGTAAATCATCTCTTGGAAAAGTTAATGACACAGCTAAAATAGAAATAAACAATTTAACTATTTTCCACCTAAACATTCAACACCTACCATCCAGAATTGATTCCTTGTTGATAACTTTAGAAGAACTAAATCCAGATTTAATAGTTTTAAATGAACACAAAATGACTGAAACAGAGTTATCTCGTCTAAATCTGTCTAATTATCAAATTCACTCCTCATTTTCCAGGAAATTTGCAGGAGGTGGTGGTGTTGTTATCCTTGGTAGAAATGATATAAAACATAAAACTATTAACTTTTCTGTAGAGAATGTAATATGTGAGAAGGAATTTGAATGCTGCTTAGCAGAATATAGATTCAATAAGTTTCAGTTTTTGCTGGTTGCTGTTTACCGTTCCCCCAGCACTAAAATTTGCATTTTTCTTGAGAAACTTAACTATTTATTGACTTTATTGATAAAAAGATTTAAAAATATTGTAGTTGTTGGAGATATTAATATAAATGTTCTGGATGTGACAGAAAGTTGTAAGCTTCTTGATGTACTTGAAATGTTCAGCATGAGATATTTGGTTAACTTCCCTACGCGCATTGCATGTTCATCAGAGACTGCATTGGACAACGTTCTCACCAATATTACAGATTATAAGCTAAAAGTAGATGGTATTAATACACAAATTTCTGACCATGATGGATTGTTGGTATTTATTGAATGTGATAATGTCAAGGATGTAAATTCAAGTAAAAATAAACTAAATAAACATATATTAAGAGATGCTAGGGATTTTTCTAAGGATAATTTAGACTTGTTTGTAAAATTAGTGAGTAAAGAAAATTGGATGCATGTTTATATGGCTACAGTCGAAGAAAAGTATTCTGTTTTTTACAATATTTTTAAGTTCTATTTTGATCAATGTTTCCCTAAATTTAAAAAACGCTGTAAAATCAAATACAACAATTGGATTTCACAAGAGTTAAAAAATGAAAAATCAAAGATTATTAGACTGAGTAAGACTGCTCGGGCTTGTAATGATAAAGATCTTTATGATAAGGTTAAGAGATTAAATAAGGAGTTCAGAAAGAAAATTATACATGTCAAAAGACAGTTTTACACTAAAAAGGTTAGTAATGCTGAAAATGTATGTAAAGCTACTTGGAAATTACTTAATGCTGAAATCTCAAATAAGAAAAAGAATGTTAGCAATATTGAAATAGATTTTGATGGAATCTTGTACAGAGACCCTAAAGAGATAAGTTGTATTTTTAATGACTTTTTTAATAGCTATGTTAATTCATCAATTATTCCTCAGCTAGCTCAAAATGATTGTTTGCATGGGGGTGAGACTTGTCCAAGCTTTCAGTGTCCTCCAACGGCTAAATTTAAATTGAATGCTGTATGTGATAATGATATATTAAGTATTCTAAACTCTTTCGATAATAAACTATCAACCGGTTACGATGAAATACCTATGACAGTATTAAAATATGCTGGCAAACAATTGGTCAAACCACTTGTTCATATAATAAATTCCTCTTTCTTGAGTGGAATTTTCCCTGAAAAATTAAAAGTTGCCAAAGTTAGTCCTCTCTATAAAAATGGAGACCCAAAAAATATAACAAATTATCGACCATTATCTTTACTGTCATCATTTTCTAAATTATATGAAAAAGTTGTTTATAACCAATTAGTAACTTATCTAGAAGAAAACCATTTGCATGATGATGAACAACATGGATTCAGACCAGGTAGATCTGTTATAACTGCAGCAGTAGATTTTATCGATTCAATAATAAACTCAGTGGATAAAGGGGATAAAACAGTGGGCATATTTTTGGACCTGACTAAGGCCTTTGACAGTGTCTCACACCAGCTTCTTTTGGGGAAGATCCGAGATTTGGGTGCCGACAGCAGGTCATTGAAGTGGTTTCGATCCTATTTAACTCAGAGATCTCAGTATGTTGAAATGAAGCAATTAAAAAATAACGTTTTTTCAACCTCCTGCTCAAAGTTATCTATTATTCAACATGGGGTCCCACAGGGTTCGATTTTAGGACCTGTTTTATTTCTTTGTTACATCAAAGGAATGCCCGGGTCATTTCAAAACAATATATTTAATAAAATAAGTTTGTATGCAGACGATGCAAGTTTAAAAGTAAGCAGTACATCTGTTTCTGGTTTGGAATGTAACTCTTTGAATTGCCTAAAATCAATAGATGCTTTCTTAAACTATCATCAATTACTTTTAAATTCCAGTAAAACCAACTTTATGGTATTTTCAACAGGTAAACAAAAAAGTCCAATTGATCCAGTGATTAATTTTAAAAATTCTAATCTTAATCAAGTTACTACAACTAAATTTTTGGGCTTAGTAGTTGATGAAAATCTTTCATGGAACTCCCATGTTGACCATGTTGTCAGCAAAATCACATCTGGAATTTATGCAATTTATAGAATGTCTAAATTTTGTTCAACAGATATTTTGAAAAAGCTTTATTTTGCTTTCATTGAATCCGCAATATCATTTGGCATAAGTGTTTATGGTGGAACATCAAAGAAAAATTTGGACAGAATTTTAATTTTGCAGAAAAGAGCATTAAGACTAATGTTGAATTTAAACTGGGATGTTTCCGTACGTGATCATTTCTTAGCCATGGGTATAATGACTGTGTACGGCATTTATGTTTTCCATACCGTTCTTTTGACTAAAAATCTTTTGTCTGAAAGTATGTTACCTAAACTAGGGGATAATCACGAATATGGCACCCGGCATAGAAACAAAATTGCTGTTGATGCCCATAGATTGGAATTTTATAACAAAAAACCGTCATGTGCTGGAAGAAAATTTTTGGAAGGGCTTCCAGAGGGGTTGAGGAAAATTGATGATAGTAAAAAATTTAAATCACAGCTTAAAATATACTTAACAGAAAAAGTACTGTATAATTTTGATGAACTGTACAGCTGATATTATGTTGTAAGTTTAAGTAGTTTTAAGAATTTTGACGCCATTCAATGTACATACTTGTATGATTTATGAATAAAGTTATTTTCAATTCAATTCAATTCAATTCAATTCAATTCAATTCAATTAGGGGTAATTATCACTTAGATAAAATCCAGTGGTGGGATTAGAACCTAGGGACCGAAGTCCCACACTAGACCAGCTTGCTCCCCACCCTAAGGACTACAATATTGTGATTAATAATCATTAGTACAATAAAAATATGTTTTGACCCCAAAAAAATTAGCACAAGCGGGGAATTTGGTACAGATGTTGGGTGTACCTCCCTTTTTAATATATTAAAAGTCCCCTAAAATTGAAGCTGTGCTACGGCCGCCATATTGGAAAATGGCAGCATATTTATGTATTTTTGGCTATAGTGACTTTATTATTAGAGATACAGGAAAACTAATACACAAAATGTAGTCCATCTAAAAATACATATTTTTTGTATTTATTTACCATTTTTCTCTAAGCCTAACGGTTTTTGATTTATTTGTGATTAAGTATTTTTAATGTTTACGACCATTTAACCCATTTAGTTAAATAGTGTGATACTATAAAATCTTCAAATTTAACTTAATTTCATGAGTAAAACAACTCAGCCACAGCTAACCTGTAGACTCAGAAAATTTCAATTTGCCTGATTGGATGTTTTATTAAATGTATATAAATACAAATTAGGTTTAACAGGTACCCAGGTTTGCTTATTTTTACTGCACTACATGATCAAGAGCATTACTTCTAGTAGTACATATCGTTTGCTATATTTGTTTTACTTATTGTTTATAATTACCGAGGGATTCTCTTCCACAGTCCAAGGAGAAGGGTTACTTGATGCCAGCTTACCAAGGAGGTGTTCAGGAGGAACAGTTTGAAGGGGCCACTGTGATCGAGCCCAAGAAGGGCTACTATGCCGAGCCAGTGGCTACGCTGGATTTCAGCTCTCTGTACCCGAGTATCATGATGGCTCACAACCTCTGCTACACCACTCTGCTGCAGAGCAACAGCAAGGACAAGTACAAGTGGGTTACTCAATAGTGCTTCATCTGTCTCTGTGAATAGAACTGGACATTCCATTCCCATTTCATAGTCAGTTTAAAAATAAAAAAAATCAACAACGAATGGCATCTGTAGTGTTTGATTTTTGAAAAATAGCAATTTTTTTAAAGATGTATGTAGCTCACAACCCCCCCCCCCACAATCACTTTATTCATATTCAGTTCTTGGAAGTTCTCAATTATGTTAAATTTTTAATATAAAATTATTAAAACAAAATGAAAAGTGTCTCAAACAAAACCAAAAGTCCAGTGACAAAAACAAGGTGATGAATGTGATATAATTATTTTAATTTTCAATAGAAAACTTTTAAAGAAGAAAAGGTTTTTTTACTCACAGAGTTTTAAAATTTAATCTATGACGTTTACAGTTTGACACCCGACCAGTATTCCAAAACACCATCAAACAATCTCTTTGTGAAGAGTTCAGTGAGAAAAGGACTACTTCCAGAGATTTTGGAAAACCTACTCAGCGCCAGAAAGAAAGCAAAGACTGATTTGAAAAACGAGACAGATGAGTTTAAGAAGAAAGTGTTGGATGGACGTCAACTGGCGCTCAAAATAAGCGCCAACTCTGTGTATGGCTTCACTGGCGCACAAGTAGGCAAACTTCCTTGTTTGGAGATATCTGGGGTGAGTCAGCTCTGCATAATAGCTGTAAGATTAATTCATTTAATTAGCTACATCTGGGTCTTTATATAATTGCCTGATTTCAAAAGTAGGCCCGATTTCTCCAGGTTGCATCTTCTGGTCCTAAAATTATGAATATAAAATAAACAAAGTTCGTAGATTGATTGGAAGTTGTCCTAATTTTGGTAATCACAATAAAGGACAAAAAAACAATCAAAAACCTTTATTCTCTTCGTACAACATTTTAATTCTTAACCAAACAATCCATGAATCAGCTGCCCATTTGCTTGAGCCAGTTCATCATTAAGTTAATTAATAGAATATTCTTTGACAATATTATTTAAAGTGTTAAAATTATTTTATTAGTCAGTTTTGTTTCCTATTCTGAACTACCATTTACATTCCCAGAGTGTAACGGCGTACGGACGTACAATGATAGAGCAAACAAAGCAGGAAGTGGAACACAAGTATTGCGTCAAGAATGGATACGAACATGATGCAGTTGTAAGTAATCAGTGTTCTACAATTTTAAATTTATTTAGAAATGTTTATTTATAAATATTTTTGTATGTTATAGAACACTTTAATAATTCATTGCTTGAAATTTGCTATTTTTAAGGCTATTTACCGTCTTAAATACTTAATTTCAGGGAAATATGGAATGAAGAATTTAGCATTTTACCAGGATAAAATTAGACCTGTTATCTATCGGATCATAAAACCACAAGGAAAAAAATTTAATCCCCTGTGTATGCCCTAATAATGACCACTTCACTAATAAATGATCTAAGTTATGTTTTTTTTCCTGCTATAGCAATACAAAATTTCATTGGCACTTTTTAAAACCTTATTGAAATTAAATAACAAATATTTTTCAAGCACAAAATACTATAAGTGAAATGAACTCAACTCCTAGCTCACTCACTCGAATCCGCTCTTCTCCTTTTTAAGTCTACTCAACAATTAATGGAACCTTTTTCTGTTAATTCACTACCACTAGTTTTTTAGAGCAATAGATCATAATAGAAGTGGTAGTGAAAAACTTAACCTAACAACCTAACCTAACTACATTCCACTAGTAGTTGTGAATTAACGGAAAAGGTCCAATTAATGTTCTGTTGAAATCATATAATATTCTTTTTGAGGTTAATATCAGCAATTTCTTACAAAACCGAAACTTTGAGACAGAAAGAAACAATTTTTCCAGGTAATATATGGAGACACAGACTCGGTGATGGTAAAGTTCGGCGTGAAGACGTTGGAAGAAGCGATGAAGTTGGGGCAAGAAGCAGCGGAGTATGTGTCCTCCAAGTTCATCAAGCCCATCAAACTGGAGTTTGAGAAGGTAACAGACAAATATTTTGGAATTAAGTATATTATTTTGAAAATGAATTCAGCTAGCTCACCTAGAAACATTAAAAGTCTGGTGGCTTATAGATGAACAAAAAATGTTACATTACCTAACAATGACGTTTCCTTATATACAATTCCCTCAGAGAGATTAGTGAGAAATGTTACCGTTTGATGTTGGTAAATGCTAGATGTAGATACCAATATCCAGATATAATTGTCAAATGATATATCTAGATATCAAATTTGCAATCTATTTATTGGCACGTCTAATGCGTCTGCTAGATACCAATAAGCACATGTAATAGTCAGGGGCTAGTTTCCAATGTGTTTGATTAATTGTAAAGTATAGAAAATGTCAATCAATATTTAATTGTCACAGGCTGGATACCAATGTGAATACCGCAAGAAAACTATTTAATTCCAAAATTCATCAAGTTATAATTGCTAAGGCTGGCTTTATATTTGTTCAGGTGTACTTCCCGTACCTGTTGATAAACAAGAAGCGCTACGCAGGTCTGTACTTCACTCGCACGGACACGTATGACAAGATGGACTGTAAGGGTCTGGAGACAGTCAGGAGAGACAACTCCCCTCTCGTCTCCAACATGATCAACATGTGTCTGCAGAAACTGCTTATTGAAAGGTACTGGTCCATTGGTACACCTTATGTATCCTACAACTTTTCCTGTAAAATTATATTTTTTTATTTTTTCATATTATTGTATGTTGTTGTCAATGATCCTATTTGCCACTGTAACTCAAATGATCACAGCAAGGTTGGTTTGAGCTCTTACGATTACAATAATACTGTTATAATTTCTCACAGTCACTAAAATATTACAAAATTCCTGTCCGAAGACTTAAAACCACAACCAAAAAATTAAACATGTTTTTTAAATTTAGAAACTGTTAACATTGGCATATGTCCACTTAGATTCTGTTAAGTTGTCTGCCTTGAGCAAAAGTACATGGTTGTAACACAAGAAAATATCAGGTGTAACTAAAAATTTGAATCTAGTACATTATATCATTGGTTCAAGATTCATTGACGTATCACTACCACTATACTCAATTGCCAAATGGTTCTAACCGAGTGTGTGTTGTAGGAACCCTGATGGCGCAGTGGCGTACGCCAAACAGGTGATCAGTGATTTGCTCTGTAACCGTATAGACATTTCTCAACTGGTCATCACCAAAGAGCTCACCAAGCAAGACAAGGTAACAAGGATATCCATCTAAAATCTACAACTGTATACAAAGAATTTATTTCTTATAAAAAACGACAACTGTTTTCTGAAATTTATCTTTTATCACAGTACACGAGTTTACTCTATTAAATTTCATTGACCAAGCTACTTTCGCTACAGCAGACAGTTCTCGTTGTGTAGCTAAATTTTCAATTGATTTTAATTTTTACTATGGTCTTGGGTAATCCAAGTTCAGTTTAATGGGCTGTGGTTGAAAAGAGGATCACTGAACAGTATTAAAAGAAAAATGTGAATTCACATTATGATTAAATAATTCTATAATTAATTATTGTATACAGTGCATGGTGAGTCAGTGGCTCAGTAGTGCAACGCCGTTGTACAAAGGCATCAATGTTGGAGGTTTGCATTCCAATGCCGTCACTTACAATTTACCAGCGCAGTTTCCTTGTACAGGTTCCCCTTTGCCTCCCTTAAAAAATCCATGAACAAACCTTGGATACCCATGTGTACAAGAAATTATAACTTAAAAAGGCTGCCAACCTCTTTAGAAAAAGAAAAGAATTACTGTCTTTAACTTTGCGTAGTTTAATTGAAGTTAAAAGGAGAAAGCTAAACTTAACACAAATACCCCCGCCGCACCAAACCTGCCGTCTAAGCGAATTTCCATTTGGCTGAATTGATTTTCAATTGATCTATTTAAATAACATTAGGTTTAACGAGTACCTAGGTTTGCTGCTACAAGGAAACTAATAAAGTATGTGTTTTAAGTAAAATAATTATTGCTTAGTATAAAATGAATAGTATATTGTTGCCAAGTTTGATCAAAAGATATCCATAAACAAGTCAACTACAACATTTTACAATATTCTCCATAAGAATAACATGGGAATTTTAAATTTACCATTTTTTTAGTTTTCTCCGTAACCAATAAATAACCGTACAAAAACACTTTGATATACTGAATTGTTTGTTGTTTTAAGCTCTTTAAGAAGGTTTAGAGAAAAATTGGTAAATTTTGTGTTTTGAGGGTCAAAAGTGAGAAAAACCAATTTTTACCCCATAAAACCCTGTTCCCATGGTCCGATCATGCTGGATCGCGAATTCATTCAAGTTTATACCGCCTTACACCTTCAAACCAAATTTCATCAAAATCGGATAAAAATTACTCAAGTTATCGTGTTCACGGACACATATATATATATATATATACTAAGTATGGTTGTGATTAGGGCTACTATTATATTAATAATTGGAAACATTATAACAACATTAAGTACCCTTTTAAATTCGTTTTAATTAAGAAACTAAGTTTCTAAGTTTCTTAGTTTCTAAGTAACTAAGTTTCTTAATTAAAATGAATTTAAAAGGGTACTTAATGTTGTTATAATGTTTCCAATTATTAATATATATATATACATATATACAAATTTGAACGAATGGTGTTTTTGGCCTCTGGGGGGGACATCAAAATGAAAAAGTAAATCGGTCCTGGACCTAAGTTTCCATGAGACCTACGGTAATAGCTACTTCCCTATAGGGAAATTCGCTAACAATGGGGCAGGCTTCTTTAGAAGAAAGTAAATCATCTCCAAATGTCTTGTGCTTCATGTTTGAGATGTATGTGTGTTGTAGGATTACACAGCCAAGCAAGCTCATGTCGAGCTGGCCAACAAGATGAGAAAGAGAGACCCAGGTAATGCCCCCAAGCTGGGTGACCGAGTGCCTTACGTCATCGTAGCGGCCAGCAAAGGCACCCCGGCCTACCAGAAGGCTGAGGTGGGTACAAGAGGTTGAGTTTTTGTGTGCTTATACCAGTTGAATTTTTAATTAAGCTGTTTAAAACGTTTTCAAGGGAAAGTGGACAAAACCCTTTGAAATATTTGTGGATATGTGGAACCCATCCTTCTCGCACCAGTGTTTGTATAAAAAATGCCAAAGTTATATTTAACCACTGGCAGAGTGAGCTGATGTCCATTATTTGTTTCTGTTGAATACACAAACTTTTTAACCAAGCCAAACTGAAAAACAACTTGTAATAAACTGTAGCATATTTTATGTCACATAAACTATCTCATTAACGTTAACTACTTAAAAATGGGTAATTGAGTGTTTTCTTCACAGTGGGAGTTCTATAGTCAAAGGTAATAGTCACTAAATATAGTTGTCAGATGTTCTGAAGTGTCTAGCCTGTTAAAATAAAACAATACAAGAAGTATATTCAGAATTCAATAACCCATGTCGTGTTTTCAGGATCCAATTTATGTATTAGAAAACAACATTCCCATAGACTGTACCTACTACTTGGAGAACCAACTGTCCAAACCTCTACTGAGGATCTTTTCACCCATTCTTGGTGATAAGGCTGAATCTATATTACTCCGTGAGTACACTCCTATACTGTTTCTCGTTTAAGCTTTAAAGGTGGCTCCAGACATGCGCCATTCGCCAAGCTCGTAATAATTGACGTTCGGCGATCTAGTTGCCTTGCTATTCGTCGATTAATGAGAGTAGACATCTACACACATGTTGTTTTCCAAGCAACTGTTTTTTTTTTTGGGAATAACAAATATTTTTTCCCTTTGATGTGTGCAAAAATACCGACAATGAACAGGAATACACGGGCACGAATGTTTCTGTGTCTTGAGCCGCCTTAATATAGAATTAACCATTTGTTTACAAATATTTTTGAACCAATTCTAGTTATTCTTGTGTAAATGTCTAGCATATGGTACATAATCTCTAGTTCAGCCAATTTTACACAAACAGAAAATGTAAGATAAATGTTAATCACCTGATAGGGGTGTGCTGTTCCAGTGCTTAGGGCCAAGGACTTCTGCCTTGAAGATCTGGGTTAAAATCCATCTAATTGCCAACATCTTGTGTGATAGAATGAAATAGAATTTATTGTTGAGAACATGTAATAAACATAGTCATCAATTTAATAAATAGAGTTAATATATTAACTTCAAAGATCACAGTTGAATCACAGTCAAAAAATGTTGTAAAGAAGAAATATCTACTACAAATAATTTATAAAACAGTTAATCATATAAATCATTATAAAATAATTAATCAGAATCCATATTATTTTTCACTTGTAGTTTATTAAACATTTTTATGCTTAGAATTCTGCAACTATTTTGCTCATTTTCCTAGCATACATTTAAAAACATTAAGGATAATGTTGTAACCTGGTGGATCAGTCACATTAAGTAGTGTTTTGACCTATTTACTTACTTACTCTTACTCCTGTGGCCACACAAATCCAAGGAGATTTTTGGCCTCGCCAACAAGGTGCCTCCATCTTTCTCTATCTTCTGCCTCGTCCAACTCTGCGCCCAGTCTTCCGATGTCTTCAGCAACCTGGTCATCCCATCTAAATCTCGGTCTCCCCAGTGGGCGTCTTCCTTCAGGCTTTCCCCTCCACACTCTTCTTATACTGCTGCCTTCTTCTCTTCTTCTAACATGCCCAAGCCATCTGACTCTCCTACTTCTAATTAAAGCTACAATATCAGGTCTTTTATAAAGGTTATTCTTTCTAATCCTCCACGCCCCATCTTCCAAAGTTGGTCCGTATATTCTCCTCAGTATTTTATTCTCAAAAGTTATTAATTTTCTCTCTATGTTCTTTGTGAGGGTCCATACTTCCGAACCGTTTTATAAAACAAAAACAAATATAGCTTGAGATATCAGCAAACAGAACTTTCTTGTGCTGAAGGATTGAAGAACTCCTCTCCACTTAAAGCCATCTTGATGGTTAATTCACTTGATTTAGGTGGAGACCACACTCGCACCAAGGCGGTGGTGACTTCACGTGTTGGAGCTCTCTCTGCCTTCACCACCAAGAAGCAGACGTGTCTGGGATGCAAGGCAGTTCTGCCAACTGCACAAGAGAACCAGCCTCTGTGTCAGCATTGCCAACCCGACCAGGCCCGACTGTACATGCAGGAGCTGACCAAGTGAGTAGTCCATTATCACAACTGGTATTAGTTGGTAACAAAGATACAAAAGGCATCACAGCCCAATTCACACCTATCCTTCACTCATGATTGCAGGGTTACTTACCTGTCTCAATGTAACAGCAAACTAATCAAATTTGGGATGATTTTGGACTTTTTAAACTAGGTGGCGTTCGCAGAGGCATCCACAAAATTGAGCGGAGTCATCAAGGGTTCATAGTATATTGTTTTTCTCATACTGCAGTAAAAACAGATGTTTTAATGCATGCGTTGCGGGTCTAAAGTAGCATTTTTACACTTTGGGGAGTAAAAATCGTTTTTAGCCTCCATGGAGTAAAAATCAGCTATTTTCAACCCAGTTGTAAATTTCTATTGTAAACGATTGCATGTATCGAAATATGTATCGATTCGTGTTTCGTAATAATTTTAATCTACAGTCTACAGTCTCTTCCCATAGCATTTTAGCATTACAGATACATTAATCCATTCCCACACTCAACAGTGTTCACCTTTAACTTACTACTTCCTTCACCCCCCCCCCCCTCCTACGTCGTGGACCTGTTTCCCTATCTTCCCAAAACATTTTAGGATTGCAGATACATTAATCTAATCGTCATAAACAGTTCCCACACTCCGGACAGCTCGCCTTTACTTCCTTCACCACTGCCTACGTCACGGACCTGTTTCCCTCCCTTTCCATAGCATTTTAGGATTGCAGATACCTTAATCTAATCGTCATAAACAGTTCCCACACTCCTGACAGCTCACCTTTACTTCCTTCACCACTGCCTACGTCACGGACCTGTTTCCCTCCCTTTCCATAGCATTTTAGGATTGCAGATACCTTAATCTAATCGTCATAATCAGTTCCCACACTCCGAACAACTCGCCTTTACTACTTCCTTCACCACTTCCTACGTCTCGGACCTGTTTCCCTCCCTTTCCATAGCATTGTAGGATTGCTGATACCTCTTAATCTAATCGTCATAAACAGTTCCCACACTCCGAAAAACTCGCCTTTACTACTTCCTTCATCACTTCCTACGTCACGGACCTGTTTACCTCCCTTCCCTTAGCATTATTGGATTGGAGATACCTAAATCTAATAGTCATAAACAGTTTCCACACTCCGGACAGGTCGCCTTGACTACTTCCTTCACCACTTCCTACATCGCGGACCCGTTTTTCTCCCTACCCATTGAATTTTAGGAATGCAGATACCTTAATCTAATCGTCATAAACAGTTCCCACACTCCGGACAGCTCGCCAATTATTCATTTACCTCAACATGTTATATAATTTAAACTGCATGTTCATCCAAGGACCAATCAGCACCCACAGTCGGGACCATGTAAGTTTGCAGTTGGTGGCAGCCAATCACAAGACAAGGCTAGTGCGACGTTGCCACATCGCTCGTTGACAACACTAATTAAAATATACTAAGCAATATTTTCAAATCAGCTGGTATTATTAGATTTGGCAACACCACATGGTTCTCATCGGTTCATTCAAAACCATATGGTAAATAAGCTCCTCCCTCAACTGCAAACTTACGTAGTCCCGACTGTAAGCAATGCAGAGTTAATCCATATATAAAGCCCAAAGTACCCATGAACTTATGAGAAAACTACAAGTCACACCTACAAGGCGACCTATACTCGCCATTCGACCGCAAAGGGTAAAAAATGTGGCATTTTTAAAAAGTGTTTTTATTTATAAATTATTTAACTTTAGGTATGTGGAAAGCTCCCTTTAGAAAGGAATTACGGCAGCAATTCCCCAGCCTTCAGCAATTTTGCCAGCTTTTGGTCTTATTATAGGGCAATTTATGAAATAATGAATAGTTTTGTGCAAGGTTTCTCGCCATTTTAAGTATATGGTTTATGGGGGTGTGACTTGTAGTTTTCTCAAAAGTTCATGGGTACTTTGGGATTTATATGGATAACTCACAAACAATATTATACAAACAAACAATATTATAAAACTGTGTGACATATAGTTATAGTTTCATAGCCATTATTTATAATAACACAGATGTATTTATGACAATAAATATTATTTTAATTTAATTTAATTGTATTAATACAGACATTAAAAGTGTTATACAAACCTTCCCCTATTTCAAGATATTGCATTTAAATTTGTTCATCGGACTTAGTACTATTATTTGGACATCGGTAAATTGTAATTCCCTTATCTAGTGTTTGAGAGTAATATGTTGTTTTATTTAGATTGCAAGAAATAGAAAATCGATTCTGTCGGCTTTGGACGGAATGCCAACGGTGCCAAGGCAGCTTGCACGAAGAGGTTCTTTGTACAAGGTGAATATGTTGATATTTTGATTTGCCAAGTTTTATAGGTGTAGCCGAATTATTGGCTTATGCCAAGAGCTGAAGTGGTTGTTATATTCGCCTGGTTATCAGAAGGTGAAATGATGAAACGATTTGGTGGGAAATGTTAGTTTAATTCACAGTATGAAAATAACACATGCGAAAAGCTTTATTTATTTTAGTAGGTGAGTCGTGAAATAGAAATAGTCCTCACTTTACACTTTTGCTTCCTGTGACACTTGGCTAGATAACATCTAAAGTGAACACTGAGGACTTTTGTAAAAATGTAGATAATTATTGTTTAACTATTAGTACTTAGCCTTTATTGAACGTATGTATTATTCCTCAGCCGTGATTGTCCCATCTTCTACATGCGTAAGAAAGTCCAGATGGATCTATCTACACAAGACAAAGCTTTGCAGCGATTTGGCAACCCTACCTGGTGATCACCAATGGCCTTTCTTTGTTTGTATTTTAAAGTTGTTTTTATGATAAATTATAAGTTTTTAGTAAATAGTTAAATGTTTTTATTTATAATAGACTTTTACTTTCCTGTGTTTTTCCTTTTTCGGACGTTTTATTGTTGGCCACTGATTTAGGTTGATGAACTATTAAAGTATTAACTATTATTATTGATGAATTATTAAATGGTTTAAGAAATGTAAGAACATAAATGTTAGTTATTTTATGAACTGAAATTGCATTGAGACATACCATTCATTGCTCTGAACCTGAAGTCTAAAGATAAGAAGTAATTGTACCTGGTGTTATGGGACATGTTAGTCTAATGCTATGTAAGAGGTATACAGTTCACAAGTTTAACAGAAATCAGAAATCCTTTATTGTCCTTGAGAAAAACAATCTTGCAATAGACATGGTCACATATTAAACAGTTTAACCACCAGTTTTAAACAGAATCATCAACTGTTTTTAAAAGGTAAATGTTTAAAAAATTTTTAATATATATTTGAGAAAGAGCAATGTGCCTGGCCGAACCTGTAAAATATCTATTTAGTAGCTACTCTATTGGTCAAATAGAACTACAGTACAATGTGTATGTTAGTATCACTTTAAAAATACAATTCAAAATTTAAGTTTAATTGTTTTCCATTCAACATTTTTATCTCTGAATGCTGTCAAGAACAAACAGTCGATTCGCCAAAAATACTCGGTAAGAAGTGAAAGCGCAGCTGTCTCTGACAGTCTCATTGCTGTGGGTTTAATGAGGGGGTGGTTTGACAAGATAAATGAAGCGTCGTCTGCTGTCAGAGTCTCAGTCATTGTCATGCCTACCTCACTGTCCTGGCTACTGCTGCCGGCTGCTGTCTCCCTGGCTATGGCTCAGGACGGCTACAATCTGTATAAAGGTAGTTGAATTTTATACTTTAAACTACTTACAATAATTTTTTTCGTAAATTTTTTTCAACACTAGTTTTTTTTGTTTTTTCAGTACTGTTCTGTACAAAATGGTTGTAAGTACACAAAAAATATCCCCTCAACTTGATATCGGCCTGATTACAAAAAACCTATGAACTTAACAATTCGGTAAATAAAAAAAAGAGTTAATCAAAATTAATGTTCTTGCTTGAATACTGTTTGTCTAAAAACCCATTCATCTAATTATAAAAAGTGTCCAATACCATATTTTACAAAGTAAGTTTCTGTATATTAAAGTAGTATTATTATAACATCTTTTAGTTGATGGTAAATTTTTGCAAGTAACTTCTAATATATACAGGGTATCCCAAAAGTAAGTACAACAAACTCATAATTTTATGGGTAAAAATAAAACAAAAATCAAGAATACCATAAAAAACACCTCGTTAGCAAGATATCACAAATTTAGTTTTTTGTTTCGGTATTTGTATCTTTAAGGTTATTAAAAATATCTTTGACAATTGGTATACAAGTTAAATTGGTAATATGCTATTTGTATAAAATAATCATTAAAAATATAAAAAAAATATTTGTTGGCTTAAAAATGGCAGCCGTTAAAATTTTTATGACTTAAGCCTAAATTTAAAAAATGGCTAATTTCATGGAAAAATATTATCAAAATATATCAAGAGTACACTTTATCTAAAATGTTGTATCAAACAACACCAAGTAAAAAAAGTTCAAATAACAAATAGTTGAAATATCATAATTTTTAGTTGCAAGATAAGGCCAAGCTGGAGTGCACCTCATTTTACCTAGCACAGCATTCCACTATCCTTGACCATTGGTATAAAAATGGTTTGGGTTTGAAACAGCTGATTATATTCGGTAACAAAGTATGTTGTTCTCATTCATTACACACTTAGGCTGCATTCAAATTCAGCTGTAAATACGTAGAAAAAGTGGATGACTGTTAAAGTAATTCTACAAGATAAAAGAGTTTAAAATTTTCAGACATTCAACGAGGTAAAGTGGATGAACTGGAGCGGTTTATTACTGATGAAAACTACCAGATAGACCACACAGCATTGACATGTGAGTGCTTGACTTGATACACAAGAAACTGTGCTTTCAGTTAATTATTACATTGTTAAACCCAGCCTTGAACGTTACATTTGCTAACTGTTCTAGGATTATTGCAATATTATAACTAGTTTTCTAAGTTTTATTTATGTTTGTACGATGTTGTACATTGACAAAACACCAGTTGCTACTTTCAACCTATTTATATTCTAGTAAAAACATTAATACTAAACATTTAAGCCAAATGCTAAACTAGAACTAGTGGTATACTACCTAGCTTATAACACATTGGGTGCGGTAAAAATATCAGTGGGTACTTCCCCAGGGCCTGAAAATATTTTTAAAATCTTAGCTAGCAACGCACACGCAATAACTTCCGTCTACTCCTTAATGCCGTGCGAAAATGACTGATTCATTTTAGCTGGACTTAGCCGAGCACGGGTGACCGGGCCGGCCTGCGCGCAAGTTTCACGGCCGGTCCTCGGTGACCAGCCTGCACTCAACATGTTTTGTTTGTAATTATGACATTTATTAACAAGTTAAATCAATCTAATCTAATTTTATTTGTAATATTTGATGCAGGGCCTTCAGCTGGTGCCCGTCTTCAGAACCCAAACAGCGCAAAAAGGACGATGAACAAATTCAAAAGTTAGTATTTAGTATAAAATATTACGATTTATCTCCACATAAATTTTGTTGAATTTTAATAATATCTGTAGCCCTACTTTTATAACACTTGATTTTGGATTTCTCTCTTTGGATGTTTCATAAAAGTTTTAATTGTTTTAAATATTTTAATTCTATCAATTCCCTAAAATTATACTTAATGTAAATTTGTTGTAACATCCCACCTTTTTCTTAATTTTGGATTATGTTGGCATCCTTATTGTAACATTTAACCAGCTGTTTGACAAGCCAAGTGAAATTGCAATAACTTTTTTTCAAACAATTTTGTTACTGCTGAGAGTTTGTTCTATAATGGAAGGCCACAACCTCAAGAGCTAGCAGTTTTGTTTGGACTTATAAACTGTTTTTTGACTGTGTAGTTTTTGGATTAGCATTTTATTGGTGAGTGTTTCATGGCGAGAGTAATACATGTGATCGCCAGCCATAATTCATCTAATGTTTCACAATAACAGTGACAGTAAACACAATCCAACAGTCATAATATACACTTTTTCCAAAGATAGGCAAGAGCGTTCTTAAAATTATCAATACACATCAAAGTTATATGACAAATAAATATACAGGTATATTTATGTATATATATATGTATATATATACAAATGTATATCATGCCACGGCGTGGTGCTAAGAAAATGTTCTCACTAAATTGAGCCTGCCAGCTGTGCTGCCTTCTGCCCACACATGCGCATTAGCTTCTTATGCTACTGTGCATCTTAATGTTTGGGTTTTCACTTGTGCAACAGACTTTAATATGTTCTAAACAGTTTCTAGTGCAATTGGTAATTATTTATCATCACAAACCTAATATTATATTATTTCAGATTTTAAGCTACAAAAACCAGTTGGAGACGAAGACTCAGAGGAAGAGGAGTCCACTTTTGGTGGCTCTGAAGAAGGTATATATTACAGTATTAAAAATAATGAGTCAGCTATAAAAACTATTATTTGATGTAAAAACACTTCTTAGATTGTTGACATATAATTCTTACGATATTACATATGCAAAGCAGCAAACAAATGTGATAGTCAGACTATGTTTTTCGCTTACATTACTTTACTTCACAGTATTTATTTCAGTAATATACTCCTGATTAAAATGTCTTAAGGATGAGTTCAATGGTAAACATTTAATATTTCTCTTCCAAAATTCACTTAATCCAATGAGTTTATTTATGAAGTAATCATAATGATGAACCTTCTATTCAGAAAGAATGTCAACACCCTTTTTATTTTATGGAAATGCCTCCTTTGTATTAAATGCTTATTGTCAATTTCCCATATCGCAAGACTCAAGAGTCGAGAACTGCCAAGGTTAGCCTAGAATATCTAGGTTAAAGGAAATTTCAGATGGTTTCCATAAACTCATGTCCATATTCACCAAGACAAAGAGAAATCGAAGAATGTAGCTAAACCCGAAGTGGTAGCAATAAATTTAGATGTTCAGCTGTTCTGTTAGCAATGCTTAGCCAACTTGAAATTTTACTCAAAAGAGTTTACATAATCTGTCGGACGTTTTCATCTCAAGAAAACAGTCAGTAAAAAATGTGTGACTCTCATCAGGGGTAATTTCAACTATCTTGTTGCTTTTATGACACAAAAATACAGTGTGTCATCAAATGAAATGTTTCGACACAAATAATTACCATGAAAGGTTTCCAGGTGAAGACGACCAATCCAGCTCAAGAATATTGATTCCGAGAACTCATGGTGAGTTTAGTCATTATTTGCATTTTACAAGTCATATATTACATAACTTGTGTGTACAATATGATCTCCATGTTGATGGTCTGGTTACTTTGCTCTGATGTTGACTGAAGGTTTATTTAAATTTAGGGTGAATGTGTGTGCGGTTTGAGTTACGATTTCAGAGAGCAGGCAGTAATGCACAAGAAGCTGTTATACAGTAGAGTGTCGATTATCCTACCTGAACTGGCCACAGGAAGGTCGGATAAGCAAAAAGGTCGGATAACACAGATAATTATAAAAATGTTAACGCTGGCGCTGTGAGGATGAGTTGACGATTGCGTTGCGAGCGTTGGTCATGTTGACAATTGTGTCTTGATCGAGGGAGAGTTTAAAAAAAATTTGGTTGAGATAATAAAAATCGCAATGAAAATTTGGGAAAAAATTGTAATTTTTATTTGAGAAATGAGGTGACACCATGACATTGCAGAGGAGGTTAACTCGGATGGTCTGATAACTGTGACTACTGTATTTGATTTAAATACTTTTTAATCAGGAACCATTACATGAAATGAAGTAAACCGCAAAATGCACTCTATGCTCAGAAACATACCTTAAACTTCAAATTAATTCGTCTTTGGCTATTATTTAAAGATGAGGAAAATATTAAAATCTTGCTACTAAAAGAAGAAATAACTGCCATAAATTACTCTTAAGGCTAGAGAGTGTTTATTTCAAGCAATAAAACGTTCTATGTCAGGAGAAAATAATGTAGTAAATACAGAAAATGGCTAAATAAAACGTTTATGCAAGAAAAAAACGGTAAGATTATGTAAGATGTGTTTATTATGTAAAGTTAAAATATTATACATATTCTATATTATAAATTAAGATCTGGAATTGATGTTTGTAGTTTGCCACAAGTTTTTTTTTAGATTAAAAACTACAAAGATAAATGTTTGTAAAAATTGCAGGGATGCTAAGAGGAAACCCATTTGAGCAAAAAAGAGGCTTCTTGTGGAAGGGACAGATGGCTTCATCAGCAGATTCAGCAAAAGAAGTTCTTAACAGGTAAAAGACAGACACTATGTAAATCTACAACTAATGCGTAGGGTTTATTTTTACACATTTGCTGCTACGGACGTTCCGGAACGTCAGCGGTGCCACGGCGCCAGGAGCTAGGAACGTTCCAGAACGTCACCGTTTATTGTTGTTTAACGTTTCCATGGATCAGCCAGCTCGTCACGAGCGTCCTATATTTCTTTGCGTGGGGACGTACTTTTCTGACAATAAAAAATATAGTTTCCCAAAATCACCACCAGGGTCGTTTAGATCAGGGCTTTGTCCCACCTCTTTCCTGCTAGATAGCGACTCTACTTTACCGACTGCAGCCTGGGTAGTGCTGTTATCTATCAGAATCGCTTAGTACTAAGTCCAAAGCCAGTTTTATTGCAGAACACTGCTATCCAGTATAACTACGGTTGTTTTTACTATAATTCAGTGATCAGCGGCAATGTTACGCAGTGGCGAGCGCTAGTTCAGCTCCTGGCGCCGTCCCGGCATCTAGCGGTCAGCAGCGAATGTGTTAAAAGATTTTATTCACTATGAATGTCCTAACACAGTGATCATTTTAAACATTAGGTCAGTACCTAAATTTGTGTGTTAGTATTTCATATATATACCAGGCAATATTTCCTACAACAGAATTTCTCAGCTCATCCTACATGTAACATTTCAAACGTGTTTTGATCACATTTATGTATTTTTACTTACAGTTTGAAATGCAAAAATTACCAATACAGTATGCAGGTAAATTTCTTTGAAGGTATTACTTTTGAATATTTGACATAATAATCATTAACTCTAAAAATTGATCATATTTGTTACCAATTAAACAAATAATTGGTGTTTGCATATGTGATGATTTTATTACTTTTATTACTTTTACTATTTTATTACACTTGGTAAAATGGAATGTAATAACTTTATTTTTTCAGGGATATTTTTTTAGTGAGAGCAGGCAAGTACCTCTCAATCGCTGCAGCTAAACCATTCCTATTGTCATTAGAAAAATGCAAAATATTAAGAAGTGACTTCAGAGAATACTACCAATGTGGATAAAAAATAAATTGTTGCCAAAACTGTGCTTCTTCTTTTGAAAATGAGTGTAGATAAATATAAAAAAAAACATTTGCCAACACACTTTCTGGTCAATACAATAGAACCTCCCATATCTAACTTAGACATTATTGACTTCATCTTTCTGTTTCAAACCTACACCCGCGTTTCTACTTGCATTTGCTGGGCAAGTCTCTGAATAGAGAAACCTTTGTTACGACATTTTTTTAAATTCATTTTAGGGGTTTTACAACCAAATTTGACCATTCTCTCGCTTTAAATTTGTTTATCGATCATCTGGTTCTTGTTTTTTGGCCCCGCTTTTATTTTTTGTACGTTTCTTTCTTATCTTTGACTATAACATATCTTCGTTGCAGTCACACACTCAACAGATATGAGGGGTTCAACTAATAATGAATATCTTTCCTGAGGAAAAATAATAATTTATAATATATTAAAAAATTACATGTCAAATAGTTCTTAGGTATTTAAAAATAAACTATTTATTCATGTTTCTGACTAAGATAGTGTATACAAGAAAATGTATATTTATATTAATAACCTATATTATAGCTCAACAATTTCTGTATGAAAGAGTTTCTAACTTATTCTGTTTAATCACTTTAAATTAGTTTAATAGTTAGTACAAAGTAAATAAAATAAATGGAAATAAAACTCCAGGGGTACATGTTGTATGGTTAGATTTTACTAGTATCAGCCAACAATTCCAAGACCCCATACACTTGTTTTACAGTCCAAGGCTCTCTAAACTAAGCTATTTATTGAATGTAATAAATTTTAAATTACAGAATAAATTTACGGATTGTTGAATAATTCTGGTAATTCTTGATTTTCCATTACAATACCTAATTCGCTAAAGAGATGGTCAGGATCGTCAATGCCATTAAGAAAATTGTCAACCTCCTCATTTGTAAGAATGGAATCGTCTTCTAATTCAATCCACAAATCTATTTCCATTTCCTCTTCATTCATGGGCTCAGGTTCTGGTTCATTATTGTCGGTTCCAACTACTTCTGGCAAAACAATTTCATCCTTTGGAGGTTTTTGTTTTGGCTCTCTTTTTTTGTACTTTTTCCTAACAAGTTTTCGTTTTACGTACTTCCGTTTGGGTTTTAGAGGTAATTCGTTTTTGTCTACCTTTGGCTTTTTATTCTTTGTGTTACCACATTCTATCTTATTCGATGTATCTCCTGCTTCAGTGGATTCATCGGGCAACTCAGTTTTTGGTTGAGTAATATTAGAGATATCTAAATCATTTTCCACTTTTATATCTTCTACACGGACAGGCAAGGCACACATTAGGGAAGTATTAGGGGTATTTTGAACATTCACTCCTAAAGTACTTTCTTTATGTTTCCTTTTGGTGTATTTCCGTTTTACCCTTTGTACTTGTACAGAAGGAACTTCTTTGGACTTTACCTCTGGACCAATATCAATAACTAGTCCAGAATCACAACTATCTTCTACTTCAGTTTTAATAACAGTTTTTATCATTTGGACATTACTATCAGGTTTAACTTTTTTATCCTCAGGATTCTTTTTTCGTCTTTTTTTAAAACCAGTTGCCCTTGATCCACTAGGGTTAAAGATGTTGACCATACATGGACTTGGATTGTCAACTTGTGAAGGGTCCAACTGTGGATTTACCATCAAGCTTGATACATGCGGTGAAAACTTTCCTAGCACCTGCAATGAGAGTGTTAATATTAGATCATTTGACAGATTAATGATACTGTATTTAAGGGGAGATGCCCACTTTTTAGATTTAATGCATTTTATATGGGTAAACATCGTGTTGCTTAGGTACCATTTAAGAAAGAACCCTTTTAGCTATGCATATCAAATTTTAACTACTTATTTGTATTGACATTTAAGACAAACTGTACTAATTTAAATATGTTCTACCAAAAAAATCATATTTTATCAAAATTTTTAAAATATATAATTTTTTTCACTATTTTACAAATATTAATTAATTTTATTGTTAATGTTTTTTTAAACATAGAAGCAAACTTTTAGTACACTTTGTGGGCCATGATGTCCTAAGTAACAGAAAAAAATTTGAAGTCAGTGGTACTTATAGTAGTCTGGAAAATGGTACCTAAACATTATAAAACACAGTTTCGGAAAAACTCATTTAAAGTCAAGCCTAGGCCTACCCTATGCCACATTATTCCTCATCACAAACAGCACTATTATTATATACACATATGTTATGAAGAAAGAAAAACAAACAGAAAAAGATTTTTGTTGACTATTTAACCTAGCAACAACATTTATTCAGTGCAACCATTCAACAAAATTAAATTTCTAACATAAATTTCATTGACGCTAATTCAGCCCATTGTGACTAAAACCGAGTGTGTAGTACTATTTATATTATTTTTTATGATTGTTAGACTGTAGTAAATATATTAAAATTATATATTTTCTGAATCAGGAAAAGATGAAGAATTTTTCAATGCAATAAACAAAAAATTAATTTTTTGTCCGAAAAACTGGGCATCTCCCCTTAATTAAATGAAACAAAATGAACTATAGATGAATATTTTACTACAGAGGATTGAATTAAGGTAAAAATCAATTTCATTTGCTATGATTAGATCCCGTTACTTTACCTGTATGAACAATATAATCTCTAATAAGAATTATAATTGCATTACTATATGCCCAAAATTTTGGTGGGGCAAAAAAATGTGTACTTAATTTTCTGCAAATGTAAGCTTTTTTACCATAATTTTCTTTTGGTATGTTATTTAAACAAATTTATACCTTTCTATTCTTTCCTCTGTTTAGTACAATTTTTATCTGCTTATTGAGTAGCTGAGTGGTTGTAGTACTCTACTCACTTAACAATCAATTATGGTGCCGGATCGATCCTGAAAAAAGTTAGTAGCTTTTTGATGGTTTAAAAGTCTAAACTTAACCCAGCTGTCATCGGGCTTTAAATAAATTATTCTGCCTAATGAAACAGCTTATATAGTCAGTAACCAAGCTACACAGATCATTTCACGCCATCATACTCATCTTTGGGTAAAAATAAGCACCTATATCACGTCCCCATCTCAGAATTGATAATGATAACATCGATCTTACCAAGTTTCCTTATGGCTAGGGAGTTTTGGGAAAAGGTACGATAAGTTATGCATTTACAAAGGTAAATCTTATCTAATCCAAAAGAGAACCTTTCCCTCACCAACTGATGTTATATCTTATATTTTTTAATTGTTTGAAACTGTCCATCTCATTTTCGGTCATGTAGCTCTCAAATGGCAATGGCTAAATACACAGCTAGTCCTTGGCAGTAACAAAACTAAATGCTTCTAAATTTTTCTACATCAATCTTTTACTCACATTCAGTATAAAATGAGCCTCTTATCCCTATTCGAAAGTATGCAATTGAATGATAGCGACACTAGTTATTTGTGTAACTAGCGGGCGAAGTAGCACTTTGCTGCACACGATGGAAATAATTACGCACGAGCCGTAGGCGAGTGTGGAAAGTTTCTCGAGTGCAGCAAAGGCATTTTGCACTCGTGTTACACATTATATTTTTCCTACAGTTACTATAAAGCATATAAATAATAGTCTTTCAAACACTGTATAATTATAGAGATGAATAGAATATAACTGGACTCACTACTCTCTGGTTGAACATAAAAAAGTGCCATCAAGATGGCTGCTTGCTGTGTTTTGTTGGTCACACTGTCTCGGTTGGTTGGACTTGTCAAAAATAACCCCATCTGATTGGTTCGAATTTGTCAGCTATACAACCAACCGATCAAAGGCCAACATAACAACACAAATAACTGGAAAAAAAACAGCAAAACAGTGTACGCTTTTTAAACACAAAGTGGCGACTCCAGTTGTAATTATTGCTCAGTGTGTACAACACGTGTTTAGGTTAGGTTAAATCTAAACATTGAACAAAATGGGAAAACGCTGCACCAGCTGATCGTAGTTGTACTATCTTTAAGTGTTGCCAACTTATTTTCAAGCGTACACATATTACGTGCCTAATAAAAGCACACTGTTTTGTGTTGTTTTGGTTGGAATACTGGTGTGCAACAAAAGTAAGTAGATACAGCAATTATCAACTTCCTGTGCTATAATCAGTGTAAGGAAGCCCACCTTCAGGTGAACTTTTTGTCAGGTAACTGTAGGAAAAATAAACTGTATAAAGTGTACTTAACCACAGACAAGGAATTCACCTTACCTGAGAGATGAAAAACTTTTTCTGCACGGCCGGAAGCATCTCCCAGGCTGCGTCCGTGTCGACCTTGATCTGATTCTTGTTCACATCAGGGTTGAGCCAATGCATCAACGTTCGGTTCCTCTTGCTAAACAATGTCTTTGCTGCTCGAGTGACCTCATCTTGTATCATGTTGTCAGTCATTGTCGTGTAAATCTGAAATGGGGAAATTCAAACATTAAGGAATTATCATTTTGAAAATACTGTTTGAATATTTTTGGGTAGCCTACAAATGAAGATTTGAAACTTTACTCCGATGTATTTTATCATCTGGTTATTCCCTGATACACTGAGTAACCACGTGCATTTTGTAACTCAGCTTAAAATGAAGGTTTAATCCTATACATCAATTCTGTACCGAGTTGTTGTTGGTCATTACAATACTAATTAGTAATGCTTTCAACAGATCAACTTTAGACACTAACATTACCTACCTGTGATGGATAATTTCTGTTAACAAAATAAAAACATGTAATACGTGTAATAGCTTTAAATACTTGGATGCAAAAAACACTTCCTAATTTGAGAGGAAACTGGTATTAAGTTATTAAATAAAACCCCAAAGAAAACTAAATCTGTGTCATTATAGGAAGTATTTATCCTACAGAATCTACAAAGTGATATTAATATTGTATTCAAATGTTGATATTTTTACTATTTAAAACCAAACTAAATGTTTTGGCAAAAAATAATATTCAAGGGCTATTCAGAAAATATAAAACGTTTTAGGATTAAATTAAACGTTTGTGCAAGGAAAGAGTATCACTGCATCATTTTTTCATTGTGTTTTTTGTTATTTGTTTGTTTTCTACACTAATGACATTTGTTTAATGTTTTTGAAATGTAATGGCCCAAACCCTGGTCTTGTTACTATCTAACATCGACTTTTTTGTTAGATAACATCTAATTCATAGCTCGATGACAAATGGCATCTGGGTCAGGAAACACTCTATCTTGGAATCGAACCAGCGACCTTCAGATTTCCTTTTATATCACCTCTCGGCTACCCAGACAATTAACAATTGTGTCTATCCACACCATTGGTATTTTATCCAAGTTTTGAGAGAAAACTGTCCAAAACCTCATTTAAAAGAGCAACTAAAATACTATTCATCTGGCCAAACTAATTGAGGCCCTTAATAATTATTGCGCTTTGAAATCCCTTTTTCATAGAATCCCGCTGCCTGCGAGCTCGGCAATCTAGTTATAAGCTATTGGTGCTCCTAGTTGTCATTGAAGCGCCATTCTGCTTACCAAGTTTTCATTTTGTGACAAAATAAAGTCACTAGGAGCCAGGTACGGAACTGTAGAAAGGGTAGTTGAGTGAAAACCTTTTTGAATGAATGAACGGGATCTTGTTTGCTATTTGCTGTGTGATGTTGGACATTGCCATAAACAACTTTTTGGACATAAACTTTAGTTTAGCAATTTTGAAACTGATTGCATTTCAAGGCAGAACCTTCATTTATTGTATTCAGTTATTACATCACAACTAGCGGGATTGTCAACTGTAGCACACTTTTTAAACTTAAATTGCAAAAACGGGCGCAACAACATTTCCGCTCTGACGGCTAGACAGCTATTTAGGAGGTGAACACTAAAATTCTTTCTTAATAGGCATAGTATTTTCTTAACTAGGCTACCTGTTCATAGCCAGGATTTGCTGATAGTGAAAACAGATCATAGCTAGTGTTATTTAGAGCGTATTGTGACATTCTTCTTCTTGCTCCTCCCTCAATAGGCACTGGCGGTGAAAAGTCGCATTCCTGTGGTGGTAAAAACAAACCAACAACAGATTAGAATCATAGGTAAAACATACTCCCTAATATTTGACATCATGAGGATTATCTGGAAAGAATTCTAAGAGTGTTTCTGTCCAATATAATTTTGTTTTGATGTTTGTTTCATTGACTTAAAAAATATTTTGAGATTTTAACCAAGTAAAAGCTCTTCACAATCTATAAACCATCCCTTACCTGGTAATAAAACTGTATAGCCAAAAGAGTATAGAATTCATTGTACAATTAACTCTGAATTAAGAGAGAAATATTTAGAAGTCATCGTAAATACTAAAGAGTTATCAAACACCAAAATATGATCATGATTTTACAACGTAGGAAAAAAAGTATACTTGCAATATCCAAAGTTTACGTTATGACTATGATGCTCCAATGTGAATTAGTTACTGTATTCTAAATAACTTATTATTATCTTCTCCAAAATTCTTATTTTATTAAATTTAACCAATTTATCAAAGCTTTCTAACACCTAACCCCACAACCTCAATAGGACAACTGCCATACCTGATTTTGGATGTACGGTGGTAAAACGTTGTTGACAGGATACATCTGTTGGTAGGAAGTACAGGGAGGCAAGTACGGGGGTGGGAGATAGTTTGGGGTTTGATAAGCCCAACCAGGGTTCTCATAATTATTTGCCATACAGTCCGCTGCAACTGGTGCCACTGGAACAGGTTTTGACAATGGCTGCCAATAGTTGAGGGCAGGCTCTCCAAACTCTTCCTGGAATTAGTAAGGGAATTCTTAAGTATGGGTACTTTAAAAGATGTCGAACCACACTTTATATGTTTACACTTATATGTTTGGCTACTACTCGTAATCAACAAAAGAAACGGACATGACAAGGATAGGAAATAAAACGGACAAATTCTGGTGCTAGGGCTACTCTGTATGGGACACAGAAAGGAATCTGATAGAAACAGATTCTTTCTAATGCACGCAAAGGTAGCCAAAAAATTAGTACCTAAGCAAGCACATATTTCATCCAACAAGAAAGTTCCTAACTGTGTCTTTTTTTCTGACTTGATTTAACTTTAGATTGGCACTACTGGATATGTATGACAATATTTTGATGTTTTAATTACTTTGTCTAACCACTGTCTATTTTATTTTGCATAAAGAGGTGCAAGTGACGTCATATTTAACTTCATTAAAAACTGACAGTAACATATTTAATTTAAATGACTAAGTGAATTCTATGTAGATATAACAAATATATTATTGTTTCTTCACATTCACATAAGTCTCTGTTGTTTACACACACAAAATCAAAATAATCAAAACCAAACGAAACTTACTTCTGGAATATTTATTTCTGTCATATTAATTTTCAATAAACCCAACTAGTTGCACTATCTTGACGAGCTTCAATATTTTTCAATCACTTAAAACCAAATTTCAAAATTTTTAATTACTCCACTCAAGTGTTCTATTTTTGTTAGATGTGTCAAAAAGTCAACATTATATCAAAACAAGAACACATCAGCTGACTTCAGAATCTTTCATTTCAGAAGACATGTTTACAGTTAAAATTAATTTAATTTTAGAAGTCCTACTTTCTATTACAACTATAACAAATTCACAAATGAAAAAATGTTTGAATTTATTGTTGATGTTTTTACAGTAAGGCTGGCTTATGATTTTAATATGTTCATTTGAATTAAATTATTTTTATTACCTTGTTTATAAGTTCAGATTAACAACTCAAGTGCTGTAATAATTCTAACACAAAATGGCAAAATGGTTTTTGCTTATTTCAACACCCATTACAAGGCACAAAGCATACTTACAGATACACATATGACGAACAACCATGTTGTAATAGTATATTACGTTACTAGCCCGGTAAGTGGTGTTTTACCGTGCGAGCACGATAGTTGTCTTTAATCATTGGGCTTTTAAATATTGCAAAAGCTCTCAACATTCTAAATCTAATTTGTTTCCAACGACTGTGTGATTTTGTGCTCTTAACATATCAGAGCTTGCAATGGATGGGGAAAAATTAATTTTTAACTATTATTTAGAAGTTAAAATCGCATGTGAAAAAGACTAATTTACAGAATTTCAAAATGATTTTTTAAATACTTAAAGAAATAATTAAGAATTTTCAGTTCATCCAGTGCATAGTTAGGATCTTTGTGAATTTATTTTAACTCAGTTTATTTTATCGTCAGTTTATTTTAACTCGATAAACACTTTAACAATGCCACAAGGTTCTTTTTTGTAGGATCATGTTTGCACAGTAACCAGCTGGAACTGTTAGAACTGTTATTAAAAAAAAAGATATGGTTTTTAAATCTGAATGGAGGAAAGGAACACAGGGCGTGCTCCAGGGTTCAATTCTTGGTCCTATTCTGTTTTTAATCTATATAAACGATTTAGCACAAAATTTTGATTTCAAAATTGTTCTGTATGCAGATGATGCTACAGCCATTCTTAAATCAAACAACATTTTAGATTTACAGCAAAATATTCAGAATTCCCTCACAGATTTGCAAGTGTGGTTCAAGGCCAATGGTCTTAAATTAAATAGTAGCAAAACTAATGTAATCAATTTTAGCACTACACAAAGACAGGAACAAAATCTTAATCAAATAATATTAAATGATGATCACCTTCCTATTGTAAAGTCAACAAAGTTCTTGGGTCTCGAGGTTGATGAAAAACTAAACTGGAAAACATATATTGATATTTTGATCAAAAAATTAAATTCTCTTTGTTTTCAAATGTTTGTTCTGCAAAAAATTACTGACTTACAGACGAGATTGATTGTATATCATGCATTGTTCGCTTCATCAATGCAGTATGGTGTTGAACTTTGGGGAGGTAGTTCGGGTATGGGGTCTGTTTTTAAATTACAAAAAAAATATCTTAGAATCATGACAAATTCTAAACCTAGAACATCCTGTAAATCTATTTTTAGGGAACTCAAAATTTTAACACTACCATCTATGTACATTAGTAAATGTCTGTTTTATGTCAAATCTAATTTTAATATGTTGATGGAAGATCAACATATTCACAATTATCAGACTAGGAACAGAAATGATTTCCAGTTTCCTATTCATAGATTAAGTTCCTTCGAAAAGTTGCCTCAGTATTTTGGGAAAAAATTATATAATAAGCTACCAAACAGGATAAAGAATATTGATAATGATCTTAAGTTTAAGAAAGAAGTTCAGTCCCTGCTGCTAAACAAAGTATACTATTGTATAAATGATTTTTTATGTGACAGTTTGTAATATTATGTAAATATGTTAATGTATATAAAATTAAGGCATTCGATTAAGTTTTTTAAGTAAGCCGAAAAATTGTATCATGTATATATTTTGCTTTTAGTTTTTAAGATGTTGACATGTCACCTGTTTTACCAGCTGTGCTGGGGAGGAAAATGTATTGTGACGAATAAAGAATCTGAATCTGAATCTGAATCTGGCGGGTGGAACTCTCTTAGCTGACAGCTGATAAATACATTAGGCTAAAAAAGTGGTGGGAACCCAGAAAAACTTCCTCAAACCGCCAAAATTTTGTGAACGGAGTAGAAGATAGTCAGCAACACTCATCTTCTGGGTCGAAATACTCAATAGTAAAAAAAAAAATATGAAGTTCCAGTGTAAAAGTGAAATAAGTGATCACCTTTACATTAACTGATAAACTGAATGTATCACCATAATATGGTGCAATATTATTAATATTACTTTTCTGCAAAGTTAATTCATATTATACAGGGTGGGGCAATGAAAGCGCCCCAATTTATAAGCAGTACAAACTCAATAATATTCACCCTATGGATATAAATAGCACATCAAAACACAGCTTATCTTTTGCCATTTTAACTTAACAAAGTCATTTTTCCATTTTTGGAGAACGAATCCTGCAAGTGACGTCCATGTCCTACTTGACATTAGGCACTTGAAAACTCCATCAAATACTCCTCCAGCATTTCTTCAGGAATCACTTTAGTTTTTGGACAATTCTTAGCTTCGGTTCATGCAAATCTGTGGGGTGACTTTGAAAAACCTCGAACTTCAAGTAGCTTATTAGAAACCCCCCCCCCCTTCCAAAAAAAGGAGCCAACGTAAAGCTTTCAACAACAACAGCTTCCTGGCAAATCTCTTTGGACTTTGAGTTACTGCGACTCGCACTCTTTCAACATTTGCTGGTGTACAAAGAGTTTTGCGGCACCCACCGATTATTTTTAAGGCTTAAGCGTTTATCCTAAATAATTTTACCCAGTTTACCATTGTTTTCCGATCTGGAACAGTGCCATGTTGACTGAGGATGGAATGTGGTCCAAACAATCTCTGGGTTTTTGCACAAGAACCACTATTTTAAAAATAGGTTTGCACATCAAAATCTCAGTGTTAATAGCCTCGTTCATAATATTTACTAAAATGGCATAGTTTAATTGATGTTTTAAGCACAGCTGATCATTCGTTGTTGCAACAATTAAACATGTGACAGCTAAAACAAATTGTGGTGTTCTCATTGCCCCACCCTGTACTAACACAACTGCTCATTGCAGTAAACCTTGTTTATTGCTAGGATGTCCAGACCAGATGCCTTAACATGCCGATAATTGTGACAATGGATATTATAAATGCCATAATTAAAATTTCATATGTGAATCGGTCTGTTGCGGATTCATTTTAAAGCTTAAGGTCCAAGGACGTTGGGAAAAATACCAGAAGTGTCAAAAATTACCCCTGCTCACCCCCACAGGCCGTCAAAGATCCAGTCATTTTCTAATGGACATACTGATACTGTGTTTCTACTGTATAAGCTGTTTTAAATATACCAGCTGATGTAAACATTGCGTATTTGTGTGTTTATTGATTTTAGTGTTCTGTTTCTAGGTTAGAATGGTAATGCAGTGTTGAAATGTATCGTGTCAGTGGAAGACCGCGAATAAGGTTTAAAAAAAGAGTATTTAATTTCACTTTGGTATACATAGCTTAAGAGCAGCGCTGCTATGGTCGCCAAGTAATTTATAATTTGTTTCTAAATCACTAAGGTATGCAAGATTTTAAGCCACATGTTTTCTAATTCTGAAAAAATAATACATTAATTAACACATGCCATTTACAATAACAATCACTAATCGTCAACCAATGATTTACAATTTGTCTGAGGTAGATGATAGTAAAATACCAAAGGATCATGGGAATACTAAATCCAATGATGACTTTTTTTAATAACTACATTTAATAAATTACAAAACCTATTTATAAATTATTTTTACAATTTTTTCATCTTCTGAGGCAAGATTATGTCATGCTTGCGACCAAACTCAAATTGTCTTTGTCTTTGTATTCACTTAAACAGTTCTTATAAGCAAATGCTTCTCCACCAGTCCATATACAATTTCAGCCCTGTAACAATTCATTTAATTAATAATAGTACGGTTTAGTAGTTTGAAGATAGTCTTTAAGATACAAGTAGAAAATTTAAGGTACAAGCCTTGGCGAGTGGCTTTAAAACTTCTCTGAGTGTCTTTAAAGGCTAATTACGTGGCATACACTACTTTACCTACCATATGTACAACCGTTTTTAAATTACAAACAACCACTACTCTTATTTAACTTCTATATAAGAGAAGTTATGTTTTCGTTTATAGCATCTCATTGCCACTAATTGTGATGCAACTACGTATTATCCCAACCACTCACTCATTGTATATTCAATTAAAATGGTCTCAACAGCGAATAAGTTAACGTTCAAAGCATTACAATTTTACTTCTTTTCTTTAAATCCTTGAACCTCATTGGTCCAAACTTGTACTAGTAAGTAAACAATACTGTGGTTGAATCTTTTCAATTCTAAGAACTGAACTGAAAAGGCTAGTTAAAAAACGGTCGTTGGTAAACAAGTTTTCTACTATTGAAATGGGCTACAGGATAGCACTGTATCTATCTAACTTTAGGGTAGGAGGTATACAAATGTTTTGATCATGTAATTGGAGAATAAAGCAAGACTTTTCTTCCAAATCAAATAAATAAAAACTAATTAAGTTATTCAGAAATAAAATCCATCAGAGGTCAATTTGACTAATGTATCATAGTTTGAGACAGAACAGATAGTCATTACATACTACAATTTACTTTGTTCACTGATAGTTGACTCCTGAACCAACCTTTTTAATGTGTGTTTGATTTTCAGTTGCCGTTTGCCACATTTTGGTTGGGCCACATTTTATTTTAAGTAGTGTTGTGACTGTATGTTACCTGCCCACAGTGACCGTGTCCATGATGTTAAACATGTACGGGGGGAAGCAGTGTGGAAACACAGCCCTCGCGTGGTACAGCAGTCCCATACACACCATGAAGGCTATCTCTTTGTAATACCAACGTGGTAGGTCCCACCTCCTCCGTAACTCTTTACATAATATCTGTCAACAATCAACCATCTGTAAGTCTACAAAATATTAGTAGAGTGTTTAAACATTAGTTAAAGTGAGACCTAGGTCTTACTCTTGGTTTACTTTTTTCAAGTTCTCTAGAAGACAAAACCGTTGCTTGTATAGATTTTCCTGGTAATCAGCGGCAAAATCATGAATATCTCCTGCGGTATTGTAGACATTATTTCCGTCTTCCGCAATCGTGTCAATAGCAGTTTTCCGACCGCACAATCATTCATTTTAAGTATTTTTGTTGATGACATTAAAGTAATCCGGTATTTTCACTGATATGGCAGTATCACAGTCCTATATTATTCGGATTACCGAGAGTCTACTGTACTTTAGATCACCACACTTAGTATACTACAGTAACATGCAGTCAAAATAAAAAAAAAATTAAGAAGAAAAAACTTTAGACCTTTTAGTTGAGGATATTCACCTGGGAGAGGTTACTGAGCGCAAACAGTGCCAGAGATAGGTTAGGTTGGATCAGATAGCACAGGGATGCAACTACTCCAGCTGGCAGTGCGTGCCAGGCTTCATCTCTGCCCGTCGTCTGGACTAGAGCACAGCTTACCCCCTAGAATATAACGGATATTCAACTTCCCTACCTTAAAATAAAATCTCGGAAATTATAGTTCAGTATACATGTACTCCATGCTTAGTCAAATATAAAAAAATAAGTCTAACTAGAAATTATTATTGGTGTCACTCATTCATTGATCATTGAATTTTTAAGGTCCTGACTAAGAAACCAGCTGATCTTAGTAACAATCCTCTCATCTAATCCATTTTACACACTTATTTACTCTATTTGCCTCAAAAGATGCAACCCTGGTTTTTCGGTGCCGTAACAACCTAATCTAAAAAAAATTAGTATTGTTTTTAGAAATAGCACATTAAAGTACAGAAACAGTACATTTTTGTTATCAAGTTTTCCTTGTGTATCCCGTTTTGTAGGGTGATCAATCAAAAAATTTTAAAATTTTAAAAACGTAATTGTTACTGTACGCATCATCAATTAAACACTCTCAACTTACCTTAAACAAAGATACATAAAGTCCAGCGAAAAACGGAAGCCTCAAATTATCCAATTTAAAGAAAGCTTTGAAAAAAGAACTTGGTTTGTAAAATAACTTAAGAAAGTTCAATGTCAGGACTTTGAAGCATTGGAGAGCTGCACCATAACATACAAATGTCACAGCAGTCTGGAACAAACACCAATGATTCCGATTTAGATTGATTACCATAATACCAAAGCTCTAAAATCTGAAACATGGAATATTTAGCTATAATCGTTAACTATTGATAAACATAGACATCTGTATGTTAAAGATAACGCTAATTTTTAAACACAGAAAAATAATCAGAAATTGAGATATTTCTGAAGATATTCTGAGATATTTCAGAAGACTCATTCATATATTTTAGGCTATGAATCGTAAAAATAACCAGAAACTGCACCATTCTATGTAATGCACAGACAAAACATTAATTTGTATTTATATAGATTGACTCTTAAATCAAGTTCAAACTCTAAAACAAGGAGTATTAGCTAAGATTATATGTTTTCTTCACACATTTCCTTTCAACATTTTTGGTGTGGTGTCAATATTTTCTTTTGACTATTTGCGAGACAATACCTTTTTGATATCCTCTAAACATTCGCCAGAGTGTGGACATTGTTTTCTTCTCTCTGGGTTGTTAGGGAGCTTGTGAGGTGTGAACGGCCTGTAAAATAAAGTTGTCCCATTGGTTATTTGAGATTTTTAAATTATTTTACTATTGTTTTATTGCTAAGAGTTTGGATTACATTAAATGCTAGACCACAATGTAATTTTAAGTACATGGACCCAAGTTTCAGGGGTTTTTGAGGGAAAGCAGGCTTATCTGAATGAGTTGTATACATCCTAGCACAAAAAAACTTTCTTTGGTTTAGGTAAACTTTCCTGTGTTTTCAGTTTTCACTGACAGTGAAAGTGAAATATTGTGATAGCGTGAAGTGTTGGTGCATATGTCAGGATGGATTCTTTTCCACTGCTTTTCCAACCAAACTCCTTACAATTTTTAGCGAACTCTGGTATTCACTATTCCAAGTTTTTGTAAACACTTCAAAATTATGTGTCACTCCAAGGGAGTTTACGTTTAAAAATTTTCCCCCAGAATCCCGGATTTTTAGGGAACACTCAAAATTTTCAAAACCGTGAAATGAAAATTCTTGTTAATATTGCACGACCACCAAAAGGGTATCTCTATATATTTACTTAGAAAAGTATTACATGGGGAGGTCTTGAATTTTTATTCACCCTATACAGGATGTCTACCTACGGTTAATATCGGTTTTTTTTTTAAGGATGGAACGTCTACTTCACGTTAGTCAAAGTAGACATTTACAAGAACACTAATGTTGGAACCTACCATAGTACCGTGTATGAGTCTTTAAAAGCTCTCAGGCAGTACAGCAAGAGGGAACTGCACGTCGTAAACAAAAGAATCTCTTTGGTCAAAGTCATTTCAAGTACCTTCTCATCCTTAAACACCTTTAGGTAGAGATCAGAAACCTAGCAAACAACATAATACAACTTAAGTATTTGATTACCAACATCATGGCAAACTGGAAAATGAGATATTCCGTTACTTGGTTTCCATTAAAGGTACAACATGTACCTATGTTCTGGCAATAGCAATATTGAGGTATATTTCTGGTATATCTTAACCTGAAAAAAGTGTTGACACAAGCGTTATTGGAATACAATTAATACTCATTATTTTATTTTATTTTTTTTATGTCCCACCTTCAAATCATAGGAAGCTAGGCTCCAGCCCGGAACTGTTTTACACATCACTTCTGGCTACTCCTAGAGGGATACGTCATTATCATATAGATAAAATCCATTGGTCGCATAACTTTTAATTCCGTTTCAACCGTTGCTTATAAGTTGAGTATTATATATTTTAAACCACAGCAATTGATCTTACAGTTAAATGTCTAAATAATAAAGTGACACAAAAACCTTAGAGTTTGGAAGGAACGTTATGTGTTCCAATTGGAATAAACGCATCTCTGTAGAGTATTTTTTCCCTGTGATAACTTATGGACATTGATAAAATTAATTTACATCTAGAACAAGCGCTTAATCAACCAACAGTTTGCATTGGACAAGGGGATGTAGAATCACCACATCTTCTCTGCGTTCTCTCCCCGTGGCGAAGCACAGAACTACTAGTTTAAAATAATAAAATTTCAACTAGTTAGTTTGATGAATAATAGCAAGAACACAATTTTTATTCTCTCAGTATCCCAATTTGCAACCTGTAAGGGATGATATGGATTCAATATCGGTTGATTAACAGTTAAAATGGTATAATATTACCTGTTTCCGTCTGCGATCCTATATTTGTTGTATAGAGCAACCGGTTTCAAGGTTATAACCTCAGAACTAGTTCCACACACGACGCGGCACGGGCAAACGTTTTGTCATGACTACTCTGTCTACTCTGGTTAATCATGACAAAACGTTTGCCCGTGCCGCGTCGTGTGTGGAACTAGTTCCCGAATTTATGTTAATCGTCTTCGTCTGTCAATGTCTCGTGTTTATTTATTTCAATGTTAGTGTTTTTGTGTGTTTATAAAACTCGACGATCTCGCAAGAGTGACAACAAGAGCCTGAAGATGAGGTTATAACCTTGAAACCGGTTGCTCTATACAACAAATATAGGATCACAGACGGAAACAGGTAATATTATACCATTTTAATATTCAAGAAGTGATCCTGGACCAAATAACATCAATATGATTAACAGTGTGAGCACCTATTCAAAGTTGACAGTCAATACATCATCTTTCACATGTATGGTATAACATAGTAATAGTAAATCATTATTTAGGTGTAAACATGTCGAGTTTTTTTGGAAGTCATATTAGACTTGTCCGTACTCCGTAAAGTTTTATTGAACAATTTTTACTGAGGATGGTTACTATTTTCAGACAATACTACATTTGTCCTGGTCTTATTCGTACTTACCATGGCAATGAAAAGTGTCAGGTTAGTTTCTCTTCTTGAATTATCTTCAATAAATATTCCAGCTCCTCCTATGAAGCCTGGTATCAGTCCTAAAGTATACGGAGTGTATCTTCCTAGAATCCATCTGTAAACAACAGAATAATTAGAAAACAGCAGTCGGTCATTTCAATTATTTATTTATTTATTTGTTCACGGTATAACACCATTTTTACAGGGTTGACATTACAGGGTTGACATGCTGATATAGATACAATATTGAAAGATTGATTGATGAACGAAAAGTGATAAATTAATGAAGGTGAAATGTGAAATACAATTGCTTAGCCTAATTAAATTTTCTTCCCTTCTGCCTTTTCTCATGCTCTTTTACTTTTTTTTGTTATTTTGCAGGATTTATTGAAAGGCAGATAGGGACTACATCACATGAAAAGGATCTCGAACAAACATTAGATATATGAAAAAGGCTGATGAGAAACGTTTAGATGAAAAGAGACAATCAACTTGAAAAACATTTAAAGTCAATTTAATTCTGTCAAATTGTTTTATTTATAACTTATTTTTTTATCGTTGTGAATTGTTCACTCTTGTGCTTGCGTTCATTTTTACATACTTTTGTAATTAATTTATTAGGAAGTTTAATTTTAACCGTGATTATTACCTGAGAAAGCACATACATGCTACTGAAGTTCCTCCAGCAAATCCTCCAAATAGACAGGACTTGCAGAAGTTTACCAGTTGTTGTAGCAGCACATGCTTCTGGTAGCTCTGCTTCTTCGGCAGATTCTGAAGCTAAACACAACAGAAGATGTGTATGAGGAATAGTAAATGTCTCAAAGTCCTTACATCAACAAAGGCATCATGCATTTGATTCTCAAGTCAATGATCATGGAGTTGATCAAGTAATTTATCTTTTTGACCAAGTAATGTAAAGTAATTGATCAAAATCATTAATAATGTCATTGAAGGAATCTTTGGTAATGTCAAGGTCTGCATAATAGCTCCCTTCCCTTACTATAGGCGGATATCCGCTAGCATTTTGTGCATTACGGACGGTATATCTGCCTATCTTTTTTGGCTCCGCCTACGTTAGGGTCGTTAGGCGGATATATTTTGAATTTGTTTCAATCCTGAATATAATCTGGGGGAGCGAGCTGGCCTAGTGGTTAAGAGTGCGAGACACCGGTTCCTGATGTCCCGGGTTCAAATCCCAACAAATCACTAATGGATGTGATAATGATGCAACCCCTAGGTCTAGCCTGAAGTAATGTGAAAAACAATCCCGGGCTCGTGCTTAGCGTCCTTAGACAAAAAATCCTGAATATAATCTAGCTGGTCTAGTTTCCAAGCTTCAAAGGCATGCCCATCGTACTTTTCTTGAAAAACTAAACACTGTTGATATTTCAATATTTATACCAAATAAAATGTATCACTCCTCTCTAAATTTTTTCAACAACCCAAAACCTAACCTTGTAAAAATGTGACAAATACAAATGGAAAGATTATATTGCTGAATCACTCACCAAATAAATTAGCAAGAAGAATTTGGTGCTACCTTTTACGCTTTGTAAGAACGTTCCCAAAGCATTATAAGCACAACTGGAGGTCCAAGGATGTAGTACTTCACAGTTCAAGTCTCTTATCAGCTGGTACCTCTGTTTGCTCAGGATTGTCATCACTCTTGCAGGATCTCTCTGATAACAAGTTTATCACTACCTCACTCAACCCCCATCACTCCCGCATCACTCATTTGCATTCAATAACCCGCTTTGCATTCACTTTCTTTGAACTGCTCTACACGACTTTTACTGTCATAGTCGAAATTTGGTCAACACTGCATAGTTTGCCTAAAACAGTGAAACATTTTATTTGTTTGTTAGAACTTTTTTAAAGGAATCAAAACATTTTTAATAATTTGTATTTGATTTGTTAGTAGTATTTTTTGGAATGGATGTTGAAATAAACTTCAAATATTTTGTGGGTATTTTTTTATAATGCTTCGCTTTTGGGATCATTAACAATTAAACTAATTACTGCTAAACAACGAAACTAATATTTAAAATCAAAATAGACCCATTATTATAGCTTTTTGATTATTCAAAATGGTCCCAGTTATAACAATACCTGACCTAACAAATTAATAAAATGTTTATTTTATATTTTTCACCCTTAAACATGAAAATGCCTATATTTTCAGTACAGTTTTTTGAAGAGCTTAAAAGAAATTATGTGTACATTGAAGCGTTGTTGTAGGATAAAATGTTACGTTAATCAATTTCCAAAAAACTTTTCATTTAAATTAATATGTTGTACTCATGGACAAAAAGTGTAGTTTGCTTGTTTATTGGTGGGATATGATAAAATTCGGTAAATTTTATTTATCTTATATTTATACAATTTTACAAAAATAAACTTTTTTACTTCCCTCCAGCAGCAAACCTAGTTTGCCTTTTCGCATAATTTTATTTAAATAGGGAATATCTGACATATTAAAAAAAAAATATTTTACTATAAATTGTTTTAGAAATGGAATTGTCATAGGCTTCAGGTTTTTTAGAGAAATTTAATAGAAAGCAAAAACAAAAGTGGTAATTTAAACATCCAAGTTTTTTCAGTTTTACTTTAGATATTGTCATTCAGATCTTTCATTATATGGTGTTGGATGGCAGAAATGTTAAAAACTCTTACCATATTCGTCCTATAAAAAACTAAGAGTCTTAAACTGTTAACACAAAACATAGAGTGTAGTTTATCATGGAACTACTGTGCTAGTTTGGTTAAGCAAATAAAACATGAAAGCGGAGTATTTGTGATAACCATATGATTGTGATCATATGTGTAATAGGAAGGCACAATTTACCTGTTGTAGGCTATGTGAACTAGGTGTAAGCTAGTCTTTGGCGAGTATGTATAATAAATATAAATTTAGTTAAATTTAATTATGTAGGATATGGGTTTGGTTCAAAAGAATATTTGGTTTTCTTCTCCTCAAAACATATTTATTCAACTTCAAGGAACAAAATAAAATATGTTTTAATTTATTTTGTGTTTGAATACAACTAACTGCACCTCAAACAAGGGAATAAGTAAGTACTTACTCCCTTGTCCATAACTTTATAGGTAAAAAAGTTTCAAATAAATGTGTTACAGGCAAACAAAAGTTAGCCTATACTATTATAATAGCTCATGGATTTATCAAATTTCTCTCTTGACTTCAACAGAATACTCTGCCACTCTCATCCTGAATCAATCTGACCATGATTATGATACAAGATTTAGAAATGGTCTAAAACAACTGCTAGACATAAAAAAGCGACTTTCAACCGACAATACTCTTCTTTAAAAGCTTACAGTATCTCTTAATGTTATTACAGAAGGCTTATTATTCTGTAGGTACCGGTATTGGACTTTTGGAAAAGCCGTCACCTGTTTCTTTTTTTGTTTCAACGGTGTTTTACAATTATATTATTACTAAAATAGTCTCAAGCTGATCTACAAAAGTGATAAATCAGTAAATTTACGTATATGTAATCCATGATAATAAAATCAACTACAATACCGTTACGTTATTATTAATACAGTAATAAACTTCTCACCTCTATATTAATAAGTCATTTAAAATCACTTATTGCATCAATAATATTTTGTAAGGTATATTTACCCATGATGTGATGTAACGTATAACTTATATACTTCCAATGTTGAACTTTATGTTACACTACTACAACAATCAGGAAAATTTTATGTTTTTTGTAATTTCTAAACCAACTTTAATCACTCACGTAAGTTGAACAGTTCAGACTAAACATTATACACCAATTAATTAAATATTGATCAAACTTCTCTAATATTAAAAACCAAAGATAAAATAAACAGTTCAGTGTAGTGAGCCACACAAACTGCTAACCGACAGTTGAATACATATTTCACACTCAGTTAGAAACACCAGCTATTTGCTGATGTGACAATTATTGAACACCAACTCAGCTTGAGAATTGTTTTCACATTCAAGATTATCAAACTTTATTTAATCAAATATGAATTTTAAAATAAATTATAAAGTGGTAATTTACTTAGAAATATTTAAATGATTACATTTTGATCAAACATTTAAAGGGACACCAAATCAATTTGTGATCTAAAATTGTACTAAACACTTTAAAATTAAACAAATTTAGAAGTAAAAACAATCTACAGTATATTATTAATGTTTGCCAGAGATATGTTACATGATTAAACCAGAGCTAAACACAGTCTCACATGTTTTCCTTATGGAGAATCAATCAATTGTACATTTATTTGTATGTAGAACTTCAAAAATTTGGCAAATTTATTTGCTTCATAACAAGCTTTGAAAATGTAACAAAAATTAAAAAAAAAACATAGTAGCACCAAATCTGTACTATAACTGTGTCTATTTGTTATACTAAATGTGAAATGCAAATTAAAATTTACTATTATATACTGTTTTATTATAAAAAAAAAACTACAAATAATTAAATTTGCTCACAACCAAACTCCAATTTAATCTCCAATTTAATCTGGAATTTAATCTCCAGGTTTGCTGTGGCAAGGTGGTTTTGTTGAATGCTAATTTTAGTATTTTATACTATTTTTTAGTATAGTTCAAAGGTATAACATATTGATCATATCAATAAATTGTCTTTAACTTCATATTCTTGTAACATTGCCTTTTTTATAAAAATAATCTGAACTTTGCTTGGTTTCTTCGCAGTTTGCTTTTGCGGCTGGAGCAGGCTTCATGAAGGATGTCATGCAGCCTTTAGTGATGTCCTAATGAGGATCAAACTGCAGTTGTCCGTTGTTTAGTAAGAATTCCTTAACAGCTAATATACTAGTACACCTCTGAAAACTACTTGTTAGTTTTTGCATCTATTCTAACCCAAACAGTTTAGCTACTAGGACTCCTAGTTCCTCTCCCATCTGGATGATCACCATAAAGTAAGTTGTCATGGATGCTATCATCTGAAACATTTCATCATTATCAATAAAATAAATACTGCATAAAGTTGGGACAAAACTAACTGCAGTATTTTTTCCTACTGTTTTTAAACTTATAGAATCAAAAAGGTTCACTTACCACTTATTATTTACTTACCTTACCGTACTATCGTTGTGTTAACTTTTATTACTACTATTAACACGTTGGGTGCTGATGACGGGAATTCCCGCCATTGCTTAACATTGAAATAAATGCAATTTTCATGTTCAAACATGTCAACGGCACTTTAAGTGTTAAGTTATCATGCTGTTATTGAGAAGTTGAACCAGTATCCAGTATCTTCAAATCAGAGTTGATAACTGTGGATAATATATTGGTTGCCCTAAATATCCTCCTTAATGTCGCTAAATCTAGATTGCCATTGCCATTTTCAGAGGCACATAAAGCATTAATTTTCGACTTTAATCTATCAAATATCATAGTATGAAAAACTCAAAAAGAAAGTATAAGTTCAACTGCAAAGCACTTTTATAACATGCACGTTTAACTAAGTTTTCTTTGAGTAAAAAACTGGCTATGTTGATACTTATAGATGGGAGTTGTATCCCTACAGTCTGATTAGCTTACAGAGACAATGAGTTGTCTGTTGATGGGGAAGAAGCCACAAGCTGTGATGGAAAGAGGGTCTCTATGAAGCTGTTTGATGAACAAGATTATCTGCAAACAAATTAATAAAACAGAATCAATATTTGTACAAAGTCTTGGCCTTAGAATGGCCAATATGTTTTGTTGTGTTAAGTGACTGAGCTGGAAGGTCAACAGAGTTCAAAGTCAAGGTGTAGCACTTATTTATACCTGATCCGTCTCCTGTTTAATTTATGCTCTCGTAATAATCTTTTTATTTTACCACATAGGGAGTAATAATAGCTATAGCAATTAATGTAAGAGGCGTCCATTTTCCTAAATTCCAATTTGTGGTATAGATGTTTCTTTACTAAAGTCTTTTCACAAAATTTAGGTGGTTTAAGGGGAAAAGGTTTACTTGGTTACCCCACCACTTTTTTATTACTCTATATATCAGCTGATCAACTATCGGCTGTTATTTCAAAGTTAGGCATTAATAAGGCATTTATTCAGTCATTCAGCACATTACAAGCTAGCAACAGACATCGTCACATTTTATTTAAAAGAATTCCAACAGTCTAACAATAAGAAAATGTAAAATGTAAAAACACATCTGACATGTATAGGCCTACATAGAAAAAACATTTACAATACCGTGCATACACAACATTTAGTTAGGGTGAGATGGAGGGGATGAAATCTCTTTCCCTCAAACCACCTAAATTTTGTAAGCGGAGTATAGTTTCTTTTTAATGTAGATCATATTGGAACATTGTGAGAATTAAACTCATGTTAAAAATTGTCTGATGGTAGTATATAATGCCACAAGGCTGGCGAGTAGGTGTTCATGGTCCGAGCATGACTCTCACACAGGATTTCATGCGAATATCGTTAAGACTTTCTTGGTTAAGTAAGGCCGGCCACACAGAACCGGATGGTGCGGGGCGCGACATGGCATTTTGCCCCAGGGCGTCTCGTGCGACGGGAATTACACAGGTGCTTACAGGACCGGACGAGGCAGGGCACGTTGAAAAGACGCCCGCAGGCAAAATGTAAAGCTGTCCAAAATTATACCCCCAAGGCAAGCCGTTGCCGGGCAAAACTTTCTGCTCGTTCACAGTCTAGTTATTCCCTCAAGGGCTAATTTTGATTATTTTACAACTGATACAATTTTACATATATGTTGTAAGACTAGATTACTTACGTCAATAGCTCATTGAATTTCATTTCATGTTTCAGTACATGTTTCGACACATTGTCATCTTCAGCTGAGTACTAGTGAAGTTTTTATTCACCATATGGTTTCGTCAATGTGAATAAAAATGAATATGGTGAATAAAAACTTCACTAGTACTCAGCTGAAGATGACAATGTGTCGAAACATGTACTGAAACATGAAATGAAATTCAATGAGCTATTGACGTAAGTAATCTAGTCTTACAATAATATCTACAGCTCAGGGGCTTAACAATGAATTTACATATATGACTGTAAGATTTATTGAGATCATAATGACAAAAAACACTCATTTTATGCCTTTTTGAAAAGTTTTTTTGTGAGAGTGTTGGATAAGTTTACTGGACTCCAACTAATTTTCCTCCTCTCCAGCAGATTTTCCTTCTCTCCAGCTGATTTCCTCCTCTCCAGCTGATTTTCCTCCTTCAGCAGATTTTTCTTCTTCAGCTGATTTTACTCCTTCAGCGGATTTTCCTCCTCTCCAGCTGATTTCCTCCTCTCTAGCGGATTTTCCTCCTCTCCAGCTGATTTTCCTCCTTCAGCGGATTTTCCTCCTCTCCAGCTGATTTCCTCCTCTCTAGCGGATTTTCCTCCTCTCCAGCTGATTTTCCTCCTTCAGCGGATTTTCCTCCTCTCCAGCTGATTTCCTCCTCTCCAGCGGATTTCCTCCTCTCCAGCTGATTTTCCTCCTTCAGCGGATTTTCCTCCTCTCCAGCTGATTTTCCTCCTTCAGCAGATTTTTCTTCTTCAGCTGATTTTCCTCCTTCAGCGGATTTTCCTCCTCTCCAGCTGATTTCCTCCTCTCTAGCGGATTTTCCTCCTCTCCAGCTGATTTTCCTCCTTCAGCGGATTTTCCTCCTCTCCAGCTGATTTCCTCCTCTCTAGCGGATTTTCCTCCTCTCCAGCTGATTTTCCTCCTTCAGCGGATTTTCCTCCTCTCCAGCGGATTTTCCTCCTCTCCAGCGGATTTTCCTCCTCTCCAGCTGATTTTCCTCCTTCAGCGGATTTTCCTCCTCTCCAGCTGATTTCCTCCTCTCTAGCAGATTTCCTCCTCTCCAGCTGATGGTCCAAGCTCTTTGCCGCAGTGTGATGAAAGAGTTTATCAAACAATCAATATTATCAACTTATTCAAATTATTAAAATTTGGCATTTAAAATACAGTAACTAGCTTACCTGTTCCCCACACATTCTGGGGAGTCCAGCAAATCTCTCTCTCCTCAGCTCTTGTAAGATACCCGTCCTCTAGAGAAAGAATATGATATTTTAATGTACATTCTACTTTGTGTTGGCCATCTGTCATAAAAATGATTATGGTAATCAATTCTGGATCCATCATATTATTAAAGAACCCGAGTTCTTAAAAGTCAGTTTTGTTTGCTGTGCTCGTAGTTTCAGAATTGCCACAGTTTTTATCCAGAACATGGAAATATTTTTCGATACTGTGTGAGACATTATTAAATAAAGTTAATAGTCAAAAATCTTCCTTAGTTTTATATTTCAAGATCTTAAATATCAAAATAACTAAGATAATTAGTGGCTTGATCCATTACAACTAGTTACAGTGTTACCACTCACTGCAATTATAATGCTACTAGTGGAACACGCCAGGACGGGTACGGAGGCAACATTGACTACAAGGTACAGCACGGACTGAACATTCCCTGCGATCTGAGACTGAACCAGGATGATGCGGTAGAGAAACATCATGGACTCGAGAAACACAAAGAAGAGGTTGACAACGTAGAAGCGGCCGTAGCAGAGGCTGAGGAGATCAGCTAGGTCAGTCAGCTGGGCGTGTAGCAGACGACAGCGTTCCTGGACCACCACACGGGCGACAGGAGTGTCCTTCAACCTCTCCTTGTGGTAGACCTGGGGGTGACAGACAGTAGTCTGTGAAGGTAATGTTTTTATCGCAAGACGTTTCATACTTTTTTATTGAATATTTAGCTAATATAGGTTACATAGGTACTTGACAAATTTGTTTAAAAACTAGGAATAATTTGAGAGCTCATATAAGAGATAAACAGTGTACTGACAAGAAGAACAAGTTTAAGCTATAGTCATACGACTTGTTTGTAAGGCAAAAAAGTACTGTAAGGCTCAAATTCAGACAATGAGTCATATAGTAAATGATTGCCCTTTACTTGATTTACCATGGGTCAACTTGACAATGAAATAGCAGTGTTACTAGTCGCATTTAGTCTGGGTGCACGGCCGCGCTAGGACCCGGGGTGTAGGGGGGAGTGTTTATTGCTCATTTCCAAAAACATCTGGCCCACACAGCTCTGGGGTTGTTTAGCTGTCTTCATGGCTAGGCGTGGTGGAAGGGGGTGGGTGATATGTACACAGGACAGCTAGTAGAGAATATTTATAACATATTGTCTTAACAGTACAGTTTTTTAACAAATCAGCTTACCCAAGAAGTGGTGATGAGACGGTAGCGATAGCATATTTCACTGCAGAACACTACATTCACTATGGTGTTAACAAACCCCATTTCCCCTGCAAAGGTTTTCACCAAGAGATCGAACACTAGTCCTAAGAATGGTTTGTTTGTAGGGTAAAAGAAAGTGAAAGACACCACGTTGGTGCCTACAGTGTATATTAGATGGTACAGAAGGTGCCAAAGAATCCCACGTTTCCTAGGGTTGTATTGTACAAGGGTGATTTGATTTAGATCGTCAACTTTGCTGTCAAAGTCCTCCAGACCTTGAAGAAGTCTGATCTTGTGATGGTCTGTACTCAGTAGAGCAGCCAAGTAACACCTGAGAAATAATAGTTACTCAATATTTTTATTACCGTGTTACCAGTTAAGACATAAACTTTGTTTATAGATTTTTTCTTCAAAAGGAAATTCCTCATCCTACCATTGGTTCTTTGAGACCTCCGTCTTAATCAGCATTTGTCTCTATTGATTTATTAAAACTGTTCAAAAATGAAAAAAAGTATTAGGAGTATTAGGATGCGGTTATGAATTTCATAACCCTATGTAACTGAGAGTATAAATCACGCTATTATGTATAGAGTGGAACCATCATAAAATTTTTAAAAGGCACTATAAATTGCTATACTTTGTTATAGCAGACTTACCTGAATGGAAACGTTTCTATCTGTACATGAATCTCTAAAACTTTACAATATTAGGCAAAATAACTATTTTATTTTATCTGATCTGATAAATATCTAAAAATACTCAACTAAAGTAATTTTAGATTTCGAAAGAGAGATTTCTTGGCATAAAAAGAATAAAATTTTCTGTTTCTCAAGCCAGAATAATGGACCCACCAAGGTAGGCTCTCTATTGTAACAAAAAATACCAACTAAGATCAGCTGTTTCATTAGCCAGTATTATTTATTTAAAGCTCAGGAACAGGAACAGCTGGGTCCAGTTTCGAACCATCAAAGAGCAACTGACTTCTCAGGAACAAACCGGCAACCTTATGATTGTTAGCACTATAACCACTCGGCTACCCTGCCCCCAACCTACCATTTGCGCAAGTCGTAGAAGATGGTGACCGGAGGGCTCTGCCGCCTCAGTTTGAGGGTTGTATGCATCATGACTGAGAACCCCAGATGGAGCCCCAGACAGTATAGCAGCCACTTACAACTGTATCTCAACCCTCGAGCTGTGGAGGACGTGAGTCCCCCGATAGAACAGTACCCGAGCACCTAAGTGCAGAGAGTCAGGACAAAAGTATACCACACTGTTGTGGAAAATAGAAATTTGTTTAAAGTAGTTTGGTGAGTTTAAGATAGTTATAGGAATTATAGGGTGGTTACCTGATTCAGATAATCGATACATACATTATTTGGGGTTAAATGCAATTGAAATAATTATTTATGAGACAAACCATAGTGTACAATTACAACTTTTTTGTACAAACATTTTTACAAATGATTAGACGGCAGGTAAATTACAGCTAAGCAGAAGAAAAACTTAACGATTGCAAGGTTCAACACCCTTGAAATACATACAGTATAAGCAGCATTGAAAAAATTGGAAGAACGAATACCTAATTTATAAAACATAAATCTTTGGAAAGCAATGTAAACTCATTTAGCAAAAAATCAATAATAGTCTAAAACTAAAAATAAACAAGAGTACATAAATCTAAAAGCCAAAAGAATTTAGCAACAAAAATTGCTGAGCCAAATCAACAAAACTAAAGCGCAACAATAAGTAACAAACACAAGCAATGATAAACTTTTGATAAAGAAAATTCAACGTTAAGGTCTAAAGATACTGTCATTTGGAATGGAGTTTTAGGAGGAATGAGGGAAGGACTCCAAACAAGAATGAGAGTCACACACCACTAGACTACAGTCCCTAGTGGTTTAATTTACTTAAACAGCAATTTATTGTTAAGAGGACTGAACAAAATTTAAAAAGCGACGGGGGAAGGGTTCTTGTGTACATGCACATCCCACTTGCTACTGGAATTGAGGAATTGACAATATTTAATACATTAGAGTGACATACAATTAGTGACAGAGGCAGATTTAGGAGTTTTACTAAAGGAAAGAGGCATCCCAGATCATTTAATGTCGGAGTGCAGGAAATCTAGTTCTACGCTTTATTTTGTAGACGATTGTTTATAAAACACAAAACTAAGAGGATATTATTGTGTAGAGATTAGCCAACCTTGAACTTGGAGGTAATACAACTAAAACAAAGTAATAAAATTTGACAGCACCTTGGAGGGATGACAAATATAAATATAAAGATGTCACTGTTTGGGCGCATACAAAAATTGGGAATTAAGTAGCATCAATCTGTACTGGTACATCATAAAAAAATGAACAAACCTTACACAAGCAGAACAACGGCCTGAAGCAGAGGTAAGCTGATCTGTTTGTTGACAACATTTTGTATTGTTTGCACTTGCTAGTTGTCCTAGTACATAAATTATAATTCTTTACATTATAACCTATTGTGACTAAAAACTGAGGTTAAGAGTGTGTAACAATGTATTCGTTAAGCTTGCAGCAACCAGCCAATAATAAAATTTAGATACTAATCTTTGTTCGAAATCGGTTAATTTATTAACACCCTCTGTCCCTTTACAGTTTTATCAGATCTTTACCAAATATTTGAAGGTGATTTTGAAAACTTTTCACAGAAATTAATTCTCATTTCATAATACATACTCTCTGTATATAACAATGGAAAATACTCATAATTGGTTGTTTATTTTTTCAACCAACCAACAAGGGGAACCTTAACTAATCTATTTTCATTGAGAAATTGATTTTTGCTGATAGCAAATAAGATAAAACTAATCCAATTATCTGCTGACAGTTTCAGAAGCCAATGAAACATCTCAAACACTTCACATTTTCCCTAACCGTTTTTATAAGAAAGTTATCTTAGGAAGTTATCTTTTATCTTGATTTTTAACTTATCTTGAATTTATATTATTACAAAAATATGTTGGATTTTTGTATTCAGCAAATCGACTGCTAAATATTTATTTTTATAGGCATATTGGGTATCAATTTAAAGCTCTTATCCTTTTGCAGGTTTGGATGATGGGAGTCTGTTTATCTATGATGATATTCCGTGTAAACCCTACGTCCTATTATAGAATTTTAAAATTTCAGAGTTTGTGCTGAATTCTATTTTCAATCATCTGAACTACAGATGGCCAAGATACAATTTTGTATACATTCATACAAAAATGAGGTTATCCTTACAGTTGGTGATGTTTTAGTGAATTCATGTAAAATATTGTAATGTTATTTGTATAAAATAACCAAATTACATAATTTATTATTTGGCCATCATAATCACACCATGTAAGCAACTATGAATTATTCCTTCATTGTAAAAGGATGATTAATTTGCCTTGTGCATAGTACAAATCCTCACATAGTTAATCGCTGGGATCTACCGTGTGCTACTGTGTAATCAGTGAAATAACCTTGCGGACTCATTGTCTGTGAGGTGTTAAGTTCACAATCAGCTGGGCAGGTTTGGTTCCACTGATTGCTGGAGAAAACAGCTGACTCACGAAGGATGCTGAGTAGTTCTGTGCCAGATAAGCAGTGAGCATTTCCTTCTAGAGTTTTTGTCATGACAGTCTGTGTTAACTAACTCTTCAGTTCCTGCCTCCTCAGTGTAATTAGTTTTTATTGCAGGTCAATTGAATTTAGAGAGGACTAAGAACATGACGGTATGTAAACAAAAACAATATACCTAACTTAAAGGTTTTCGAGACAAGCAATGTTTCTAGCAAAATTTTTGTGGTATATAAAGCCAGTTTACTAAAATTGGAAAAGCTAAAGCTACCATTTTTGTCCATTTAATTATTAATTCTATAATTTGTAAACCTAAATAGTTTGGCCAATTTGTAAAAATAAACATGTATAAATAAGTTACTTATCAATTAAATAAATTTAAAGTATTTGCATTTGGAGGAACAACAACGGACGGTTTATTTAATAATCTTTAGAATCACATTATATCTAAGGAAAATTTAATATTAAAATACCGAGCAGACTGTGCTATTCAATGATGAATAGTCTGCTGCAAGATTCAATCAACAATGGTTTGAAATATAAAATTTCAATTAGCATTTTTTTTGTTATAAACTTTGATAGGCTTACTAGCCTATACTAGTTTGTTTACACTGAGAAGTGTGTCATGACCTCCCATTTCAGGGCCGCTATTCTCTTTGTCACGACATATCACCAGGAAAATCATAGTCAAATCCTTATAATGTTACTATAAGCAGTCAAAATTAGATATGTTTTAGTCATAGTTGTGCACATTTTGAACATCATCTTGTAATCAAGAATACTCAAACACAACAAGGTAATACAAGTTTGAATTTCCATTTTTAAATACAACTATACTATGTATAATGTATAACATTCAGTCAAAAGGTTGCTGGTTTGATCATAGAAGAAGTCATCTTTCAATCAATGTACAGAATGGAATTTGTATTTTAATGAATTACATTAAAATACAAATATGTAAAAAAAATTATAGTGACTTAATGTGACTTGATGTTTGAATATTGTTGTAGAATTTCTAAGACAAAGCTGCTGGTTTCTTGGTTAGTGCTAACACGTCTGTCCTGAGAGTTTCGTGTTTGAATCCTGCTAATCACTGGTAGCATGTCATGTAATAATACAATATGTAATAAGACAATATGCCATGTAATAATTCAATATGACATGTGTTAATACAATATGCTTTGTAATAATACAATATGCCATGTAATAATACAATATGTCATGTAATAATACAATATGTAATAAGACTATGCCATGTAATAATTCAATATGACATGTGATAATACAATATGCTATGTAATAATACAATATGCCATGTAATAATACAATATGTCATGTAATAATACAATATGCCATGTATAATAATACAAGATACCATGTAATAATACAATATGCCATGTAATAATACAATATGCCATGTAATAATACTATCAAATTGTCTGGTTGTTCAAATTAGATCCCATGGTCCAATCTAGAAAACAAAAATGGATGAATCTCTAAAGTAAGGAGACATTTTTCTGTGTTTGAGAACCACCCTCACTAAAAGCTTTAGATTTATAAAGATTTGTTATTCTGTTTTTTTTTTATATTTTAATTTTCTTATGTTACAGACAATGCGACTGACAGTGTTGCTACAGCTGTCACTGGTGATGTGTGGCGTCCAGCACAGCTTGGGTCAGCTGGTCAAGACGGGTCAATGTCCTTCGGTCAGCGTAAAACAAGACTTTGATGTTAACAGGGTAAGTGAGTAGCTCATTACCTTAGACAACGCAATACTTTGAAAATGGTGACAATTTACCAGACACAGTTTTCATGATCTTTTCAATGTTTCAAGCTTCAAAAGCTGCTAACAATAGATCTAGTTGTATCACAAAGAGCGCTTGGTGACACACCTGGATCTCCTCAAATGGAAAATTGTAATAAAAATTAATAATGTGTACGGTAGTTTTTAAAACTAAGAAAAAATAATCTTGTGTTGGCTGCTTGAACATAGAACCTTGATTGTTGCACTTTAATATAGTCCAGGCGCTAAACGGGTTGAGTATGCACTGAAAGTCTGACAAAATTTGACTTTTGATTATTGTTGGGGACATCTAGTAGATGAAAAAAATCGATGATGTCGCATTTCTAGGGTGGTCACAACTCGGGGGGGAGGGGGGGAAGTTGCGCGGGTCATCGGTTTACGTTTCCGCGTCTAACTCACAAATGGTTAATGATAGAAAGGTGAATTAAGCGTCTATCTACGCCTAAATAAATTGTCTTTTAAAAAGGTTATTACAACCTTTCTTCTATCTCTTATACTTTAGGCGCTAATCAACATTTATTGCAAAAAATAAAATTTAAAAATACTTAAAAATGAAATATCGGAAATATTGCGCTTGTTTAGGGCATGTTACAAACTATTTATGGTTAGAAAAACTAACAAGTAGTACAACAACACCAAGTTTAAAGAAATCCGTGCAAAAACAAGAGCTACGTTGATTTCAGTAAGAGTAAACGTGGAAAATTCGTAGTAGTACCGAGGCGCGCATGGACGGTACGTAGCCCACAGTCGATATAGGTTTGATGTTGTAAGTAACTATGGGAAAGCTGAATTTTTCTATGCTATTAGACCATGTTGAGATGAGCATTTTCCCAAAAGTCCCCACTCCTACCCCTTTGTGCCCCCCCCCTTTTAGATAAATTTACAGTCTCTTAGAAATTAAGCTATAACTTTAAAACGGGTAAGGATAATAACGCAATATTTTATTAATCATTTTGCGTTACGATATTCTACAACAAGTGTTTACCATGGTATCCTAAATATTCATAGTTAAAAAATATCATAAACATAAAAAAATATTTTTTGCGGATTAATTTATGAAACTTTTCTTTGTAGATTTTTTACACGAGGTCGCACAACAAAATGTTTGATACAAAATTTGGGGTGCATAGTTTACATTTGAAAATGATACATAGTTATTAACAGTTTGTTTGCATATAGTAGCTATAGATAGTACAGTATATTGATTTTACAGGATTCAGGCTTTTTTGTGCACCGCAACAATGAAAAAATTACGTATATTATGGTTTTTGTATTTGAATTTGCCGCTTTATATAGATTATATTAACGTTATGTAGCTCATTCAGTACATATACAGACTGTAGTGGATACATATGAATGAATATCGTGCATTTGCTGCTGTACGCCAGAGCCTCATTTTATTATACAGGGTGTCTCACCTAAAGTGAACCAATAGATAACCTTTTTATTATGAGATATAGAGTTAACTTCTTATGGGACACTACCCTTTATTTTAAGATGTTTTTTTTTAGTGGTTTCGAATTTTAAAAATATGTTCGCCATTTTCCAATATGGCTGACAACTTTGTTAGTCCTATGGAATACCCTGTATTTTATGATTGTTTTAGAATGTAAACGCACAACTTTTAAACCTTTTTATTCTTGACATTTTTCTCTAAAGCTACTTGTTTAGGAGTTACATCGAAAAAGAAATGGTTTGTGAGTACATCCTGCATCCTCACAGCTCATAAACGTAAGTTTAAGAGCGGAAATACAAAGAATAAACAAGTTTTCAAATCACATCTACATTAAAAAAAAAAAACCATAAAATAAATTGTTCCAATATTTAAGGGACATTTCCTTGTTCCAAAAATGCCAAAGTAAGCTAGCATTTTTGAAAATGGTGGCCATTTTTAAAACAACAAAATCAGTATTTTTTAACGTATTTTATATATTTTTTTGAACGAGGACTTATATGTGACTTATTTATTCTTTGCACTTTCTCTCTCAACTTACTCGTTTATGAGCTACAGGATGCCGAATGTACACCACAAGCCTTTCTTTTAGATATAACACGCTGTAACTCCTAAATGGGGTAGGTTTAGAGAAAAAATGTCACGAATAAGAAAATAGCTTTTAAATTGTAAAAGAATACTAAAATACAGCGTATTCCATAAGAAATAACAAAGTTGTTGGCCATATTGGAAAATTGTGGATATATATTTTTTATCCCTAAAAACATTTTTTTACAATTAAAAGGGGTCGTCTAGTAAAAAGTTAACTCTATATGGAAAATAAAATTTGTGTATGTTCACTATGTAATCTCAACCGGGATGAAACGTGTACCCTTTTATAGAAGAATCTCCAATTTAAAAAAAAATACGTCAATTTTGGTCTAACAAGTTATATTTAAATGAATATGAGTTTTTTTGAATTTTTAAATGGCAAAGATTGGCGGGCACTTGGAAATTTTCTTAAAGAGGCGTGGAGTAAAGGTTGGGAATTGATAATGGAGTATAATTATTAAATTTAAGAATTGAGATATCGATACAAAAATTGGAAAAATCTATGTAATTTAAAAAATTTATAAAATATTGTTTGTTAAGTATCTATCAAAGTAAATTATAAAAGTAACAGGTTTGTTTTATGAATTATTAACTGTTTGTAATAAAAATTCAGATTTTCAGTAGGCTACATTTAAATTTTATTATTCATTCAATTGTTATCTGATCTTTATTAGTATGTAGTGCTATTTGTGTATGTTCTGTAGTGGAAATCAGTTTATTTTATGAATAATTGTATGTGATTCATGGTATTGTTTTAAACTGTTTTAAAATATTTTAAAATCAGTGTGTCTAACACAAAACAGACGGTCTTTGACCATTGTTCTTTGCATTTAAATAAAAAACACTGTATTGATATTTTATTACAATAAACACATTTTCTTCTTCTTCTTCATCATCTATCTTCTTCATCATTTATTCATCTAATAATTCTTTTTGTAGATTATCGTAACGCAAAATGATTAATAAAATATTGCATTATTATCCTTACCCGTTTTAAAGTTATAGCTTAATTGCTAAGAGGCTGTAAATTTATCTAAAAAGGGGGGTTAGAGGAAAGCACAAGGGGGGAGGAGTGTTGACTTTCGGGAAAATGATAATCGCAACATGGTCTAACAGCATAGAAAAATTCAGCTTTCCCATAGTTACTTACAACATCAAACCTATATCGACTGTGGGCTACGTACCGTCCATGCGCGCCTCGGTACTACTACGAATTTTCCACGTTTACTCTTACTGAAATCAACGTAGCTCTGTTGTTTTTGCACGGATTTCTTTAAACTTGGTGTTGTTGTACTACTTGTTAGTTTTTCTAACCATAAATAGTTTGTAACATGCCCTAAACAAGCTCAATATTTCCGATATTTCATTTTTAAGTATTTTTAAATTTTATTTTTTGCAATAAATGTTGATTAGTGCCTAAAGTATAAGAGATAGAAGAAAGGTTGTAATAACCTTTTTAAAAGACAATATATTTAGGCGTAGATAGACGCTTAATTCACCTTTCTATCATTAACCGTTTGTGAGTTAGACACGGAAACGTAAACCGATGACCCGCGCAACTTCCCCCCCTCCCCCCCGAGTTGTGACCACCCTAGAAATGCGACATCATCGATTTTTTTCATCTACTAGATGTCCCCAACAATAATCAAAAGTCAAATTTTGTCAGACTTTCAGTGCATACTCAACCCGTTTAGCGCCTGGACTAATACATGGAGATTGTTTATTCTAGTGAAACCAATAGTTTCTTCATTCACCATCTTGTAATTTCCTGCAGATAACAGATTTTGAAGCAGGTTGAAAATAATAAATACACAATCCACAATCTCTATATATATATATATATATATATAATAGTAAGTTATATATATAAGTAGTATATATATATATAATAGTAAGTCCTGGTTACAGTACCTTAAGCTCAGCTGATGCCAACAGTTATTACATTACAGTATCTGGGTACTTGGTACCAATATGCCACCTTCGGCACTCGGCTGTTCCAAGGCGAAGGTCGCTGTGTCACGGCTCGCTACACGTTAAACACCACTACTGGCGGCATTGATGTCTTCAACTCCCAGATACCAAAAGAGTAAGAAACCAATCTAACATTTTTACAAGGAAAACGAATCACCTTCAGGAAATCAATGTCTGATTTTCTTGAGTCAAAAAGTTTCATAATGATTTAGCATGTTCGAATGTGCCTTTCCAAGCAAAGTTATGAAATGAAAGTATTTGACTTGGGATACTGCAAGTTTCTCATTACCAAATATGGTGGTTCAGCGGTCGTGTTTTTGGCTGAAAAGCCACTATCCAGACTGCTGATTGCTGGAGATCAGAGGGTCAGACTGCACCATAGCTTCACTGTGATCACCAAAGCTTGCCAATGCTACTTATATTACAGTAATTCACTGGCCAGTAAGTCTATGGTGATGGGCAGCTGTGTTTAAAAAGAATACTTTTCATCCTGTTGTAAAAACTGAGTATTTCAAGTAATCATCCGCTGCTATAGTGAAAACTAAAAGGTAAATAGATCTTCAATACAGACAACAGATTTGCTATTTGCAAATTGTAGCATATATGCTTAAGATGACCATGCCCGTCCATGTTCTTTAGTTCTCTTTAAGTAAAATACATCTAGCTTGTTGTACAAGATGTAGATATTACCTATTTATACGTGCTTAATTACGGTATCCAAAGTCAATGAAGTTAGACTTCCCCCAAATAGCTGAATCATTATCCACTGTTATGAGATAGAGAACAATCAGAGTACGGTCCACGAGAGTCTGCAGTTGAGGGAGGAGCCAATGAGGACCGTGCGTTGTTACCAAATCTAATAATACCAGCTGATTTGAAAGTATTGTTTATTAAATTTTAATTAGTGTCGAAAAGTAGTGAACGGGTGATGTTGCAACGTCACACTAGCCCAGTCATGGTATTGGCTGCCGCCAACTGCAGACTCGTGGCCCCTAGTGTAGTACCTAAATCAAAGAGTTGCCGCCGCGCAACTTCAAGAATCATGTTTATATTATAACTTTCCAATAATACCAGCTGATTTGAAAATATTGTTTTGTATATTTTAATTAGTGTCGAAAAGTAGAGAACGGGGTGATGTTGCAACGTCACACTAATCCAGTCTTGGTATTGGCTGTCGCCAACTGCAGACTGTCGTGGCCCCTAGTGTAGTACCTAAATCAAAGAGTTTCCGGTGCTCAACTTCAAGTAGCATGTTTAGGCCCCTACTTATAATTATAACTTGTAAGTACTATGGATAATATATAATGTAATATAAATGTTTCTTTTATCAGAGGAACCTTCCCATCAATGAGCAGTATCAAAGGTACAGCAGAGCTTGCAGATCCACATAATATAGAGGGCAAGTTAATTGTGACTTTCCCAGCTCCAGGTATGTTTAGGATGTTTTAAAAATGATCTTTATTATTATATGAAAAATGTTTTTAAACCCCCTATCCCTAACGTGAAGAAGATATATTTTATTAACAGGTTAAAACTTAAATCAGTAGACTTTATTATGAAAATAAATTATTCTAACTTAGTCATCCACATGCTGTTGTAAAATACTGTTTTGTTTCCTACTCCAACTATTCTTTCTTAGACAAAAAACTGAAAGTGCAACTTATTGTAAACAATTGTATCTTTTTTATCCCACCATCAACCAGCATAGAATGAAAAATATGAGATCGACAATATACCAGAAATGTCTACAGTAGCAAAAAATTAGAAAAAGTAAAAAACTGACTACAACTGCTCCATCTGCATTGGTTACTAAAGTAGTTACCAACACTAAGGTAGTTAACTAAAGTAGTACTTCAGTATCTGGTAATGTTACCAATGTGATAAAATTGGTTTTGATTTGTCGCACCATAGTGAGATACAGGTATAATGTTTCAGTTATCAGGTCTATAAGAGCTCCATATTGGGTGCTGGACACAGACTACGATTCCTTTGCGGTTGTGTATAGCTGTGTAGACGCCAGGTTAGCTCATGCTCGTGAGTATATGAAAAAAGTTAAAATATTACATTTCTTCCAAGGATAGGGTTCTGCAGGTTAAAAATTGTTTAAAACCCATTCAAAAACTCTAATATATAAAAAAATTTTGTCTTCAAATGTTGTACCAAAATCATCTCCAAACATAACAATGTGGTTTGAATAGTTTTCTCTCTTTTTTTGTCACTTCTTCTATCTATTTTAGCATTATATAAATGTTGTTGTCAGGAGTGTACACTATGGTTGCCTAGTTATAAGAAAACCATTATTCATAAAGTATATAATCCTTAATTGTATGCAAAATAAAACACTCAAGTCACATTGATCATCGGTACTATTCTTCACGCTCTGAGTGTAGCAACTTTTGTATTCATATTTTGTAATTTGAGTCAATGTTTAAAAAATCTAAAATCTAAAATCATTAGACAAGCTCTACGGTGACACCTACTTTATTGCTGGAAAAAATTACTACTATGTCAATGTTATCTAACAGACTGTTCATATTAGATAGTAACACAACACTGGGGTTTGGAACATTCCTTTATAAAAAAAGGAATAAAATGCTAAAGGCACTGAAACAAACAAAAAACAGATAAAGCCTCTTCCTAGGACTCTGAACCACTAAGTGATGGCATTATTAGTAGCCAAAAGATTGTGCAGTATTTGCTCCTGGGTACCCATGACAGAAGAACCGTACCTACATGATTCAACCAGCCAAGCCCTATGAGGAGGTATGCTCTTATCATAATATTCAAATTTCTTTTGTTTTTTTATCAATAAGGATATGTTTTCTGTAGTTTCAGGATGGATCCTGACTAGAGTGCAGGACGTGGATCACTCTCCCCAGGACAAGGCGAGGTTGGAGGCTAAGGTAGCCGAGGTACTGACCGAGGCCAACCTACCGAGGTCCTTGTTCGTGATTACAGACCAAGGAAACTGTGACCGGTAGTGACCAGCAGAAATACTTCACCAACTTATCTCACTGTGCTCATTTTTATTTTGTTGAATAAAAAGTATATTTTTACTGAATTATTTTCATTTGTCTTTGTTTACGATTTGTGATTTCATAATACTGCGCACTGTACTGTAGGATAATGTATCTTATTATTTAATTGGGTTGGAAAATTATTACTGGTATCTTTAAGTTAATTTCTAGATACAGTACCAGTAATAATTATAGAAGAAGCTCCCAGCATATTTTAAACACTATCGAGCTTAATTGTTGAAAATGTTTTATGTAATATTTTACCATGGTTGGAAAGAGGAATACCCACTAATTACTAGACTAAATTATTGGGTCCAATCTCAACACTACTTAAACCTTTTTTTCTAATTCCCATTTTATGTTTGATTCAAATAAGCTTACCCTCTTTGGAGTTGAATGAAAAATTATTGTTAAAATACTGATGTAAAATGCTATGAACCTAATCGGGTAGTTGGTTGGTGTATTGAATTTTGGTGCACTTTGGTGGAAAAGGGTATTTTTTAAATAATGACTAGCTGGCCCGACTGACGTCGTCCAGTCCTGAATGTGGTTTTATGTCAAATGCTCATTCATTTTCAAGATGGGCTCGTTCGCATCACTCAATCACGTCCTGGTGGAAGTTTGTTCGCTACGCTCATTCGCCTCCAGGTTGAAGTGAGTGAGCTAATGTAAAGGTATTTTTTTAAGAATTAAAAAAAATTGCTAAATAACTGTTGGATGGATTATTAATTTCCTTACATAAAACCATCCCCTGGCACTAAGGAACACAACAAAAAAGAATCGTCCAATTCAGTGCACTCGTTCTCAAGTTATGGAATACCATAAAAAAGGGATTAATTTTTATTTGTATAGATTTTTCAAAATTATTTTGAAGACATTGTGATTCTTTGAAAATATAATATCATAATCAACTGTTGATTTGAGTTGTAGTAAAAGTTTATGACGTATTAACCTGACTTCTGAATAAATCTATTTAAGTGAATAATTATGACCTCTGGATAAACTAAAACAACATTCAACCAAACACCTTTTTTTACACATACTATTTATTTACTTTCCTATCAACTTACATACAATAGCTAAAATTACAGGATATTTAGGAGTGCGTGGGTACAACATCATGTAAGTGTTCAGGTTGCCTTTGGTGGAGGCGTTACACAGGCGCGTCTGGTACAAGCGGCGACTGTACCGTCTGGATTGCACCTGCAGGTGTTACAATCCCTCATAAATGTCTTCCCAGGCTCGCAGGTGTTCTGAAATAAAACAAACACTCATGGTGTACTAACAAACAAGTTTCTGCCTAACCTATTTCATTGTAGTAAAAGTAGACATTGCAGTCCTATGTTAAAACCCTTTGCGGTCAAATGGCGAGTATAGGTCACCGCCCGCCATTTTCCCGACTGCTCTAATGGCAAACTACACTCGGCGAAAAATTGGGAAAAATTCTACCTCAAAGGGTTAAAGCTGTAGCTAGTTTTTTTTATTAAAAATAATGTTAAATTTTTGCCACTGAGTGAGTGTGCTAATGTCGATTATTGAATGTCCTATACCCCAACTTTTTAACCGAGTCAAATTGAAGAGATTTCTTCATTGTAAAATACAGTATTCTATCTTTTATGTTAAATGAACTATCATGGTAACTAAAACTAAGGGAGACAATACTTTTACTGAAATGGGGACCATACAGGGTAGGTGTAACAAGAAAACCATGCCGTCTTGCAGCCGTTCACTACCACTGATCCAGAAGGTTGTGACGCCATGGCCACGTGTAAGTGGCGCATGTGGTTAAAGGTAAACTTTTACACTGCACGGTTATTTGCCGAGGGAGACATGCAAACATGATCAGCCGTTGCTCTGTTCATTGTTTACAATCTAGCTCTTCAATTTGACACTGTTTATGTTTATTGTGACATTGTGTATGGTGTACATTAGTCTCACCATGGTCAGAAACCGTAAAACAGGGAAGAAACATAGACACACGGCAAAAACCGTATAGGTCCCTCGGTCCCTTCTAAACAAGTAGACAAAACTTAAATATTAGGAACACTTCTTTGGAGACAGCCATGATATTTTAAATAAAAAGTTCCAAAATGCCTATGTGTTAGGGCCTCCATCAAAGCATTTTTATATGCACGACTAAGGCCCTCCGCACATTGGAGCGAGGTGAGGAGCAGGTGAGGTGCAGGGTAGGTGCAGGCGAGAGCGAGGTCTTTTTCGTGTCACCGCACATTGAAGCGAGGCGGGACAGAGGTTTACTAGCTTTGGTCCTACTATCGCGAGTAGATGAAGATTCTTTGGACCTTTACTCATTCTGATTGTGAGTTTAATAATTTAGTTTGACTCTATTCGCTATCCGAAAAACGTAAAAAATGTTTTTGAAAACGTGATTACACGAAAAAAAAGATTAAGCCATGGAGAGTATGTTTTAACTACTGAACTGCCAGAGTGGTCTTTTAGAAAATATTTTTGAGTGAACAAACAACAGTTTGATGATATCCATAACTTGATTAAAAGTGGCATTAGTGGGAAGGAATGCAAAGCTCAATAACTTAAAACCATCTGAATAAATGCTCCATTTATATATATATTTCACTTACAAAACACTAGAAACCCAACACAGGCACGAGCGAGGTGCAGGAAAATGTATTCCAACTACAATGCCGCAGAGGCCTGACAGAGGCTGCAACTGTGGAGGCTGCGCGCAGCCTCTGCTCTATGTGCGGTGCTCCATTTAAGTGTATTACAGAATCAGCCGCGCCTCGCCTGCACCTAGCCTCGCTCCAATGTGCGGCGGGCCTAAATCATGTCTTTTAATATTAGCTACTGATAATTTTATTTCATAAATATTAACCAACCATGTAAACATACATAAATGATATTTAAACATTTTTTGTGGGCATTGTCAATCACAATTTAGTAAAAAAAAAACATAGTTTTAATTACCACAACAAAACTTTGTATAGTGGCTTGTATTTTTCTAAGATTTATGGAATATGTGAATAAACCTACATGAAACCTCTAGTGTTTATCGATAAACAGTTTTAACTAGAAAACCTCTCTTAGAAATGGAACATTAAAATTATTTAGGTTAAATAGGGAATGTTACGCTATATGACTACTTTAAAAAAGGCATGTATTGACATAATTAGCTATACTGTACCCTCAATTAATTAGTTAAGCCTTAATTAATTAATTAAATGTAAAAATTATCTTTAAGATTGGCTACTTCTTTACCTGTTTGACTACTTTCAAATCATCAGCATTGCCTGTAACAGTAAAATAAATTAAGATGTTTCTTATTATTTTACCTTAAGTAAGTGGTAAGTGTAGCTATTTAAAAAATAAAGTATAGTCAGATCTAAATAATATGTTATCAATATTACTTTTCAGTGGGTTTATTTTATTTTCTTATAATAGAAGAAAATAAAATAAACCCACTGATAAAGTAATATATTTGACTTTAGAAGAATAACAAAAACAAACCATAGACTAAGGGAGTATGTTTTATCTATGAACAAACTAAGGCGGTCTCTATTGATAACCTTCTAAAGCAATGACCCTTTTGGTATTTTAATTTAAATGTAAATAAAGCAGTTCAGCATTCTTTATAATTTATTTTGATTACATAATAATTACAAAAAACACAATTTTCTGCTATTTTCCTTAAAACTTGTTAAAATTTACTATACTAATAATAAACAAAAATGTGTCAAAGTGCAATAATGAAACAAACAAACTATTTGTTTTTGAAAGGTATGCAAAGGTAAATTATAGTTCCATAAGTCCAATGTTTAATTTTTAAATTCATAATTTAAACTGTTTGTATATGCATATACAATTCCTACACTGTCTTGTATCTGGATACAACTGTGGAGGAATTGTACAAACAGCATTTTCAAACATTGATTAAAAAAAACTTAATAATGAAAAAGTGCTCCAAAGAAAAGTTAAATTGCATATCTATAGATTATCTATATGCATCATCATCTATAGAGAAAGATAATGTTATAATGTCTTCAAACAAACCTACATACGGTGAATTACACGGAGGAATACAAAATTAATTAGTTACAAATACAAATAATATATAACAGAAAACAATTTGACAAGTGATACACAATTGAAAAGATTCAAATTATGAACTTCAAACCAAGTTCAGCATCTCTAAGAGGCAAGGTATTCTGATTGAATAATTCTTACCTTCATGTATACAGATTGCCAAGAAGCAAAGCATCACTAAGATACAAGTGGTCTTCATTGTTTCTGACAGTATAATGTCAGAATCAACTGGATCCAAACAAGGTTATCTCTAGGTCAAAAGAGAGTGAAACTGGTAACTGGTTTGCACTGTAGCTAAGATTAATAATTAGTTACCTTATCAATGTAAACTCTATTGGTAGTGTAATAAATTAGAATCAGTTTATACATTTTGAAGGTACTGAAAAATTATATAAAATAAATATTTTTTTGATTGGGTAAAGCAATCTGACACATACTATCTCCCATAAGCTTGTCAACACCTTTCATGGGTAAGCGGTGGGAGTCACTATGATAATTTTGTAGGAAAAATAAAAAAGTTGCAATAACCTTTGAACCGTAATTGTTACAGCAACAGGGGGTTGCACTATTTTGTTTATAATTATAAGGTCCATACCAAATTAGTTTTAATCAAAACAGGCTATTTTCCTAAAATCCAATTTTTTGGGGTTTTTATGGGAAAATAACATAAGTTGCAATAACTTTGGAACCATATTTTTTACAAAAATGGGGTTTGAACAATTTTGTTTAGAATTTAAAGGACAATAACATAATATATTTTTATCAAAATAGTTCTGACCATTTTCGAGAGAATCAGATTTTTCAGTTATTTTATGGGAAAATCCCGATTACAAAAAAATTGAAAAAATTTTGTTTAGAATTTAAAGGACAATAACATAATATATTTTTATCAAAATAGTTCTGACCATTTTCGAGAGAATCAGATATTTCAGTTATTTTATGGGAAAATCCCGATTACAAAAAAATTGAAAAAAAAACACGAGATAAATTTAGTGCCTACTTCCAAAACTTCCAAAATTTTAAATTCCCATCTTATTCTTATGGAGAATATTGTAAAATGTTTTAGTTTGCTTATTTATGGAATATTTTGATTTTATACTAAGCTACTAATATTTTACTAAAAAACACACTTATTAGCCTCCCTGTAGCAGCCAACCTAGGTACTCATTATACCTAATCTATATTAATTTGAAACTGTTTTTCTTTGTCATAGCTATTTTGAGAGAACGGCTGGGCGTAGAAACTTGGTAGGGGTCTCTAAAGAAAGGTCTTGGTCTGTAGATGAGCCATCAATAGAGGAAAGAGGTAAATTCACTTGGGGCTCTGCCCCAGAAGCCTTTAAAGTTGCCTCTTCAGATTTGTTTACATTACGACCATATGCATAATTCTACACTACTCTTTAATGCAACAGCTGTTAATATTTAAATTGTGATTTATTGAATTTGTCAAAATGAAGTACAGTATTTGCAATGGATTTTTCTGATTTTAAAATTGATTTTCTTCTGCATCGTGTCATGTTTTGCAATATAATGTTCTATTACCAAATCAGTGGAAATCCTAATATTACAGTAACTTTTAAAATTATTTCTTATGGAGTTAACTTATAGGTATCTATTGTATGGGTTAGTTTCTGCCTTTTTTTTACCACTTCTTGGAGATTGTACGTAGGTTATATTCTTTGGCATATTGCATCTGTAGACGAAACTTGGGTTGGTGTAATTATTACAATGGAAAAGAGCGAGAAATCCTGGACAATTTGATATATGCTAAAAATAAAACTGAATTAACACTGTGCTACATTTCTTGGGCAATCATTGAAATAACCGATTTGCAAACAATGGAAACATAGAAAAAGTCATAGAACACAACCAAGTAAAATAAATAGAAATAGGCTAATGTTTTTTTTTTTTTTTACACTAAAAACAATAAAAAAAAACAAGATCAGCTCTTTGAAAAAAGATAAGATATTTACAAAAGATTTTGATTATATCTAACTGGTTGTGTAGATCATGAGTATTTCCATAATCTTTGAGTCGCATGTAATGCTTCGCAATTGCTCGAATTCGAGCAACAGGTACAATAGTGTTATATAAATAGATTTAATTTAAAATCAATTCGAAAAATGGAAATTAGCTTAATCTGCAGGTTTGCTGTGGCAGGGTTATTGGGATTGATCCAACAACCTTCAGATTTGAAGGCGAGTGTTAACCTATACATATTAATTCCAAAATCAATTACAACTGGACTCATGGCCAGTCGATCGAGTCGATTCTGCCTGTAAAAAGTGCTTTCTACGAAATAACACATAACAGTGTGACTCTTTAGCATCGTAGTTGTTTTATATTACAAGCGTTAGAGCTTACATTATCTCCAATTGTAAATTGTTTTAACATATTCTGAAAAATGAATGCAATTTTAACGCTCAAAACTTGTGGTAGGCTTTATTTGATTTATTCGGAAGTCTCGTTGTTTTACGGCAGTAATATAATAGTAGTTTTCGTTACTAGATCCTAAAGTAGGGGTTTTTGGGAGGATATAGTGTTTAACTCGTTGAAGAATTTTAAAGGATCAGAACAGCTGATTTGTTTTTGAGATAAGCTTTGACATAACCATATGATTCGAGTCCGTAAAATTGCATGTCCACAAAACGCTATCTCTTTAGGGACTCAAAACGATCCGTAAGACAGCTGTTTTTGGGACAGTGTGATGAAAAATGTGTTTATTACCTCTCTTGCAATGCACATTCAAATGACCTTCAATATTTTTTTAGTTGTGAAAATGATAGTTCAGCGTTGGTGTTTAGCTATATCAGTTATACATGTGACACTTGACGGACGTTAATTGGCGGACTGACAGGTTTATAACAATGATAACTGGTGGCGACAGTTTAACAAGGGATAACTTAATTGTTGGGTTTGTAACAAGCATGGAGGAGGATCGGTAAACAAGTTTTACCTACAACCGTTTTTTAAAGTAGTCGTTTCAGTTCGGTTCTTAGAATTAAAAATTTCTCATAACAGCATTGTTTACTTTCATAACAGCATAGTTTTACTCATAACAACACGGTTAACTCACCATTGACGTTTGAAGATTGAGAGAGAAAAAGTAAAATTGTAATGTTTTGAACTTCAACTAATCAGCTGTCCAGGCCAATTTAATTGTTGAGTGGTGAAATTAGTGTTTAGTAGGCCTACAATGTTTCGTTGCATTGGTGGCAGTGAGAGGTTATAAACGTAAACATAACCTCTCTTAGAAGTTATTAGTAGAGTTTTTTAGTAAATAAAACACTGTCGTAGGTAAAGTAGTGTACGAAACTTGCGTAGGTGATTGTTGCGTAAACTACTATCTTTTGACTTATCCAATAGTCAATACTACTATAGTGTTCCAACGATTGTCTTTACTGGAGCATCATTGTATTCTGCATGGTACAGTACGAAGGACACGTAGCAATTCATACTAAGAAGACGTATGAACGATATATATAAAGGGTGTCCCAGTAAGAACGCCGGATTTCAAGAGCGTCTTATCCTTATATGTATTTCGATAGGAATTCCCAAATTATCAGCTATGTTATCAGTATTAGGTCCCATTTTTTGTCATGAATCGCTACACGACGGATCAACGCTTGATCATAGTTAAAGTGCACTACAAATACGGGAAACGGTTTGCTGAAACGGTGCGGAAGATGCGCGTTATTTTCGGCCGGGACAATGCACCAAATGAGTCATCTGTCCGAAGATTAACTTCTAAGTTCGAAAAGATTTGCTCAGTTTTTGGACATTAAAAGACCATTGCGCAGTCGGGCAGTTCGCTCCCTTGAAAATATTGAGATTGTACATGATAGTGTAGAAGACAACGCAAGAACATCGATTCGTCGGCGTAGTCAGCAGTTAGGCCTAACTCGGAGCACAGTACAAAGAATTTTGGTAAAAGACCTTCACATGTCCCCTTACAAAATTCAACTCGCACAAGAGATCAAGCCAAGAGATCCCGTAAAACGGCTTGATTTTGTAAACTGGGTGGTTGGCAATCAATAAGAAAATGACAAAAACTTTGCTGTTCAGCGATGAAGCACACATCGCTGCATAGCCATCTAAGCAAGATCGCGCGATTTAACACCGTGTGTGTGACTACTTTCTTTGGGGATATTTAAAGTCACTTGTTTTCGCCAATAATCCTCAAACAATCCAAGACCTGAAGGAGGAAATTGATCTTGTCATTCAACAGGAAGTGTGTGAAAAAGTGATGGAAAACTTTGTCAAGAGATGTCGGGCTTGTCAGCAGGCAGCAGGTGGACACTTACGAGACATAATATCCTACTAATCGGAGATACTATGCTTTAAGATTCATGTTTCATATTGTAAATTTAGCGTGAAAATATATGGTTCATTAACATTTCATATCCGGCGTTCTTATTGGGACACCCTTTATTAATTTAATATATTTTATAAGCCAAAGTTTCATACAAGAATTGACTAGGTGAGCAAAAAAGGGTTTAACCTCTGAAATTTATCAGAAAGCTTTTCCTGTTCGATCCTAACTAAGTAGCTGTTTTTGGTTTCGTGACATCACTTACCTGCCGTATCATCATAGAAAAAATAACTTTATTTTTTCTTGTCAATTAGTCTAATCGAATCAAAACGCGTCTTCACTAATTTTGGCATGTGCCGACGCATATCGTCTGTTTTGATCCAATCCATTTGAATGCATTGATTTAAAGTATAAAATAGTTGTATGTGTAGGTTATAATTTTAACTGGGTGGTGTTCACAGAGGTGTCCATAAAACTGAGCGTAGTTATCAGGGAATTTTTATTTCGTCATTCACTCTCACCATCAAGCTTCATTATTTTATTAAAACAATATTTTTATGGAGACAATTATTATTGGAGTGATTAAAATACTGTAGTTACATATTGTCATGAACATAAACAAAAGATTTATAGCGTTGCACCCTTTTGGCAAACCTTCTAACTTCATAAATGCTATTGAACATCATAGAACCAACTTGTTAAATTGAAACGGATGTTAGATTAATTTTAAATATGAATGTTGGTCCGTCTTGAGTACGGGAATCGAGTAGTCCATTTAAAACAGTATATAGTTATATCAATATTTCTATTCCTAATTCAAGCATAGTTTAAGCAGTTCAAAATGGACTGCGTCCATTCGCTGGTATACACGACATATTTCTGGTATACTTTGTTTTAGTAAATCTAGTCTCAGTTTGTGATCATCAGGACTTGTGTCTCACTGGTTTCTTGTGATATACTTGTGAGTAATTTGGGGTTCTGATCCTTCTCTTGCTGTATATTTGATAACAAACATGAGACATTAGTTCCATTAAGACCATAAACTGTTAGACTTTTAAATTTAAAAACAGTGTTTGGAGTTTTTTTTTAATTTGTTACATAATCCTAAATGCGTTTTACACTGTCTAAATTTCTTCTTTTTTAGCGACACTATAAATACAGATTGCAGAAGTAGATTGGTCAGGAAGAACGAAAATTACAATTGTACTCAGTTTTATTTCATATTTGTTACAATGTTTCCATTGAGCTCACCAAGAGCTAGGCACCGGGCAACATCATACCCATACCCGTCTCGTCCGCTACACCCATCGGCATATCACCAGGCATTTCTCCGTCAGCCACAGCGAATGCTTGTTGTGGCATGTTGGGATCAGCCTGAAAAACAAAACAGAGGGTTGAAGAATTGATACACTTTTATCCGTTCACGAGTACAACAAATTGTGCCTAGTTTGAGCACGAATTCAACATTTGCCAAACCGCTCTAATCACATACAAGTACAGAGCTCCAACCCCTTACTGGAGAACGTTTTCCCTCCATACTTGCTGTAGTGGATAGGTAACTTATCTCCTAAAATAGATCACTATGCACCTATAAATGCACGCACACTTAATCCTTTTTGTTTTCGTTATTAATATTTTCTTTATTGTCAGTATGTGTTAAGGGAGTTAGATATGCTGTATCTTGGTTTGAATATCAAAACTAAGGTGAAAAATATAATATTTTTTATTCGTGGAAAATTTATTAAATGTTGAAAACACTCTAAGTATGAGTTTTAATTTAAAAATAACAGGAGAAAATTGTTACGTATATTTCTCGGTAAACTAAACAGCTTTCAGCATTTCCATATTTCCTGTTAGTTTCCTCTAAACGTTGAAAATGTTTTACACCGAAACTATTTCTTTGGTTTAACTTTGCTATTTCAACAGGAATATACATTTAAGAAGTTAGAAGACTTGCTGTACCCGCGGGCTTTGCCTCGTTTAACTTCTTAATTTTCAAGATGAGCTCGTTCGCATGGCTCAATCACGTCCTGGTTAAAGTTCGTTCGCTACGCTCACTCACCTTTTGGTTGCAAATTAGCTGTTGTCATAAATGTAAAAAAATAATAGTGCTGCACCCTGTTGGTAATCCTTGTAACTTTAACGCTATTGAACATCATAGAACAGAACTAACTTGTTTAATTGAAACAGCTGTTAAGATTCATTAATTCCTTTTAAATATGAAACACTAGCAGTACCCGTCCTTCGAACGGGGTTGGCAAATAAGTATAAATGCCGTTTTACTCGATTTTTGCGTTTTCAATGTGAGGAGACACGGTTTGAGAAAAATTGCTTCCTCAAATTTACGGTATGCTATAGTAACACATCTACCATAGCCATAATGTTCTACCACTTCACCTACACAATAGAGAAAGATAGATTGTTAAAATTTGCAAAATATCACAAATTATTCATGAAATAATAAAACATAAACATAACTGTAAACAATCCTACTTTGACAGTTCTCATTGCGTATCACAGTTTTTTTTTGCTGAAAAAAAAATAGTGCTGCACCCTGTTTGTAAATCTTATAAAGTTTTAATGCGTTTGCATATCATAGAACCAACTCTTTTAGTTGAAACAGCTGGCTAAATTCTTTAATTCCCTTTAAATATGAATACTCATAAGGTTAACATGGGGAACTGCAGAGCCACTGGGGCGGAGCCCGAAAGGACTTTTGAGATAAGAATGTGAGCTATCATCATGCAAAATTTCAGCCCAATCCGACCAGTATTTTTCGCGTTTACTTGTCACAAACATACATACATCCACACATCCAAACTTTCTCATTTATAATATTACTAGCTATAACCCGCGGGCTTTGCCCCGTTTAACTTCTTAATTTTCAAGATTATCTCGTTCGCATGGCTCAATCACGTCCTGGTTGAAGTTTGTTCGCTACGCTCACTCACCTTTAGGTTGGAGCTTGTTCGCTACGCTCACTCACCTTTAGGTTGGAGCTCGTTCGCTGCGCTCACTTGCCTTCAGGTTAGCTCGTTCGCTACGCTAACTCGCCTCCAGGTTGAAGTTCGTTCGCTACGCTCACTCACCTTTTGGTTGCAAATTAGCTGTTGTCATAAATGTAAAAGAAATAATAGTGCTGCACCCTGTTGGTAATCCTTGTAACTTTAATGCTATTGAACATCATAGAACAGAACCAACTTGTTTAATTGAAACAGCTGTTAAGATTCAATAATTCCATTTCTCATAAGGTTAACATGGGAAACTCCAGAGCCACTGGGGCGGAGCCCGAAAGGATTTTTGAAATAAGAATATGCCTATATGTTAATCGGGAATGTGAGCTATCATCATGCCAAATTTCAGCCCAATCCGACCAGTATTTTTCGCGTTCACTTGTCACAAACATACATCCATACATCCATCCATACATCCAAACATTCTCATTTATAATATTAGTAGGATATAAGTAGGATCATAAGGTTAACATGGGAAACTCCAGAGCCACTGGGGCGGAGCCCGAAAGCCCGATCAGAATAAAAACTACTTAGTTGTCCTATTTAATGCCCAAAGAATCGGTGTACCGAATATCAGCCTCCTAGGTAAATGGGAAGTGGGAGAATTAGTGATGAGTGAGTGAGTGAGTCAGTCAGTGAGTCAGTGAGGGCTTTGCCTTTTATATATATAGATTATTTTTAATTCTATGTACTAGGCGCCATACCCGTGCTTCGCAACGGCAAGAGAACTATATCTTTAGGGAAAGGATTTTTAATTAAGAATATGCCTATATGTTAATTGGGAATGTGAGCTATCATCATGCAAAATTTCAGCCCAATTTGACTAGTAGTTAATGCGTGGTTGAATTTCAAACAAACAAACAATCACACAAACCTTCACGTGTATAATATTAGTACGATTATAGTAGTATGGTGATACATTTTAGAGTATAAAAACAGACTCACCTGTCTTACCACTCTAGAAGTAATGTTTTCTGAAAAAGTAAACAAAATTAAATTAGTAGTATATGAAATAACTACTGTAGTACTACTTGAAAATGCATTGCTAATCAATGAGAAAAAGGGGAGAGTCCAAAATATTTTAAAGTTTTAAGGGCATGTAAAGTATGAAGAATATGGTTTTTAGTCATGCTTTTTACGTGGGGATGGTCCTGTAAAAGATATTAATGATGTAAAATACCACATGGGAATAGGAGTAAAATTTAAGCTTAACAAGGAAAGAAGGGGGAGGCAAAGACCTTATCTAACATATTATACGTTTTCATACTCAGAATGAAAAAGTATGTCTTAAATAAGGTAGAAGAAGTATGTCAATTGGATGGTACGACTCAATGTATTTGACTACACAAAGTTTAGATGTGATAGTATATGTCACTACTAGTCACGAAGTGGGACTTTCGTGACGAGTATTGAACGATACTTTTTATCACGATGAAAAAAAACTGCTTCATCAAACTTAAAAAAATATCTGATATTTCGTAACCTATTCATTTTTCTAATCTAAACACAATACGGCTAAAGAATTCATTTTAGTGTAAAATTCAGCTGGTTGTAATTTTGTTGATGTCAGGCAAAGTATTGTTTGTGTAGCGAAAGTAATGATTATGACAGGAAAAGTCAGCTGATCACTATTTGTTTTTGTTGTATGGTAATTGACGATTTTTGAAGATCCCAGCTGTATGGAATTTGGCTATTTTCGAATACTGAGTGATGAACAAAAATTTTTGTAATGGCTGATATATTTATTGGAATGGATTTATTTCAACGTAAACCATTGAATAAAAGATCGCCAGACAGGATTAACACAAAACAGTTTTTTAAACAGTATCAAACTATTTGTTTAGTAAAAATGCTGGTGTTCCTCAACTTATATTGTAATAAACGCTTTACCAGGTATAACCTTTGACTATTACAATAGTCAATGGTATAACATATTTCCAACAAACGCAGAACACGTACTGAAGCCAAGCTGTAACAAATTGAATCATCGTCGTGGTTTTATTTGAGATCTTTACAGACACATTTTGAATGTTTAAAACCTATTTAATTTCTTTTAGGCTTTTAAGTGAAACTATAAGGCCTAAAGGTGTAGCTCGACCCGCCAGGACATCATCACAATGTAAAAGTCACTGATTATTGGTTAAGGTTTGAATCCAAGCATTAACAGAACTTCCTCGCTCTTAGACTAACAGAATCCCTTAATATATCTACTTTAAACACAAATCACAAATAAGACTGACCACATTTCACATTACTGAAAACAAGAAAGCTCACCCTTGAACGGCTGAATCGATTAGAGTGTGTTTAAATATTAAAGTGTTTTAAATGATTATGTTTGTCTGACAGGTCAAGCTAATTACGTATTTACTTGTATATTGTCTTGTTAAAACCAGACTTGAAACACATTTCTTCTCCAAACATTATAAACGGTATCAGCAATCTGCCACATACTGATTAGCTTGTCAACAACCTTTATCACGAGTAAGTGATGGGAGAAACTATATTTTATGGGGGAAGTAACAAAAGTTGCAAAAGCTTTTTTATACAGAATTTTTCACAGAAATGGTGTTTGTAATATTTTATTTGGGAAAAACGTATAAACTTTAATCAAAATTGATGAAGCAGTTTTTCGAAAAGCCTTTCTGTTATTCAATGGGGTTTTATTGGAAAGTCACAAAAGTTGTAGTATCTATTGTACCGCAGTTTTAACAGTAATGGGGCTGTGCCATTAAGAGTTAAAAGAACTATAAAATACTAAAACTTTAATCAAAATCCGAACCATTTTTGCCAACATTTTATTTCTCCAATATTGTATAGGGTTTTTGGAAACATTATCATTTGGAATAAAAATTTAAATACGAAAAACGCATGGAATAGTAAAGCAGCAAGTACTGTTTGTTAACTCGATACTTACGTGCATTGGCCACTAGGACCACACAGAAGATGGACAGGGCGACGAGGACAGCTGTGTTCTTCATGGTGCTGAAGTGCGAAGTGTCGTCGAAGTGTTCCGAGACCTTTTATAACACTGACCGTGAATGATAACCAATATCACCTCCACATGTCCTGCATACTTCCTACATGTTCTGTACACCTATCGCGAGATAAACCTCCAAGATAACACTGGGGAAACTTCCCTCATTTACAAGCGTAATAGTAGATGGTTACATAACCTTTAATTGTTATCTTAATTGTATTGGGAACTTAAAAAGTTAAAGTTATATGTAGGAAAACCTGTCTCGTAAGTTTTAAAGTGGGTTTATCATTTTGTAGATTATTAGTGACTGTTTTCGTTATTGTATTTGTAATACAAAAGTTTCACGTTTTGAGATCGCTATCGTGTCATCTTAAGGTTAGAAGGAACTTGGAAAATATCAAAATTGGCCACATACCGGACAATGAACGAAACACAATAGTTTAAAACAAAGAGGACGAATATAAAAAGATCGAGATTGAATGAAAAATAACCGAATTAAGATGATTTTTAGTTGTAAAATTAGGTGCAAAGACTTTATTCTACCTAATTCTACAACATAATATTGTAATATCTTGGTTATATTTTACTACATATATTATCTTGGAATCGTTTGATAGGTTTAAAAGCTAAATAAATAGTTAGTTGCGACATCTTTTCATAATATTTTGATAGTTTTATAATGTTAAAATGGCCTTCATTTAAAGATCCCTAATTGGACTAAGTTAATTTTATCCCTACTTAGTTCTCTTCTATTTTACTCAGAAGTGTTAGTCAGAAGTAACATAATTAAATTTAACAATTTTAATTAAAAACAACAAATTAGATTTTGTTGACTATTTTTTACACTAAGCTTATCATATTACCTATCAAATATATTAAAATCATTACAATAAAAAAATCATGCATTGATGGGTTAACATTCCAAGTTTCACAATGATCGGTTGAAAAACACAGAGATAAAAATGTTTATGTAAAAAATACAAAATGGCAGATATATGGTTAACGAATTGATTTTGGAAAACGTTTTATTCTTGATTTTCTCTTCGTTTTGACCCATATGATTATTTCCCGGAGTTAGGCCTGGTTGAAACTGGAAATCCTATATTTTAAACAATTATGTGAGAAAGGACAGTATAACTCATAATTAGACAAATCAACGCTGTCCTTTCAACACGATCATAAGTACTAATATTGTCAGTTATAAGCTACTTTCTACTTGAAGATGGGATCAGATTTCAGATTCTTATTATACAGGGTGTCCCGGAACTCTCTACCAATATTTTAGGGCATTGTTCCTGGGTAAGAAACATACCTAAATATCATATTTAAATTGTCCGGAAGTCCTTAGTTACTCACACAGCCGCCATTTTTTTTTGTTTAGTTATTATTTTTTTTCTAAAATGGTTAAATTTAAGAAATTGAAACTTTGCACAAACATGTATGACAACTAGACAAAGCTACCAAAAAATTATGACGATTTTTCCAATTCACAAAACAAAATGGCGGCCATTTAAAATTTTGTTTCTTAAATAACTCAAAAACCATTGATTTTACATAAATTTTTAATGGCCGCCATTTTGTTTTATGAATTGGAAAAATCGTCATAATTTTTTGGTAGCTTTGTCTAGTTGTCATAAATGTTTGTGCAAAGTTTCAATTTCGTAAGCTTAACCATTCTTTAGAAAAAAATTAATAACTGAAAAAAACAAAATGGCGGCTGTGTGAGTAACTAAGGACTTCCGGACAATTTAAATATGATATTTAGGTATGTTTCTTACCCAGGAACAATGTCCTAAAATATTGGTAGAGAGTTCCGGGACACCCTGTAGATTGAAAATTTCATAAATATTTAGAAGTCTTTGTATGAATTTTAAAATTTCGCAATGTGTCGTAATGAGAAGTATGTTGATTGATGCCTTTTAGAACACTATTGCAGCAAACCGTCATATTAAAAAAACCGTTACTCATTCGTGTAAAATTTACCGTCGTATAATTGAAAATTATATGTGAATACTGAATGATTACTGATTTTTTTTATTCTCCAATAGAACATAAAACCACACTATCGTATTCTATATTATTTATCTCTTGGTTTTCCCATTTTACCAACTCCACGATTCTGCGCAATGTACAGACAAACTGTAGATTCCAACGCCAGATGACAGAATAATAATTGCAGAGCTATGCAACATAGCAACACAGCAGACAGAATTGCAGCACACTATGTATGTATGTGTGGTATGTTGTTGGTAACGTAGCATTGCAGTTGAGCATAGGTAGCAAACAAGTTAAAACACTGATCTGGATAAGTGAGGAGCTATTTTACTGACTTCTATCGAATAGTAAGTTGACTTATCATACTATTGTAAATTTTGAAACATTTTTATGTGTGTTTAATTTTGGTGATCATTGATGTTGACTAAACGTTCCTATGTTGTTTTAGAGTAGATTTTAAAATTTGGGCTGTACTTTTTATGGCCTAATACCCTATGGCTGTTTACCATTTTCTAGAGAAATCCTCGGCAGGAGAAATATAGCTGAAATCGAGAAAACCAAGTAATAAAAAAAAATTAGGGTTAGGTGCAGCCCCAGCCTTGTCATTAAGTACATCATTGTACAATTGCATAATTTGTAAAGGGTTAGTTGCAGCCCCAGCCTTGTCATTAAGTACATCATTGTACAATTACATAAGCTGAAAAGGGTTGTTGCAGCCCCAGCCTTGCCATTAAGTACATCATTGTACAATTACCGATACATAAGTTGTACCTCATGCATTACTTTCATCCCTCTAAGGTCGTACATTTTCATTACCTACACTCTTTTGACATTATAATATTTTGGTATTGTTGCCAATTATGGTTAATCAGTCGGAGAGAATAAGTTTAAACAGGTGTGATCTGTCTCCAAACAAATGATGATTTGCGACCTTTGCGATCTAAACTAAAATGTATTTTCAATTACTGTATATTAAATGAAAACTTGGAAGTATATTTCTCAAAACTACGAAACGAGTTCCAATCAATGTATACAAAACTGTGTTTATGATGTTTAGTAATCATAATTTTATTAAAAGAATTCGTTGGGGTTTTGTGTAAATTCAATTTTCCGTTCAGAAAAATTGTGATAAAGTGATAGTTTTATATTACATTGAGTGATATAAGCTAATAATAAATGTAGTAAATACTCGTATATGCAGTACAGCTGTAGTAACAAGTGACGGAGGAGGAAGGTGCGGGGCTGTAAGAAGCTGAGAGACAAACCGGTAGAAACCATAACATGTAATATTAAAACTAAGATAAACTTACAGAAAAAGTTGTATATCTTCTGGGCTCATTCTTGTACTGTATAATAATATGAACAGTTGATTGTCAAATGTTTACATTTTATTAGTAAACTATTTGGATTTCACAAGTGACCTTCAAAATGTGGATTTTACTATTATATTTGTTTAATATTAAAAGGCCTTAAAGCAACGAACTTATAATCTCGTTGATTTAAAGTGTCAAATTTTTCGTAAGTTATGGTTTCAAAGACAAGAAAAGTGGCGTTGTACATAAATGTTGCAGAAAAATATTTACTAGAGTTGGTTCAATAAAAAGTCATTTAAAAGCAAGACTAACAACCTTTAAACAGCCTTCAACGTCACAGGATGGCCCACAGTTGCGTTAAATAGTTAAAGGTTCAGTTAAAAGAAAATTTCATTTCAAAAGTGATAGTCTCTTATTCCGGGAATGTACTGACCACACTTTTTACAAAATGCATAATAAAACCCCAACATATTAGTCGAAAAGTGTATCAAGTTAGAGGCTTATTCCCTCTAAGGAGGAAAACGTTTTACCTCAGTAGTTTCCTAGGTTCTTCAGACATAAAACACCCATTAAACATGATTAAGATTTGTTATGCGAAATCTACTCTCATCATACTTAATTATCAGCGAACATTTAATCATCATCAATATGAAGACATAAAAGATCGCGATGTAAGATGTTTTTCTTAGGTGTTTGAAACGCGGTTTACTCAGCTAATCAATGACACAGACTGACATCGCAAATGTTTGTTGTGTTTATTGTCAGAATCACATTTCATTGGCCTTGGTGTTCGGAGCAGCAGTCCCAAAATGAAGGCATTTGTTGCAGCTGTAATTCTGATAGAGGTGAGAGTTCACATTTAGTATTAATGATGTATTTTCAACAAACATCACGTTGAAAGATCCACATATTGTATTGCGCAAGGAGTTGTATGCTACAAGTCCTGCAAATTGATGGTAAATTGTCTACGCATATATGATGGGTGTGATTTCCTACAAATAGCAGGAACTATGTAGAACGTATTTAGATGTTTTGTTAGTGACTAAAAAATACAAGCTGTTTTTCTATCAAGGGCCACTAAGAATACCAATGATCAAGCAACCCATAAAAAACATGTTTCTCAAAATTCGGGGTCGGTGACCCTCTGATTCGGCGAGCGCTATAACCACACAGTTTACCTGGGCAAAGAGAGTTCTTGGGGGCTAGCGGCCATCTTGTATAATTTCAAACAACTGCTGAAGAGTTATTTATCGTCCAAAATATTGTTTGTCATACTGCAACAAAAAACAGCCGTTTGCATGCGTTGCGGTTCTAAAGTAGCTTTTTTTCTCTAGGGAGTAAAAATCAGCTTTTATAAACTGCTATCGATCGAAATTATTTATAGATTGATTTATTAGGTAAGGTTTTAGCCTATTGATGTCGATCGCTTGACATATCGATGGTATAATGTACTGTAACACAATCGTAATAGACTAAATTATTGAATTTACTAAACAGCTGCTTATTTCAAAACAAGCTGGAAGTCGTTTTGAGAGGCTATATTTACATATAGTCCAGTCAATGAATGATCCAAAAGTAGGTGTAGAGTGCGTGAGCAGGTAACTAAGCGATTCCTTCAGAAACTTGTTCAGGGGGCTTAGGGTGTTAACATACCAAAAGTCCTGACTCCTATGTGGTGAGCCAGGGGGTGGAGGGGGGGAAAAGGGGGGGAAAAAGGTACGCATTTTGGGTTTTT